GTTCAATGCAGTTTGGTACCAATAAGTGTAAGTGAGTTAGCCAGAAGCATGATGAATATGTAAGTAATTGTATATCCAAACTGACCAAAACGACCAGGGCTTGCGTGCAACTAGACACCCTGTTTCATCCATCTCCTGGTATCTATCCGTATCTGATGCATGTCTGCGCAACAACCAACGCTGGTGCTACAGGTTTTCACAGGTAAGTTTTACCGTAACAAATAATTTTCGACTCAGCGCCTCTTAATTCTGAAAAAACACAGTAGAGACGTTCAGAAGATGGAGACCCAAACCGTTCATTTTCCTTCCCAAATTTGCTCTTTATTAAAAAATCAAAACCACGTATAAAACCGTGTAAAATGTTCCTCTATGCAAGGATGTCCACATGAGAGTAGTGCTGGGTGATAAAATGAAGCATAGAGTTAGTTCTGTCAGGACACGACGTCAAACGCTGATCCACAGTCAATGGCTAGTAGCCACCTCAACCAGACGATAGCTGATTCACTCCTAGCTCCTATTGGTCCTATGCCTGTAGAGCGCCTTATTTAAAACTGCACAAACCCAGCCTCTTCCTCTGCTTCAACAGCTAACCAGCAACCCACCGCCACCCCAGCTCCACCCTGGTTCTGCCTTCATGATGGCTCGTGGAGGACGGGAAGGTGCTCTTCCTGCCGCTGGTCTTGCACGCATGCCAGCGTGGAGAACGGGGGGCCCCGAACAGAACCTCGAGAGCGCTCCCTGCTATCGCCTTTCATGATGGCTCGTGATGGCTCTTCCTGCCTTTGGCTTCCATGCAAGAATCAGGCCGCCTAATTTAACTTTGCACAATAAAGCTAAATTTTTGACCAAGTGTTCCTGACTGAAATAGTAATGATAAATCGAAAATGAACTTCCCTCGATATCAATATAAAACCTGGTCGATATGCTTTTGATATTCGGCATTAAAAGGAGAAAAGTGTTTTCTCCGGGCTTTAGCTGGGTTTAGAGCGGAAAGGTGTACGGTGTGTGTCCCCGTTAAAAGACACGGATACAGACATCCAGTTTAGTGTTGGATTTTATTTGACTGTGGTTCTATAGATACAGACAAAAGCAACAATCAGTACAACTCAACTCACCATACAAGTACAAGAGATAACACAATATAGAGATGAGAACTACATCTCTAATATTTTATATGTCGTGTCGACTCATAATTTCTCCCTCTCTCTGGTTTCTGATCTTGTTTGATGTCCTGAAGTTCAAACCTTATCTCCGAGTACTGTATCTGCACGTCCAGGCGCTCTAATACCTTATTAGTCCGTTATTCACAGGCCTCTAGGAAGCCAAATTGAAGGTTAGAGCGTCCTCGGCATGCTCTTCAAGATGACAGGGCAAATATGTCTCAACACAGTTTATAGCTCCACTTTCAAGTTACCATCTAACAATAGCTCCAGGCTGAGAATCAAAGCCTCCTCTCCAGAATCAACAGGCTAAAAGCTGCAGAGCCGCTGCACAAGGACGAGGCAACTGTCACAAACGGACGAGTAAGGGAAGAGAAGGTGTGTGTGTGTGTGTGTGTGTGTGTGTGTGTTTGGAGCAGGACATAAAAGCACATACCAGGAGGAGTGTGTGTGTGGAAAATAATGACTCTGTGTGTGTTTGAGTGGGCTGTTATTCATGCAGGTTACTCATTGATCCAGATGCTTCAGAGGGAGTGGTGTACAAGGCGGGGATTGGCTCCGGGTGCAGGGTTCAGCTGCATGAGTGAACGCAGGCGCACACATGCATTCATAAACAACACACACACACACACACACACACACATTTCTCTGCTGAAACTTAAGATGTGCAAGGTGTGTGATTGTTGGTGTGTAAGCAGTGGGCATTTGCACACAAAACACACACACACACACACCTTCCTCTCCCCTCCTCATCTCTGATGCTTGTCTAAACACCCCTACATGTTAGAGGAGACAGCCTTTCACAACACACACATCACACACACACACACACACACACACACACTTTGTTATTAGACTATTCTCTGAGTGAGTGAGGCTCTGACAAAGAATGTGACAGCTCCACTCACGTCGCACAGCACAGAGGAACACACACACACACTCATGCTGCAGGAGGAGGAGGAGGAGGCGAGGCTGCATGACCCAACATGTGCTCAGCTCTAAAGGAAAACTGTCGGACGCGCCATCAAACAAAGACTCGAGAAGAGGAGCCGAGAAAGTCGGCATTCCCCAGGTTTGTGTTTGTGTACGCGGGACTGAGCTGGAGTTAAGAGGAGGGGGAGGAGGAGGAGGAGGACGAAGATGGAGGTGATGGTAAGAGATAGAGATAGATGACACTAGAGTTAGTTTGAGCAGCAAAAAACTGCAGTTCCCTAAATGTCCACTTGAGGCAGCATCCAAAAGTTCAGGAAAGCTTGTTCACGTCCGTTACAAGATGTTAATCTCTACAGCCGAATCTAACAGTCTCATTTTCTTATTCATGCACAACGAACAGGGATAGAATTTTCTCTATATGTTATTTGTCCTGAAGATATTTGGGTTGTTATCAAGTCGCAGATCTAGTTAGAGTCTGCGTTTCCAGATGTACAATACCACCATCAGAGAAGAAGGAGGAGGAGACCCAATCAGCCCTTCTTGCTCTGCAGGAGTATCATCCGGCCCAAGGCATAAGCGAACTATGTGCCTGCTTAGGGCCCCGCGGCCAATAGGGGGCCCCCAAGAGCAATCCAAAAAAAATGTTAAATATCTTTTATTTTTTGCATGTATGAGTGATGCTTTCAGTATGATCAACTATATATTAGTGTAAAAATAAAATAAAGTAAAAACATTTTAGTGCTGCTGCTGCCCACTGTGCAATGTGATGTCGAAATTGCATCTATTTAACATATTTTTTCAATGATGACGTACAAATGTGGACGTCATTTCAACGTCTAAAAGAGGTCCAATGGTCTTCACATGAGGTTCAAATTCTTAACGTCAGAGTGACATCTAAAAAAGGTCCAATTTGGACGTTGAAATTTCTAACCTTTTTTGCATGTCACACTGACGTCTAGATGTGGTCTTTGACGGACCGACCAAATACTGACTTGAACTGCACGTCTCTTTGACGTCTGATGTTTGGTGGGTGATGTAAGCCTATGATTCTTACTGCCGATATGTCAAAGCTCCGCTACCGTTATGTGCCTCCTGCTGTGCGATGTGAACTGAGCGTCCTGAATGTTACATTATGAGATTAAAAACCATAACCCTGAACATCATACATCAGTCATTCATTGGTATTATTTATGTTATTACCCAGGCCACCTCCTTAAATGTGTAAAGACATGTCAGGTGCATTAAATTTATACTGTATTAGGTGTGTGACTGATCAACAATCAATACTATTGGCAGAAATAGAGGGCTCCAAAATCAAATTTTGCTTAGGGCCCCATTGAGGCTTGAGCCGGCTCTGTCTCCAACCCGAGAATCCTCCAGACGTCCCCGCGCTTGACCCAACCTTTAAAGCCGAGCCAAGTCCCCTCTATGAGTAACCACATCTAGGCTGCTTGTATCTACAATCTTACTCTTATGGTTACTATCAAAGCTCATAACTACAGGTGAGGATTGAACAGTAAATCAAAAGTTTGGCCTTCAAGCTCAGCTCCTTCTTCACCAAAGTGGTCCAGAAAAACATCCGATCACGACCAAAACATCTCGGACAGTTTCAAGGTAAAAATGAGACGTGGAGAAGTTTGGCCTCAAGATGAATTTGACACTTGAATGTCCTCATAAATGTTTGAGTCAAGAGCATCAATATTGACCTTTAATCTTTTTATTTAAAGCCAGAGTGGGTAATTTTTGTGTTGGTTTCCCCACAGTAAACTCCACATATCCTTCTCTGTAATCTCTGACATGCACACGCTGCAAAATCAGAAAATAACAGTGTCAAACTCTCCAAAGGATGTTACCATGTAAATTATGATGTGTCGCAGAGGAAGCGGTGTGAACGAACTCACGGTGAAGGAGGTGTAAACAAAGCGGAGACTGACAACAACCTGTTGTAGCGATAATAGAGGGATGAGATCACAAACACATAAACATTGACAACCATTGAATCTGTTTTACCTTCAAATTACCGGCTAATCTGTGAGGCTGGAGGGCAAACATCAGACTCTTTAACATGAGTTTTTAGAGCAGCAAATCAGGCGTAAATCAGCCCAGAGCTCCTCTAGTCCTCTGTGGTTTGGGAGACTTTACTTAAGCCTCAAGGTGGCAAACATTTCCCTGCAGAGTTCGGCTGAAACACGAGACTTTAACGGCAGTTTAATCACATTAAAGTCCACCACAGATCCTGGATAAGCTGCTTACAGCTCAATACAAAGTTTAGATAACCTCTGTGCCTTTAAGATTTCACAATCAGATTCAAGAAACAAAAAAACACAACCAATTGTCTTGCAATCAGATGCATAAATCAAGTCATTCCTGAGGGTATTAGAGGGGAGGAGTGAAGGAACTGCTCCATAAAAACGTCAATCAGAGCAGATTTACAAGTTTACTGTCCTGATATGGCAGAAAACTGAAAATGGATCCAGGAGAAGCTCATAGTTTGGACTCTGTAGGCCACCATACAGACCAGGTAGATCTCCCTGTGCCATCTCTCTCTCTGTCCTGATGTCACTGCAGTTATCTCAAGAAACTTTGCAGCCACACCCACGATCCATGTGTGGGTTTTTCTTTTGACTCAGGGGGCACCGAGAGAAAAAGAAGTCCTCTAACTTTAATAATCAAAAGTCAACATGAAGTTTCCCAGAGTTTTAACAAAACTCTACAAGCTGGAGTCTTTCCGAAAATCACCCTGCCCTAAAGTCTGATCCTATCTTGTCTGAAAGGACAGGTTTGACAGCTGACCTGTGAGGAATCATGACTCTTACCTGTGGTGTAGGAAGATTTCCTCATGTTTTCTGGATGTTTCCTCCTGAAGTCGTAAAACTGTCTGAATCTGAGCTCCGGTTTCTCCTTCTGTCAGTGGGACATCCGTAACTTTTCCAGGTTCTTTCCGTCTCCGCGCTCCTCTCTTCCTCTCTTCTTCTTCTTCTCTTCCTCTTTTTTTCCCTCTCTGTCTTCTGTCACTCCTGAGCGGTCAGATTTACAGACGCACCTGAGCACCAGCTTACACTTCCTGATCTTGCTCCTGTCTTGAATCTCCACCGCGGACCTCTCGGAGAGGCGGTCTGTTGGGAATGGAGAGGATTTCACCTGCGCTCCTGACGCACGCCCAGTCCGGGAGCGGGAGGGGTTTACGCACAGAGACGTTTGGGGGTTTTTCTTCGACAGAAATAAACACATGTAGGAGGAGAAACATCTGGAGATGATCCATAAACTTTATAGCTAGTCCTCTAAAGAGACAGGTGAAAAAAGTGGGCTTTATTTCCTTTGCCAAGACTCCAGGTGATGTAGTAGCAGCAGCAACTACAGTTCATATTTTTAAAGACCTTCCTTTTTAGTCTGGCCTTTAGCTGATTTTTGTTTTATTCTTCTAGCCTCTCTTTTAGTCTACTCTTTTTAGTACTTTTAGTATATTTTAATTTTATTTTTTTTAGTATATTTTATTTTTTTTTAGTATATTTTATTTTTATTATTTTTTAGTATATTTTATTTATTTATTTATTTATTGTAAATTTTATTTTTATTATTTTTTAGTATATTTTATATTTTATTTTTTAGTATATTTTATTTTTATTATTTTTTTTAGTTGTTTTTTTCAGTATATTTTAACACTGTCTTTTTTCTTTTATTTTTTTATTTTAAAACAGTTTTATTATATATTATTATTATTATTATTATTATCAATAATAATATTATTATTATCATTTTATTTCCATCATTTTATAAAGTGGCTCTGTGTGATCATAATAATCAGTCTTATTGATAATACTATAACTCGTTTTTGCAGTTTTATTATTGAATTGATAGTGGTTTTAATGGTGGATCCCCACAGTTTCACACAGTAAGATATCTAGGGAACAATCAATGAGTAGTAGATCAAATACAAAGCCTTAGAATTCAATACTTTTCTCGATTTGTACAGAATTGCAAGTGATTTTTAAATTTCCCCTTTAATGTATTCAGTGTGTTGTTTTTCCATGTTAACGTTTGAGCAACGACAACCTCAAGAAAAGTAGTCGCAGTAACTCGTGTCAGTATGTCGTGTCAGTGCCAAACTGTTACCGGTTTCTTTGTGATTATAGTTTTACATCATTTATTTACCAGGTAATTGGAAAACTGCTGTGTGCAAATAAAAGGATCGTCTGTCCAAACTGGAAGAACAACGTTAGTAAGAGAGACAGCGAGAGAGAGAGAGAGAGAGAGAGAGAGAGACAGAGAGAGAGAGATGATGATGCAAATGTGGACAGAAAGTGTGTATTTTTAACCTTTTTATTAAATTCAACACTTTTTTTTAAAGTAATGCAGCCCACATGGATCCACCAAACCTCAAGACCCTTGTTAGGATGATCTCTCAGGCCTTAGTGAGGCTCTTTGTCAGAAAACATCCCAGGTTTGTATCATATAAACTCTTTTTTCTAAATGTTTTGGTCCATGTCAGATTGTCCAAAAGTTTTAAAAGTTTGCTGAACTATCCTGCTGAATCTGTGTTCCCATTTGGCCTTCGTTATCCAAACTGTCTTGAAAGGGTTGTGTCTGAATTTGGGAAACTCCCATCACCAATAAAAGATGATTTTCTGTTCCTGAATATAAAAAGGTACAGATTTCTGAGTCTGGACTGAAACCAGGTTTGTTGCAGAATCAAAATCTGGTTTTTCTTTGTGTTTTGGTGCAAAAATAATGAATAACAATATGGATAAAATTAGAGATAAGTTCTACATAAATTAAATATTATATTATTGAATGTATAAGGGAATCCCGAGCTCGTATCCTCCCCCAACTCTCCACCACATGTGTGTTCCTGTGTGTGTGCTGCCTCCTGTGTGCGTGTGTTTTGTGTGTGTGTGTGTGTGTGTGTGTGTGTGTGTGTGTGTGTTTGGTATGGGATAAAGCGAGGACAGTCTGTTTGTGGTCTAAACTTTAAGGCTCGGTTGATCCGCGTGCCGACTGAGCCCACATCCATTCAAATATTCAGCTGTGCTCACGACCTCTGACCTCCTTCAATCCTCCTGGTTCTTGAATCCACATCCTGCCTCAGTGAGAGCTGCAGGTCTGAGCTGCAGAGACCTCTTGTGGCCGCAGATCGGTAATGCTCCTGAGTCTGATCCTGTGGTCTGATCCAGATGTGAACATCAGGAGTCAGGACTGTCTGCTCACCAGCAGCAGAAACCTCATCCATCCTTTCTCACATAACTGCTGATTCAGAGCCTCAGCGTCTCTGTGCTCCAGATTTAGCCGACAGAAAACAGGCAACAAAAACTCTAAGACCCCAAGAATCCAAGAGCCCCCATGTGAGCCGAGCAGACCCCCTTCTTCCTGCTTCTATCAGGCAGTTTGAGTTTTATTCGAGAGCCTGTCTCTGTCTGATGTTTTAGTCTCTCTTTTTAAACTCAAATATCATCATTTTAAGGATGAGACATGATCTTCAGTCAAATAGTTTCATGTTCGATTTGTGGGAGGAAGCGTGTGCTACTTAAGCAAAACCCAAACAGCAGAAACCCACACTGTGGTCCCGCCACTGTGGAAGAGAAACGGGCGGAAAAACAGCAGCTGTACGACCATAAAGTCCGAAAATAGATGGACTCTATGACTGACCAACAGAGCCAACAAACGTTTTAATTTGATTAAAGTAAAAAGTGCTGATTCAAGACGGCCGGCTGTTTCTGCTGCGTCCTTCATGTTTGGGATTTAAAGAGAAATACGACTCAAAGACAGACTGTCCAACAATTTTTATAGTTAATACAGGATCGTTAAACCGAAACAGGGAAGAAACCATCCGTCATTGTCTGATACGGTGGTCACTGTCACTGTGAATCAGTCGATGCTGGTCGGCAAGCAAGCAAGCTAGGCTACAGCTTCCCACTCTGCCAAGAAAAACAGCTGATTTTGAGAGACTCTGACCAAAGAATTCATCTCAGTTTACCTGCAAGAGCCAAAATATATTTGTTGAGTCTGATTTCTATAGGTACGCCACTTCCAGGGATCGTCACAAAGGGATGTGGTCAGATGATGGTCGTGGAAAGCTCTGATACATCGATTTTCACCATTTCATTCATCCTGTTTTAACTTCATTTCATCTTATCACTTACTACAAAGTTTTGGATCTTCGTGTTTTCTTCTCTTTTTGAACCATAAATTACTTTTTTAAGACTCAAACTGGACCGATAATCGAATGAGTCACGGATGCCTTTTTGTTGTAGAAAAGCAGTCGCCACATTCCTGTATTCATCAACATTAAGAAAGGAAAATCTAAAAGGACCAGGTAGGTGAGGACCATCAGCCTCAGGTGAGACAAAACGAAGCACAGGTGAGCGAAAGGAGGGCAGGGCGAACAGTCATGGAGAAGAAATGACAAAAACAGACATTTCTAATTCGTGGATCTATCAGCGTGGAAACCCTCCGTCTAGTTCCTGCACATTCAGTTCAGCTGAAACTTCAAGATCAGCAGGATAAACTTCTCTTTAAAAAAAAAAAGAGTTTGACCTGCTACTCTTCAGTAACCACATCCTCAGCTGCTGATCTACATCACTCTCCTCGCCGGCTCTAACCACAAACATCAACAGGTGCTCGAAACGTTAAATACATCTGTTTTAAATGACATCATCTGTTTTCCTTCTAATTTTATCTAATTATAAACCTCAACACCTCGGATCAAATCCAACGTCTCGAGAAGTTTCCGCTCTGACGCACAAAAAAACCTGTGTCAATATTGAACCCTGATAAACAACACCTGCGGGTGTACGTATACACGGATGATCTGATTCTGTGACCTTTAATCAGGAGCTGTCACGGTAAAAATGGAAATTTCTTATAACTCTCCAAACCACGGCAGATGTTTTATCTTTGACAGAGTTTACAGTTTTTCTGTACCTTATCTTTTTAGGTTTCCTGTTAACAGTAAACAGCGGGTAATGAAACTGCTGCCGACGCACAATCAAGGTTTTTCTAACCTCTGCAAACAACAAAGTCATCTCTGAACCTCTCCTGCCTTCAGCTCATCACACACTGACCGCTGCGGACTGACACCATCAGAGCAGAACCTGCTTGTGTGCAACATATTTATTTATGGTGCAAAAACGAGGGCAGATGGGGCCCAACTAGGTCACTGACTTATGCAGAGGTGGCATTGCACACTAGTGTTGTGTCGTTCGCGAACGATTGGTTAAAAAGAACTGAATCTTTTAAGTGAAAGTACTGAACCGAATCACTTCCTCGAGTGATTCGTGTGTTTCTCACTTCAGTTGAGTTAAAGTGAGAAACAGCATCACCAGGCCAGCAGCCGGAGAACGAGGAACCACACGCACCGATGCCTGAATCACTTGGTGAACGAATCACGCATTGAACTACACTCTCTGGAATCATTTTTGTCGGATGAAATTCTATCATTGCAGCGGTTTGTGAGGGAACGGTGAATGTTCAGTGTGAATTCTTCTGAAATTCAGTGAACGAATCACTCACTGACCCCAATTTACTGAGCAGACCTGATAAGTGTCATACAATAGGACACTTAAAGCACCATGACCTTTGCCAAAGCAACACAGACAAACACTCTCGTCTCCCGGTCCCAGAAACTATGAATTGAACTGAATCCTGAACCGTTCAGCTGTGTATCAGTTCAGGAGGTCGGAGTCGCAGGCCTCTCTCGCCAAGTGTTTAGTGATTTGGTGAATGAATCTTTTGAACGAATCTTTTTAGTGAACTGATTCTAGAGATTCAGTACATCTAAGGCTACGTTCACACTGCAGGTTATAATGCACAATTCTGGCTTTTTTGTTAAATCCGATCTTTTTGTGCGGTCGTTCACATTACAACAACAAACGCGGAACAACGTCGGTGAAGAGACCCGCATGCGCACAAAGCACAAATTGCTTTCCGCACCTGTTTGTGTTGTAGAACAATGGTGGCGTTTGTCGCATATTGACGATGTATAGGTCGGATGAACGCGACCTGAGCGTCCACACTGCAGTCACATCAGATACATATCCAATTATATCCACATACAAAAAAAATCAGGGCAACTGGACTGTGTAGATTTGCCTGTTTGTGAGTCTTCAAGATAACCATGACCTGGATGAATGAGAATCTACATGGACAGACAGAATCGCACTGTTCACACTTCCATGAAAAAATCAGATCTATGTCACAATTGGTTAAAAAATCTGAATTGACCTGCGGTGTGAACATAGACTAAAAGAACTGCCATGCTCATCACTGCTGCACACTTGATCAACATTAATCAACCCTTTTAGTCTCTACTCCACTTAATTTACCGACTTCGTGCATCACAAGGATTTTTTTAACTTTAATCCAGTCCTATTGTGTGATGTTCGACATGTGCCATCTGATACCAGCTGGTGTTTGTTTACTAAGTTCAGTTAAATTGTCTTTATGTAAAGAAGGCGCGCGCCACTTTTTTGCTGACCACTTCTGTTCTGACTCCTGTGGCTTTGTGGTGAAGTCGTCTCAGCTGAAGTCGTCTTGGCTTTAAGACACGCAAAGGTTGTTTTTCTTGTCAGTGGGGTCTCTGTTTCCGGATTCTTGTCGCCAGCTCACCTCAGAGCAGTTTCCTCTCCCCTCTGGACCCCTTTTCTTCAAAGTCAGGTCTCCTCAACCCTCACCACACACAATGCAACACACACACATCTCTGACTCTTAGCCTACATACATGACAAACAAATTTCACACTTTACTGCCTCAGCTCGTTGTTACCGTGCAGTGGTGAAGGGAAAAAAGCTGCATTTTGTGACCGCACCGAGACTACACTCAAGTAAACAACCTGACGCCTCCTTACTCGCATCCACTGGAGGTGACATTTAAAGTGACTCACTCGCCGTCTCTGTCTCAGCTCTGAGTTTGCACGCAACTTTGTCCGGACTTGTTTAGTTGGACCCGTTTCCTGATTTATTGTGTTTTAAACTCCAGTGTTTGCATTAGTGGGCTCACACTCCAGGCTCCACTTGGCACCGCTCATAAATTACTGCAAAGTTACCTTCGTTTTAAAAACATCTTTATTCTTGTGTTGGAAAGAGTCAGCTGTATAATTTTAATGCAGATTTGGATTTTTAGAAAAGCCACAGTGATCGGCGGTCTGATCTGATGTGGGATATTTGCGGCTATGAATGTGTGCGCCACAAACTAGTGCATCACGGGAATAAAAAAGACAAACTTTGTATTTTTTTGCTGGAGTGACATTTTACAGAGTAGGACGTTTGATAATGAGGATGACGGTAAATCTCGAGGATGTTGTTGGTGTCAGCGTTTTAGTTTTTCAGTTTTCGGTGTTAATCCAGCACTTCTGATGAATCATCAGAGACTGAGACGTAAAAGATGATTTTATGAGTCAGACTGAGAAAGATAAAACATGTTTTACGCCCTTAAAATGTTTTAAAAACACTGAAAATGTTTAAGACTGGGGAATTTTTCAAGTTTTCTGTTATGAATAAACAGCGTGTGTTTTTCTCTTCTGGATACTCTCTCCTGTTAAAGTTTTATTTCAGTTTCTCAGCCCTTTTTTATTTTCTACCTCACCTACCGATGTTTTCTCTGTTTGCTTTTTGATCATTTGCAAATAAATAAACCAAAACTTTAATTTATTATCTCTGTGTACCTCCTGCATAAAAATAATAAATGAAAAAACAGCTACTTAAAGCGAAGCCAAAATTTTTAGAGCTCCTCCTAGTGGCAGGCTGCAGCCAAAGTCAAACGTGTAAAACTAAAGACAGGAGCTTTTTTTTTGTGCGATTATTTCAGACGTCTATATTTTTTTCAAACCAGTATCCTGTCAATACAAGCGTTCCGATCAGCGACGTTTTCCCGTCCTTACGTGTCAGAGAACAGTTATTTTTGATAAAAGACACAAACATTACAAAGATAACGACCTGAAGGACGACTTGTAGAGAGTCATAGCGTCGGATTTCTCATATGACGATGGTTTGTTGCTTTAACAGTTTGATAACCGTCTTTGTTTTAACTTTCATCTATGCTAAGTAACTTTAGCTCGTAAGCTAACCTGTTCAGAAACAACATACCATATGTATAGTCACGCGCGTCAAAATTCGAATATTGAATATTTCGTAATTTCGCGTCGTTCACGGTGTGTAAGGACCTAAAAAAGTAAAAATACACTCGAATGCATTTCCTTAAACATACTTTGTGTCATTAAAATAATGATGAGTTTAAACAAAGTCAAGTCTTTATTACTTATAATAAAAGAGGGGATGGGACATCATGATTGACAGCTTTGTCGACGAATGAGGCTCCTGCAGCAAGACGAAGAGGAACAACAAGGATAAAAATCTAACAAACGCCAACGCGAGAGTGACTCTGCTGCTCGGCTGAAGACTGTATACCTGTGTTTATATCTTTGAGGTTGTTTTGCATCGCTCAAGATAATTCATTTTAGTTGCTGGGGTGATGAGGATACAATAAAACTAAACAAACAAACTAACAAAAACACTTCGCTGTTTTTTTTATCACTGCAGGACGTTTGACTTGACAGTTTGTGGCGCTGACTCATGTCGTTTCCTTTCATCTGGATGTTTGCTCGTGTTGTTCTCGCTCTCAAATGTATGTTGACACTAACCTAACACTTAGTAACAGAAAGTTCAACAACTTTTCCATCAGTGTTTGCTTTGTTTTCTTCTACCGTTCCTCTTCTGATATGATGATCCACCTGATTGGTCGACAGAGCTGTCAATCATGATGTCACAGCTCCTTTTTAATAGCATCTAATACACAGTTAATTGAATACTAATTTGGTGTATTTAGATTTTCCCTTATCTGATCTGTTATTTTGGAGTTGGGTTTAACACCTATACCGCAGACAGCCAGCAGGGGGAGTTCTAGAAGTTTTGGCTTCATGTTGGAAAAGCTGTTGTTGGGTCCATATCATGATTAAAAGCACTTTTATTTAAAATGTTAATTTAAAAGTGAATTTTACCACACAGATACTAATTTAAAACAACATTTTTATTTATCTATTTACACAAATTACAGTCAGTATGAACATTTTTGTCTCATTGTGTTCAAATGAACCTGTCCTCTTAATAAAACAAGAAACTCTGCTTTAAAAAATAATGAAATTTGTACAAAAATCCTCAGAAATGACTGTACATAAACACACACTGTATGTTGAATTCAAACAATAAGATTTTATGAGACTTAAATACAAAATAAACAGATAAACTTGTTTGTGCTCCTCTGAGATGAAGTCGTGTTTCACCTTTTACACATCGTGGTTAACTGTTCGGTCACAGTGACAGTGCAGGTTTGATTAACTTGTCCCTTTTTCAGATCATCAACATTATCGTCTCTTTATCTTCCTGCCATGACAGAAACACAGACAGAGAACCTGCTGAGCTGCTGCTTTTCTCACACGCATAACTTGCGGTGCAGAGACGGAGTTTCAGGTTGGTTTCTCACATGGAGGCTTTTTCAGCGTCTGCCTGTTCCACGCATGTCCTCGTAAACATCGTTGTTGTTGATGCGTTGTGGTTTCACTGTGTTGCACTGAGTCTTGGTCTGGTAAACAGATTGTGGCCGACAAGTTAGACATGGTTGTTACAACATCTTAAAGCAGTTTTTTTCTTTACAAAATCCTGTTTGTTTTGTTTTTTCAGGTTAAAGTTTATCTGTTGTTTTGTGTTTTAGCATATTCAAAACCTCATCTTATCAGACACTTCCTTAGATATGTTTTCACTTTGACTTCTTTACTTGTAAACACTTTGAGGATTATTTTTTAAAGAGTTCAGAGAATAAAATCAGGAGAAATAAACCTGTTTAATGTTTTGCTGCTTTTAAAAGGTGTCCCCCAAGGCTCACTTCTGGGTCCTGTCTCATTTAAACTCTATCCTAATCGTACTGTCTCCTTTGTACCTGGAAAATTGAGTGATGTCAATTTTATGCTGACGATCCTGATTGTATTTTTGGTGTTGAGAGCTCTTCAGAATACATTTATCAACATTAGCTTCGTACTTTTCGCAAATGCCTGTTTTTTTTACTAGTGTTTGAGTAGTAAAACATTTCTCTTCTGAAATACAACTCAAGTTTTAGCATAATTAGGGACATTTTAAGCACACCTCTTATTTTCTCCATAGTTAACACTGATGTTCTTGAACACAGATGTGCACAGAGGGATTTTTGTCCTTGTGATATATGTGATTAATAATTTGCACTCTTTCTTTCATCTGTAAACAGTCCTGCAAAAGTGATCATTTTGATCTTGTGCATGCAAAAGTATTATTATGTGTGCAGAAGTTATTTTCTTGTGTGCACAGGATAAAGAGTGGTTAAAAACACTCTCTCCTACCATGTTTGATGAACTTCTGCTTTTGGCTTTAACATTTTTTCATTTATTCATTTAGTTCTCTCCTTATTTTTTTTAGCTTATTGGCACGTTTGTTGTGCAGTTAGTAAATATCAACATAAACCCAATTTTGAGCGCCACATAGTGCACTATGGGTAATGTAATTGAAGTGCTGATATAAACTGTGATATAGAGAGGACAGGAAGGGTGCTGGCATGCGGTTAGTCATGTTGGTATGCCAATGGTTTAATATTAGAAACTGTGGCGTACCAAAGTGTCCCCCCCTCGTCTGATCTCTGATAGTCCTGAGAAGTTGAAGAGAAAGCTTCAGCACACAAACAAAGAGAGTTTGTGTTGCTCTGCTGCAGAGGTTAACATATATACAATATCAAGATTGATTGTTTTGTAAAAAAAAAAAAAAAAACTCTGTCACTCAGAAAACTCGACTTAATCAAAGATATGTTAGTGTTACACAACATGGGCCGCACCCCTCAATTCTAACCAGCAGATGGCGCTCATGTCACGCACATATATCAAACATGTTAGCTGGAGTTTAAGCATGCTTTTATATTTTATCTATTTGTCATTAATGTAAATTGATTTCATTCCGTTTTTAAAATGTTTGAATAAGATACAAAGAGACACTTAAAAATACATTTTCAACATCACCTGAACACTTAAAGCTCCTGTGAGGATGTTTTCTTACATTTATGAAATACACTGATATTTATGTTAGTGCTTTTTTTTACTGAAATACAAAAGCAAACAAGATCATCAGCGATTAGATGTGCGATTTTTGTTTTGGTATTTTTAATCCCTGAAACATGTGTGGGGGGTAGACGTCAGATGAGGAGCTTTAAAAAAACCTGTAAGTCGTGATCAGTGATAAACTTGTCTGTCAAAAGTCAGCTGGATGATATTTTTGTCTGAAGATATTTTTGTTTGAACACTGCAGGCGCCAAAATGACGCAAACCAAAAGTCACTCACAGGAGCTTTAAAAAAACGGACATTACTTACAGATTAAACAATTCAAATAATCTAATCTAATCTGCAAAAGGACTGAACTAAATAACGTCTCTGCGAGGCTGGACCCTCCAAACTAGTTTTCAATGAGGTGGTTTATGATTTTTTGGAAAATCTAACTTCACATGTGGAATTATTGACTCTACAGTCTTGGTGATGAAGATCTGCGTCTTTGGGAAATTTTAAGGTACAAACCCGAAACTACACCTCCTTCACGGTGGAGCTGTTTTCCATAAAGTTCATCTCAGTTTCTTCACATCATCAAGTTAAAGTTAAACTTGAGTGTTTGGAGAAGTTAAGACAAGAGTCGAGGACTAAATCATTTCTATAAAGCAGTTACTGAAGCCTTCACCTCCAAACAGAGGAGATAAACTCCACCGATTAGATTCTCACGCTCTCAAACTGAAAGAATTATACAGTATCGTGTTTTTTTCACAGGTTTGGCTTTGAATAACAGATTCACGGAAACTTCCCCCGAGTTTCTAAAGTGTTTGTGAGTCATCGCAGCTCTTCATCAACAAGTGTAAAACTGACACACAGAGAGAGACACCTACACACAAACTTCAGCGCATGCATACCTTGATGATCCAAATGAAGAGGGCCAGGAGGATGCCGAGCAGCAGAACAGCGGAGATCACCACAGAAATCAGGATCAGGTTCTTGTCGGATGTTTCACATGTTGTATCTGTATCTGTAGTTTTAACGCAGAGAGTGTGTTTAAGATGTTAAAATGTTCCTTCATGCGTGCACAAATACTCCACTCAGAGTCAGAACAAAGACCGAGCTCACCTGTCACCACCAGGAGCACAGACCCTTGACCTTTAGTTTTGATGGGCTGCGGGGCCCTGATGTCAATCTTTTCATATCTGCACCAGTACGGTCCGGTGTCATTAGAGGTCAAGTTCTTGATCAAAATGTCCATATTTGGGAAATCTCCATGAACCTGAAGTCTTTCTTTGAAACCTCCAGCTGTGGTGGTTTTTCTTGACACTGTGTTATGGTGAAAAATTTGAAATTCATCGAGCCCCTTCCTCAGAGACAGGCTTTCTTGGTCCAACCTGGTGAACCTGCACTGGATGGTGATGGACCCGCCAACATCTCTCAAAACCACTCCATTGTTTCCTGCACAGACAGCCACAAAAACATGCAGAGTTTCCTGTTAAATAAAGCTTCAGAGCTTCATATTGCTTCGTTTAAAAACCATCTTCTTCTGTTTTAGGTATTTATAGCTGTGACGAGTCTCACCTGAGTCCGTCAGCGCTGTGCAGCAGAAGCAGAAGATGGTTAAGAGCTGGAAGTAGACGGCAGACATGCTGACAGTGACTGTAATAGTTTGAGCTCTGAGTCTCAGGAGGAAATGTGAATGTATTTCAACCCACAACACCTCAGCAACACGCGATCACATCGAAGTGTCTGTTGTGGGCGGGATGCTGTAATGTGCCGGGTTAAACTTTTAACCAATATGTCACAACAAAAACTCGACTTATTTTTTTTCTGTAAAGCTTGTTTATCAACATCTGGTGTATTTTTAAAGTTTATGTTATAGTGTTTTCAGAGGAGAAAAACTCTATTTATGAAGAAACAGAACCTGTTAGTGGAAGGAGAATATATGAGTGAGGACGACAAGAGAGCCTGACACTAAGTTTGATATCTCATGGTGCACAACAGCCGCTATAATCCAGATATTGGGAAAATAAAAGTGGCACCAAGTTTTACTTTCTCTGGATATTTTCTCATGGTCTCGTTCCTCACAGTGGAAGTGAAAAACACTCAGTTCCTCATCAGACCTCTTCAAACATCAGACTCAAGGAAAGACGTGGGCACCAGATAAGCGTGTTTTTTGCAGAGTTTGCATACACATAGGATGTAGGTGCACACTCTGCTGCGTAAGTAGGTCAGAAATTGAGTTGTGTTTGTAGCGCCCTCTGGTGGCTGCAGAGCTGAAAAGAGCAGAAGCTGGGAGAAAAGAGCTGGTTTATGAACAAATATTGACAAATGCAGATTAAACTGGTTGAAATTTCTGCATATCTGCTAAAATCTGTATTTACAAGAGGACACATGGATTCAAGGTGGATAAAAGGGTTGGTAAAGAGAGTAAAAAATAACATTTGGGATCTGACGGCAGGAAAAACACCCTCAAATTCACCGAGCTTCAAATAAATCAAAGTAAAACTAGCAGACATTGAACAGCTGAACAAGTGCACGACATACCAGCAAGAGGGCATCCAAAATAAGAGCAAAAATGTGCATGTAAGTAAACAAAGGACATCCTGCCACTGTCTCTTATCGGTCCAGCAGCAACATAATCAAAGCAAACCGGCCTACATAGATCACAGAGTGACAGGACGGCAGAAATCACACTAAAGAGACTCATCTGAGATCGTAGGATGACAGAGAGGGGCTCCTGTGTTTTAATTTAGGTCCCCAGAACTGAAAAAAGTGATCGAGCACATGTGAAATATCTTCATTTGGAGGTTTATAGAGGGGACAGTGTCTTTAAAGCAAAAAGCCGAAGTTAAAGAAGCAATTAGGAAGACTAAGAGGAAGGTAAACTGGGAGAAGATGAGTTTTAATATTGGAAAATAATCAACAATTCATTTGCATGATCAGATTTTGCAGCTAAACACAAAGTTATTTAAATGTGTCCTGAAATGACACCGTATATGAAGGAGGATTTTGAAGTGATTATGCAAAACTTAACTCAGTCAGCGTCTGTTTGAATCACTGTACCAGCTCTCGGGGTGTTTTTGACTCTGCGTGTTATGTTGTGTTTACCTCACCAGAGTAAAAGGCAGCTCAGGAGGATTAAACCCAGATATTGATTTGCATTTGCAGCTGCCAGGAGGGCTGAATGCATCATTTATAACCAGCAACAATGACGACACATAATGCTCGCTCGCTCAGATATCCTGTGCATCATCAGGGATGGGACTTAAAACTTAACATGCACGCAAATATCCAGCTTTGAGTCATTACTGTGTCTTTATATCGATAAAGCAACTTTGTGGAGTCATTTCGAGGAGAAAAATCTCATCATAACACAAAAAATATCAAGTTTTCAAACTGTGACCTTTGTAATTTGAGGTTGAAATGATGTCAACAAACCCTGTTAAGTCGTCACAGCCCAGAGAGACTCATAAAACTCTGCATCAATAAAAGCTTTCAGCGTCTTTAGGGATAAATTCAAAAAAACAAACCCCCCATTCTCTCCTCTGACTCCGCCGTCCTCAGGGACAGGATGAAATAAAGGTCTCCACTCCTCTCTCCATCATCCCCCTCCTCCTGTCTCATCTGGTTATCCATGTGAGCGAGGAGCAGCCTCAGCTCTGAGGGCTTTTACTCCCTCTGGAGCTCCGGGAACAGGCCCGTCTATTTGGCAGACAGCGCTTCCTGTTGAGGACTTCTGGTGGGGTGGAAACAGAATATTTTGGATTCTGCAACTCAATTAAGAGTCTCTGTTTTCAGTCACGAGGAGAAAACATTAAGGACACAGCAGGATTATTCAGTTTGGAGTCAAATGTGTTAACAGTGTAAATCTGTCTTTGAATGCAGGGTAGTTTTGAGCCTTTTGTGTCTCTTCATGGGTGACAGTGTTCAGACTTCCTGAAGATTGATGAGTTTTTTCCTTTGTTTGTGTTTTTTTATCATGAAATTTTGTTTGGCTGCACTTTTTTGTTACGAAACCAGCCAGAGAATGAGCACAAGAACAACAGACTCAACAGACTCAACAGACCCCAAACCCGATTGTCAGTGTCAGTGTTCTCTTCATTTTGAATTTCACAGTAATTTACCGTCAAAGGCAAGTCGATGTAGTAGCACCACGTTTGGATGCAACAATTCACACATTTTGAATTTTACAGCAATTTACTGTCAAAGCCAAATTGATGTGGCACTACTTTTCAATGCAACAAATTACACTTTTTAAATTTTACAGCATTTTACTGTAAGGGCCAAATGGATGAAGTAGCAGAACTTTTGGATGCAAAAATCACACATTTTGAATTTACAGCAATTTACTGTCAACGCGAAATCCATGTATAGCACTACGTTTAGATGCTTTGAGTGACATGTTTTGAATTTTTATAGCATTTTACTGTCAAAGCCAAATCGATGTAGTAGCCCTATGTTTGGATGCAGAAAATCACACGTTTTGAATGTTACAGCAATTTACTGTCAAAGCCAAATCGACATAGCTGCATGATGTTTGGATGAATCATAACACACATTTTAAATTTTACAGCAAATTACTGTTAAAGCCAAATTCATGTATAGCACTATTCTTGGATGCAACACAACATGCTTTGAATTTTACAGCAATTTACTGTAAAGGCCAAATGGATGAAGTAGCAGAACTTTTGGATGCAACACGTTACACATTCTGAATTTTGCAGCAATTTACTATCAAAGCCTAATTGATGTAACACTTCTTTTAAATCATCACTGATCAGTACCTGCAAAAAGCACAATTGAATTTGAGAGGATGCCCCTCTACGCTTTCTTATAAGTGATTAGGCCACGCCCACCACCACACTAAGATGTTACTGAGTAATGACATTCAGATACAAACAAGAATAAGAGACTCTGGTCGCTCCATCCTGCCTGTTTTGTCTGATGAGGAAAACCATATGCGGCTCTCTGGTCCTGCTGGTCACCAGCTAATCATTGAAGCCACATTAGAAACAGACTCGGCTCGATCCCCCTTGATCATCCTACTAATCTTTCTACAAAGACGGGAGATTACCATTTTCCTCCCCCACAGCCATATGTCAGCTTATTTAACTGATGCCCGTGATGAATGAGCGCGAGCATCCTCTCCCCTCATTTGCAACTTCGATTTATTGACGGGATCGTTAACGGACATGCGGCCTCCAGATGAGGCTGCGAGAGCTCCCGGGGGGGAGGTGCAGGGAGATGTGAGGGGGGAAACGAGGTGAGTCATGTCTCAGTGACGCTGCACGCAATCAGTCAATCAATGCAAGTCATTCAGACGCAGAGTGCTGACTCAGCAATTTATGAGCAGGTGGAGGAGGGGGAAAAAAACGCACATTAACCCTTTAATTCAGGGCGTCCACAACAGGGACTGATGTTTGAAAGGTGTTTTGAACTATGTCTGGAAAACAGGTAGCATTATCTGACACTTTTAGCTAATATTTTAATTTTTAGGTCATTATTTTTCAGGTTAAAAGTCGCAGGATTTTGACGACTTGAGCAAGAACATACAATCCATGAAACTGTCTGGATATCATGCTCTTAACTGGACTTGGATCAACAGGATTTAAGTGTTCAGTCTTTTTTTTAAGTTTTAGTGCATACAGAGATGAAGAAAGCAGAAGAGATCCAGTCTGACTCTGACTCTGTCTTTAGGTTGGATAAAAAAGCACAGGACGTTCCCCCTGTGGGCGCAGCACTTACTGAGAACAGGCCTTCATTGACTGCTCTCCAACATCCTGGCATTTCTCCAGGGCAGGAAGTTCTTTTCCTGATCTTCGGTGACCTCTGCATGCCTTTCACAGCAGACGAGAGGTGGAAACACCGCGGTGCCACAGTCTTTTCTCAGGCGGTCGAAGGTTTGGCTGTGAAGGAGAGAGACGTGCATCTCAGGAGGAGGAAAAAGAGAGAGAGAGAGAGAGAGACGTGTCTTGGGGAGTTTCTGACTTGGATTCACACAAAGAAGACTGAAAACGGAGTAACAGAGTGAGGACTGTGGTGAATTAGTTTGAGACTGAAAAACATTGGAAACCTAAAAATAGTCTAGCATTCATCAAACTATACTTGATCCTGATTGGTCAGTCTGATCATGTCATATCAAATCAATCTGCAGGAAAGAGTCTGAAAATTTTCACTTTACCTGTTGACGCTGCAACAAAAATGTCTCTGAAGTGAGGAAGTGATGAGTCAGCAGTACAGATGTGAGAGGATCAATGTGGATCAACGGCCTGTCCTGCAATCCGTGCGACGGCAACACTGAGTGCATCTCTTTAATGTTAAACTCTATGTGTTCAAAAGTGTTCGAAGCTGTGACACAAAAAGTGTGTCCACAGCAAAGATTTGAGGAGGTTTAACGATTTTGACAACCTCCACGCAATGATGAGCCAAAAAATAAAAGCTCATGACAAAAGATTTTTTTTTTATTTAGTTGTGTGTTTTATTGGTAAAATAAATGGAAGTTAATTCTGATGAGAAGGATTGTAATTATGTAATAGCTCTTAAACACAACACAGCTTTGTTTTCCACCCTTGTGCATCTCCTCGAGGAAGGATCGATCAATAATAGGACTGAATTCGTTGATAATATTACAGTGGACAGCTATGGCAGCAAGTGACCGCTGACATTAGCAGTTGCTAGCTAGCTTAGCTCAATTGTCTGAACAACAACAACCCATAAATTCACAATTTGACACATTTAAACAAAATAAAATCACAACTACCAACAGTCACAGTCCTTAAACTCTGAGCTCATATGTCGTCACATGTTTGATCGTCAAAGTTAGAAAAATAACAGGATCAATCCCTGACAAGCTACGATAGCATTATAGGAACAGTTGCGCTCACTAACGTTGTAGCATTCCATAAAATAATGTGACGAAGCAAAATACAAGACGGCTAGTCCACCCCTGTTTGTAATCCGTGAGGTTACATACCCCTCCTACTTTGTCCAATCGACGAGCGCCCCTTTTAACCATGTGATGCTCGGAAAGCTCGGAGTGCTTTAGAAATCACAGTGTGAAAGCAGAACCGAAACAAATGATAAATGCAACAATGTTGCGACTTTCAGCTCTATAATCGAGCCAAGTCTGCTTGGTCAGGTGTGAAAGCGACCTTAAATGTACTCACAAACATTGTTTTCTTTTTCTATGAAGCTCGTTTTGCACTTAAAAACTGCATACTGTGCCTTTAATTTATGAAACCGTCCTCCCTCTCAAAGTTCCTCCTGGTGCTAAAGAAGGAAAATAAGCTCAGACTAAGATGAGCATTTCCATATAAAGACATCTGTGGAAGTGGGAGCGCTGTCGTTTCAAAGGTAATCTTACACCTCTTTGCCTTTTCAGCCCAACTGCTGCTTTAAAAAAAATCGGACAAAAGCCTCGACAAAATCTTAAATCAGACAGACTGGGAGCCAAATATCCTCGCAGTGATGTCATGCGCAGATAGAGCCGTCTCTCTCTCTCTCTCTTTTGGCAGAGTTCGGAGGCAGCTTTTGTGATTACTTTGGCTCGGAGGGTTTTCAGCCAGAGAGTCTGATTGTGCTTTCAGCAGCCGCAGCCTTCAGGCTCCATCTCACAATTCTTAATGTTACAGCTGTGTGTTTTGTGTGTGTGGGTGTGGGTGTTTTCCCCCCCTTTTGTCTCCCATAGCTGCCCAGGTAAAGTCACAGACTCACCAACCAGACTTGTTAACTCAATGGGTTAAAAGATAAAAGTTGTTAGCGCCATAGGGTCGCCTTCGGGTGGGGCGTAACAATAAATAACATCCAGCTCCATGTGACTTTCAGAAGAAAAGGAGGAAGAATCAGCCGCAGCAAATTCATATCAATCTTTATTGTATTTAGAAATCCACGCATCATCAAATCTTTTTTAGTCTTTTTTCCTTTTACCATTTACAACAGGGAAGAATGAGGGACAAGCTAAACGTCATGCCTTTCCCAGCAGGCGCGATGCACTACAGGATGGGCTGAAATGAAGGGGAAGGGGCAGAGAGAGAGAGAGAGATACATAAAGTGCTTTTGTCAACAGTTTTCTTCTTTTAATAGAAAATAGGATCAAAACAAAAGGTTTGAGGGTGGAGGGACAGGACGCCGCGGTCCATGGACGTGACAGCATGTGAAGAAGGTGAAGGAGGTGACAGTTTGATGAGGAGGGAAAGAGTGGTGGGGGGTATTTATCTTTAAAAAATAAAAAAGCGTTCCAATGTAAAACAAACAAAACAAGTGGTCTCAACCCAGGATGAGGCTGGACTTGCCACCAGGAGGGTTTCTTCGGCCTCCTGATGCGCCGTTGTTGGCGGCTCCCGACGGGGCAGAGGGCTGTGGCGTCTCCTTCTGCTGCTCCTGATCCTCTTGTTCCACATCCTCGGGACACTCTGCAGAAAAGGACCAGAAATTAATCCAAAACACACAAACCATACAGCGAAATTACTGGGGATATAATGTCCTCTGCAAAGACGGAGAGCCTCGGCGAGAGAAAAGAGAAAGTTTTTTGGTTAAATTTGTTGACGAAGTAACAGAAACACCATCTTTATAGTATCTTAAAAGGACCTGGAAGAGTAATGCAAAAAACTGCAGTTCCTCAAGTGTCCACTCGAGGCAGTCCCAAAGCAAAAGAGCCCCCATTAGCATTAGCAAAATTCACTCTGAGTAAAGCCTCGTTTACTCAGGATAACAGACAGTTAAATGTGCTCGATCGGGGAGACAGCTGTGTTGACGGACAGGCCCACTCACTGTGGCTGTTCGCCAGGAGGCTCTACGTCTTCACCTGTGATTAGGTCGATCAAAAGTGAGGTCAAGCCAGCATTACCAACATGGTGAAGGAGAGAGAGACTCAAAAAAAAAGTCTCTTCAGAAACAGGCGAAACACCGCAGAGACAACATCAAGATTCAGCTGCTGGTTTTGTCATATTTTTAGGACACGAGCTTTTGTATCTTCAAGTTTTAGCACATATTCTAACGGTATGTCAGGATGTCAGGCTCTGCTCTGAACTGGACTCATTATGTAGTCAGAGCGTTTCGATTTTAACAGCCAGAGGCAGGCCTGAAATAAAGTCCCAGAGCTGAAGCATCGAGCTCTTATTGTCCATTAGAGGCTGAATTCCTGCAAAAAATGCAAATTCAAGAGGAACTTCTGGACTTAAATGTCACAGATAAGCGGAAACAGTTCACTTATTTTAAACACTTTTTGAAACAGAAAGGACTCGTGACTTAATGAGAGCGAATGAGCCGCAAATTTATCGAGGATGTGTTTGTAAAACCCCGACACTCGAATCACAAACTCTCTGGTTTACGTTCGCTGAAGCTTCTGCGTGTGTTTTTCAGGTGTTCTCATCCTGCAAACATTCAGCGGACAGCTGAACAAATAATAGGAGGAGACAATTATGTATTCAGCTGGATTTAAGAAGGTCACGCCATTTCTGACTTAGAGCGATGAAGGGGAAATACTCAAGAGGAGCAGACGGGATCGACCACATCCCAAAGGTGGCTCAACTCTGGAGTAAAAGTGCAGTGCTTTGAAATACTCAGGACTGCCGTTACTTCTTTATTACTAAGTTAGTGATTTTAAAGACATTTCACACCTGAACCTTGTCGACCAGCTTTCCAGAACTGTCTTGGATATGGACGCAGAATAAAGGCTGATTTATGCTCGCCATAAGTATGAAAATGTACGCGTCCGTTTCAAACCATAGTTCCGTCACTGCTCACGTACTTTTCCTTTACGCTGGCATGGATGTTAATCGTTACATCCACCAGGGCGCAGGCTGGAGTCATAAGTTTCTGACAACAACAACAAACAAGAAGAAACATAGAGGAGACAGAGACGGAGGCAACGTTTAAGGAGGAGGAGGCGGTGGTCGGTCAGGACACTAAATGCCTCGCGTTTGGAGGACGGAGAATTATTTTCTCTAGTGGTACAGAGAAATTAACGGCGATTGTATTCTTCGTTTCTCTCTAGAGACGCAGATCGGGCAGTGACAGCAGCAACACTGCCCCCTATGGTTTCCGGTGGTACTGCTCCATCTGGCCGTATCCGTAAACTTAAAGGATACGTGCAGAAATATGGACGAAAACAACGCGAATCACGGACGGAGAGCTCTGTACGTATCCATATGTAACGTTGAGCATAAATGAGCCTTAAGTCCATCCACTCTGCAGGTTAGATGCTGAAATCACCAAATTTGAGATCACAAATCCAGTGAGCACAGCGCACATGAAAGCCTTTCTCTTTGCATATCTGCAGCAGATTCTGCTATAAGAAACACAGATAAGTCAGACTATAACATGCACTAACCGATCCAATGAGAGCTTGAAGACGTGAAAGTTCAGAGAGAGAAACGCTCCACCCCTCCATTATCCGAGGAGTCAGCCACTCTCTCACAAACACGCACCTGGAGGTTAATAAAAAGCTTTTCATACTAAGTGAGGCCTGCCATCGGAGAACAGCTGCTCCACTACGGACCGTCACACCATCATGACAGGGGAGGAAACCACATCAAAGAGAGCATGTGATGTTGACTCGGAGAGGGAGAACATATGTACTGTATCCGAAAAAAGTTCGCTCTGGTATGTCAGCGGAAAGTCAGCTTCTTTAGAGCAGCGTGGAGCGATTCACTGATAATCCAAGTCATGCACGGCTGTTTAGACATCCTGAGAGCGAGACAAGCCTCTGTTATAAACAACCGGAGAGAGCTGGAAACTGGAAACTTACCATCATTCGCTGGTTCTTGGCCATTTGGAACCTGCAGAGAGAGACGAATAAATCAGATCACATGAGTAGAAAAATGGATTTAAGCAAACGCAGAAATGTCTGACTGCTGGTGGATCTTTAAAATCATCTGATCTCTTTTTAAATTCAGAATAATCTTCTAACCCCAAACAGGAACCGTCTACATGTCAACATAGACACTTCTTTGTCGTTTCTTTGTTTCTGCATGTGTCTCTTAAATTATGCAATAACTGAAAATATTCCAGCCTCGTCAGACACTAAAGGAGGACTGGCATGAATCCAGATTAATAAATTAAACCTCCTCATGGATTACAAATGTCAGAGAAGGTCTGTCAAAACAGCGTCCTGGGTCCATTTCAAATGGATGGATAAAGTCGAGATTTTTCCACTGAACTGCTGGAATCAGACTTAATCTGGGGCCGTGTGCTCTTTAGCTCCAAACTAGGCTGCGGCTCTGTTTTGGAAACAGCGCCCGTCCCTCTAAATGAGCCGTACCTCTGGTTTCTGGCTCCAGACCAGGGCTGCTCCAGAGTTGTGGATGGTGGTCAGTTCCGGCTGAGGGTTCTTGGGGAAGAGGAGAGGCTGCTGGCACCGCCTGAGGGGGGCGGAGGGCTCCCCGCACAGGGTTCCTGTGGGCGATCCAGCTGTGGGGGGGGGGGGGAGACAGACATTATTAAAACTGAGAAAGACCTCGAACCCTGCAGGAGAAAAACCAAAGAACCGGATTCATAAAAAGCATATTTTCCATCGCTCACAGTTGAAGAACAACAAACACGAGTCTGTTGATGTGTGAACAGATTTTTCTGACACCTATCCAGACCAGAGTCATTTAATATTTATGAAGCATGTTTTTTTCAGCACTACATTTGTCGAAGGTCCCTGCACACTCGAGTGACGGCAGGTGGTGTGGAGAGGCCCGCGTAAATACTCTAAATCAGGCTGCTGCACGCTGAATCGTGGTCAAAATGAAAAAGTGAAAGTGTACAACAGGCTTTGGTTTGCGCTTTATATGCATGTGAGTATTGCAGCTACTCCTCTGCGTGTGTGTGTGTGTGTGTGTTTGGTCACATGATTGTCTGGTGTGCAGAGCGGCCAAAACCGACACTCAAGTGAGAGAAAAGAAACAGCTGCTTATTTCAGAGTGTATCAAATTTAGTCGCAGTGACGTTAAACACGAAGACGTGCAAAGTTTGAAGGCATGGTTGACGATTGGAGAGATTGGTAATTATTATGAACTTTGTTTCTATGGCGATCATGGTCCTATAGTGTGATCTCCACAAAGTGAAGAGAGAAAAGAATGAAAAAAATCCATCCATCCTAGCAGGTGCAGGGCTGCAAAAACATTGACAAATGGGAGTCATCCGTCCCGGACAGCTCTTATTGGTCAATCTCCTGCTCTGCCTTTTCATCCAATCACCTCACCGTATTCGACACACCCCTCTCCCACAGTTCCGACTTGTCCCCTCCCACTCTCCCGGCCCTCCTCGGAGCTCTGAGCGGCTAAAAGTAGCGTAGCAAGCCGACAGAAGAAAAGGCGGAGTCGAAGAGGAAATGTGACCAAGCGAGGAATCTAACTCGAATAAACATCAGAGCTGGCGTTTACTGCTGCTAGTCACTAGAAATCCCACATGGTGAATCCTGTTTGAAGCTAGCGTAGGATCTTCTTGCTCTGCCAGAGGGGGTGTGTCGTGGGCGGGGTGATACAGGTTCAGGGGGGAGTTATCGTGGAGCACAGAGGGGAGAGGTTTGTGTGTGGGGGGTGGGATGCTTTTTTCAAATCTGCCTCAACGGGTCAGTTTTTTTTCAACTGCTTCTCAGATTGTCAACCAGGACTTTAAGTCGCCACGCTGCATGATTACTCGACCAAACCGATGAAGAGTGAAGTACTGTGAAGGCCCGGGTAATTAAAGTCATTAAGTCGGTAAACAATCATCAATAAACCGACGAGTATTTCTGGTATCGGCTTTTAAGAGAGTCGACATCTAATCCTTTGGTCAACAATATGAATATTCACACGCCTCTAGTAAATGCAGCAGAGTTTAATTTCTCTTTAAAGTTTTTTTTTAAAACGTCTAACATCCCAAATCTAAACTTCATTAACCTGCGTTTCTTTTAAACTCCATAAGTTGTTTTATTTTGGATAATTACTGTCAGGATTTTGCAGCTAATGATCTCCTGCAGCCAGTTTGTGATCGCCTCCCCCTGCCTGATGTTTCCCCTCCTCTGCTGCTCACACGGAGAAGTGACTGATGACTGAAAAGGCAGGAAAAAGCAAACTCTCTCTCTCTCTGAGTTTGTCTTTTAAAAGGGTTCAAACAGGGTCACTCTCTTTTATGACACTCGGCGTCATGATTGCTTTTTTATTCACTCCCTTTCAGCCGATAGATCACACTGAAACTCGACAGGAAACTCAAGAGACACATGACAAAACATGAGTCAGGCTGCGCAGAGCGGAGTCATGCCATATGGACGCTAATCCAATTAGTCACCCCGGGCCCAAATGTCTCAACCCCATGAGGCGACTGCGCTCGCCACAAGATTCATCTCCTCTGATTTGACAGAACATCAGCTTTATGAGGCCGTTTGACTGAAATAACACGACAGCAAATCACTGAAGACCAACAGGAGACATCGTCAAATCGGCTTGGGCGTCTGCAGCAGACCCAGAAACCCAGTGGAACACATCCAGGCAGACAACCCCGACCGCTGCCAAAACTCACATAACAACCCTGCAGCGCCTGCTACACTCTCCTCCAGCAGAAAGAGCATTAAAACACGGCGTTTGGCCCGCGGCGAGGAGGACGCCAAAGCCTCATAAGGTAACAGCCCAGAGGAGTGGGGAGGGACGGGCAGACAGAGCGTCTTTGTCATGGCGGGCGGACGGCTGCTGGAGGAGTGTGGATTGTTTGAATGGAGTGGAGTGATTCAGCTGCAGATTTCTGAGGCTGATCAATCAAACAGCAAATGGACGAGGATTAAACCCGAGTCAGAGGCCAGACTGATGCATTACATGATCATCACTCCACTACATACAGCCTTCTACTTAACCTTACAGCCCTCTGGGGTCCAGCGTGCTCACAGCGTCTATATGATAGAGCTGGAGGCGGGACCGGCTCTCATGCTGCTGCTGCTGGTCTTGGCTTCCCCTCTGATTACAGAGCGCCGCTCATGTGGGCTGAAGCTGAGGGCGCTCCAACAAACCGACAACTCTGCGATCCGAATGCCCGACAATCCTGACATGCTTTATGAACTGAAATGATCGTGTGAGCGGAGGAGCAAAACAGCAGCAGCACAACAGAGGAGGAGTCTCTGTTTTAAAAGGATTAGCCTCACGCCATGAGGTCCACCTTTGGAGAGGAGAACTTCCCAGGATGGTCACGATGATCGCAAACCACAACCGCCGTGTTTACGTTTTATTTCCACAGGACTCCGCCCATTTTATTCCACTTTAGCTGATGTCAAATAAATGAAACACAAATCTAGTTATCCAAATCTTAAGACCCTGAAACTCCAAAATAATCCCACATTGATTAACTAACTATCGTCCCGCTATTAAGTCTCAACTATCTCCTCAAGCATCAGGTTGTGGAGCAGCATCAACAGGGAAAATGAGGTCAGAGCGAGCTGAAGCTGAGAAAGCTCTACTCAGAATAATTATCATAATTCGCTGAAAACAAACTCAAAACCTCGGCGGTTAATCACTGCAGGAGAAACAGCCTCACAGCAAAGCCTGAGGTTTTATTTTTGACTCTTTTTTAATCATAAAAATGAGATTATTCTATTTCTTGTTTTAGGATGTTTTCAGGAGATAACGACCTTTAATTTCATTTCACAAAGCACTAGAAACTGACACTTGTAACGGGACAACAACGAGTCTTCCCTGAGCTAATGCCATTTAAACTCCGGATAATCCCCTCACCGTAAACAATCCTAATTGGAAATAGTTGAAAGAAAAGCGTCTCTGAGAGGTGAACAGCGAGGTCTACGATAATCCCAGCACACACGACTACTGATTGAACATCATCTGAGGTTAAGCTCGGATATTTTCATTCTCAGTGACCTCAAACTACGACGTAAGCTCGACTTACAGTCTACTACTGACACTCTGGAGATTCATGAACAGGAACGTCATAATCCAAGGACAGAGTTTGGAAGACCTTTTTCTGCAGCGACATTCTTCCAGATCACACAAAAGGAGCGTTTCAAAAGCACCTCCACCAGATGGCACGCCAAAGCAAACAAACCTGTTCATTGACAGCGGGAGTTCATCTCCAGGTCAGATGCACAATGCTTATAAAACCTGTTATAGTCATAAACCCGACTCATCCTGGCACCGACAGCATAATATCCTCATCCAGCTGCAGCCATTAAAAGTGGAGAACGAGGAGAAGACTTCCTCCGAACTTGACCCAGACCCAAGAGAAACAATGCAAACAGGAAGAGGCTTCAGTGTCAGCAGCTGCCGGCTGCAGAGGTCACACAGGCTGAAATGGTGATTTTAAGGTAGATTCTTCATTTGCCCACACACTCGGGAAATTCGATACACCATGTAACTGGTTCCCTGCAAAACAGCCGATGTGAAAACATGTGATTCCTGACTTGTGAGCGACTCACAGCTCTGTGCTGAAAGAGAAGATGTCTGCTGCGGGGCTGGAATTTTCCTCTTTGAGCTCTTTTTGGAGAATATTTGAGCCCTAAAGCTCCTGGAGATTTGAGTTTGAATAAAAACACACATTTTTTTTCACAGCTGAGAGTCTTCTTCAGATCAGACTCATTTTGATTGACTTCAGTCTTTTGGAAACATAGACTGGTTACTCATCAGCTCTTTGTTAAATGCTTTAGTATCCATATGATATTTAGCCGCTGGCTTAAACTGGGGCTATCATGAGTGAAGCCACAACTTTTAGAGCTCCCCCTGGTGGAGAATCATCAGTTCACATGCACATGCACAGATTAATCGGACTAAGGTCATAATTTGTTTTTTTCACCAAATACAATCAATTATTGATGTAAACGTGTCCGCCTCCTCAGAGCTAGGGGGCGATACGGGTCTTTTTAGCGGCACTGTTATTTGACCTTTTTTTAAAGATGTCTCCATACTCATTCTGCGACCGTCCTTATACTTTGAAATGTTCATTTCTGTCAGGACGGAAAGCATAACGGCGCTCTCCTCGTCATTCCAAAAGTGGACGTTCTTTCGTCCTTCAGCCATGTTGCAGCTGCTTCTGAGTCAAAGTTCTTTAAATGATAGTGACACTTCTTCTCTGGTGTTATGGAGGCGTGGTGCACACGCACATGCATTGTCCAATCATACTCGGACTACGCTGGTTACATGGTAGAGAAAATTGAATTCAAATCACATTATCAGGGCGTCTTAATCGAGTTCTCTGACTCCAATCAGAGTCCTCAAACTCCGATTATAGTCGGACTAAGGTGTTTACATGCACTTCAGTAATCCAGTCTTAATCGGAGTAAATCAATAATCATTTTCCTCTAGTGTCATGTAAGCGTACCGATTTTCTCACACATGCTTCCTCCTCAGCAGAGTAGAATAGAGGAGGAACGGTGAGAGAAAAATGAGACTTATACTAAAACACGAGTCAAGAGCGTCACTTCAGCTGCATCAGTCTGAGGAGTATTTGGCGTTTTTACAGTGAGTTTCATGTGTTTGTGTTAGCTGAAAGGAAGTGATGTCTGCCCCACAGTTGACAGCACACGCCTCGGCTCCACCAGCCTGATACGTCCACACCCATCAAACTTGAAGGTACTTTTCTTCATATCTCACAATGGGAGGAAAACAGTTTTCCACTTGATATAAAAGCCGATAACCTGATCTGCTCGGACACTGGAGCACTGGACACAAGTGCTGCACTATGGATTTAACATATAGATAATAGAGCACCATCATAAGATCATTAGACTGGTTCCTTCTGCTGTTTAAATGACTCCTACTCTGAGTATTAAATATAATGGATCTGTCAAAAAAAATGAACTTTCAAGAACAACAAATAGAGCAAACTCACATTTGAGAGTCGATTCAGTTTACCTGTGTGTTTGCAAGCATACCTGAACACACCCTACAGTCGGCCTACATGAATTTTTAATCCCAGTTTCTGTCTTTGTTTTCCCGGTGACCTTGACGACTCAGAGCCCTTTAAGAGGTCTCTGTACTTCCCTGCCTCTCCTCCTGCTGTAACGTGTCCCCAGCGTCTCTCCAAGGCCACACATTCACCAATTGACACATTTTTAACTGACCTATTTCTTTCCTTTGAGAGCTGCTCCTCCACCACTCGGTTTAATACAGCCCGGTTTCAAATTACCCTTAGCCCAGTGCTCCGGGGTTTTTTGGCTATCACACTTGTGGGATATTCTTTCTGACAACTAAAACGGAAAAATGCTAAATAACACTTCAGTGTTTTCCTAACTCGAGATTTAAATCCAGAGGTTTTTTCGCTTACTTAAACGTTTCTGGTTGCTCCGACTTGTTTGGCAAGATTAAACCTGCCATTACAGGAGCGGTTCTACCTCTCTGATGCAGAACTCAAACAACTGTTAATGTTTCCTTGTAAATTAAAACAGCGCCGCTTTCCTTCCACCCGCTCTGATAATGGAAACTGGACTAAGTTTAGAGTTAGAGGGACGTTAAGGTTGAATTACTGGGCGGATTGTTCCTCCGATGAGCATGGGGGTCATCAGGTTCTGCGAAGATGCTTGAGGCCATCTTGTTCTTGCGTTGGGGGGTGGTGTTTTCATCTGAGCCGAGGGAGAAGCTGGAGTCCCCACCTGGCGGTCGTAGTACCCTGGAGAGCGAGAAACGGGAGAATTAGGACAATATTGATGACAAACAGCTCCCTGTCAGGTGCCTGTGAAGAAAATCAATGTCAAATAAAACACGAGGACGCCTCGAGCCTTCCTGCGACTCCACCCTAAACCTTTTAAAAACATACCAGTCTCACAAAAGACACAGGCTAGCAGCAAGGTCTCTGCTCTTTAAGCCCCGGCTGTCAGCCTGTCAGACAGACAGTCACAATCTCTGCCCGGCAGCTGACTCCCCTCGCACATAATCACAGAGTTAGCTGGCTAGCTGCTGCCTCCCCTCATACAGATTCTTTTGCAATGACACACCAGGGAATGGTGTCAGTTCCTGGTAGCATTGTTGGACAATTATTAAATGAGTCAATCAAACCTGATACCCCCTTTGGGTCAAAAACAAGACAAAGAGGGTGAAGAGTTGGTGGTCCACGGCTAATATAGGTCAGCTAATAAATGGACTTTCTACAACAGTAAAAGGAGACCTGTAAGCAGACCAGAGCGGGGCAAACAAAGCCCACTTTGCTCCGACATTCCTCCGGCCACAAGCTGAACAAAAGGAGCTCGATAATGAGTAGGGAAACTCTTTTTCCTCGCCGTGCTAAAGGACGGACAAAAACTGATGTGTTTGCAGACCCTTTGCTGGACCCCTCCCTCTTTTTTTTCCCCAGCAAACTCTCCTCTCCTCAGAGTCCCCGAAGCCACCAGCTGACACACTGAGCAGCTGTCCAAGGGCCAGGCAGGCAGATGGAGGCCAAAAAACAACCCGAAGAAAGCAACTCAACGAGGGGATATACCGAGCGTTGGCTGTGGGCTTAATATTTTCACAATCGACCCTGATATCTCCGTGCGAGTGTCTGTCACACACTTGGCTGTGACAGTAATGCCTAAACCAGACTTCACCTCCCGGCCAGAGGGGATGAGCTCATGCTTTCCACGCGGATTGCAAAGGGGGGAAAAGCTTTAAGCCGCCTGGCAGCAGACCCCACCCTAGAATGAAACTGCAAATAATATCAATAAAAAGCATTTATGTTGGAGGAGCTGGGGGGCAGCTACACGCAGGTAGAGCTCGGTCTGGTATAGCCGAGATCCTGAGCCAAAGATGGCATGTCTGATAAGGAGGGTGGGAGGCTTCTGATGGCCTACAAAGATTTTAGCCTGATTCTGCTGAAGTTGAAGCTGAACAGATCCCTAGTTTGGACAAAAAGGACCAACAACTTGTAAAAAAGGGGCTTTAAGGAGGAAAAGCAAAAGAGCTAAGGGAAGATTTACAGGCTTATCTGGCTCAGAGCCCCCACCCAAGCCCCCGCATCATCAGAAAACAGCATGCGGCTTCAAAACGCTTAATGACTGACCGAGATTTGACTTGCTGACTCTGAAATGGCTAATAGCACAGGGTTTCCTCAAGAATCTGGGATTAAATGCCCTGAAATCAGCATGGCAGGCATAATTTAAGGTCATTTTCTTCGCTTTGTTTCCTCTGCAAAGGGGCAGGAATGAATCCAGACGAGTCACATCTCAGGACTGCATGTCTGGAGGATGAGTGGCCCTCTTTGGCTGTTTTTTATATTCATGTAAAGATTTAAAAGAGGTATTTTTAAGGCTAGAAACTTCCTTTTTACAGTGTCCAACAATGAGGCATATCCCTGCTCATGTTAATGACAAATGCAGACCCAGGAATCCTTCCTTCAAATCGATCACACATGCTCCAGACCAGGCTTTGGACTAAATCGACATTTACCTGAACAAAAGACAATCAAATTAACATAATCAGAAACACTTAAGAGTGGAGTTAATCACCAAAAGAGACGAGCAACGACTTCAACTGCTGAAAAAGTTATAAAGCGGTCGAAAGGTAAGTTCGCGTTAACCTAAAAAAAGGTGAAAAACAGCCTCTCTTTCCTGCTCGCTCCTCTTTCTTTTCGTTTTTTTACGAGCCCAAACAACAAACTTATACTTCGCATCAGTCACCCAATAAGATTAACTTAATTAGCAGGATGTGACAGTTGAACTAAATCCAGAAAAATCCCCTGCCTGTCAGGCAGAAAAACGGGCACTTCTTTGTTCCTCCGCGAGGCGCTCAACTCTCTCCGTTTACCTGGAACTGCTCTTAGCGCCGGGCTCCATTCCCGAAAAAGTGGTGGTCGTCGTCATCTTTAAGGAGTAATTTCGATGGTTTCGGCAGGAAGAGAACAGTCTGTGTGAGAAAGTAATAGAAAGAAAAGTCCTCCTCCTTCGTCTTCGTCTTCTTCCCCCGCAGAGATGCGACAGGATGCAGACTCCACCCGACACTGAAAAACATAACCAAGACCAGAGCTGTCGGTTCTGCGGTGCCAGCCCACGAGACCCAGCCCACCAGTGTTCGGCCCGTTCTGATTGGACGGGGTGTCACAGAACTCCTCTCTCATTGGATGGAATGTTACAGAACTCGCCGCTCATTGGGCAGAACCTCAGCGATCGGCTCTGTTGTTGATGGCAGGGCTTTGGCTTCATGTCAGTGATCACACAGGAAAGTCCACATCCCTGAGGGCCTGAGTGTGTTTTCCTGTGTCATTTAGTTGCATTGATTATGACAGTCTGCGGAATGGTTTATATTTACGGTGGCCGACTGCTGCAAATAAAAAAGAATGCAAAAAAAAAAAAAGAAGAAGCCACAACGGAAGTTCACGATGTAAAAAGAAGTGGTAATGCAAAAAAGAAAAAAAAAGTTACTTACTGCCAAAATAAAAGGATGTAAATAAAAAAGAATGCAAAAAAAGCCACAACTTAAATTACCCATTCAAAAAAAAAAAAAAAACACACACACACACAACGGAAGTTCACAATGCAAAAAAAAGTGGCGATGCAAAAAAAAACCCAAATTACTTACTGTCAAAATAAAAGGATGCAAACAAAAAAAGCCACAAGCCTCAACTTCGTTCGTCTTCTGTGCCTAGAATTTGCATCCTTTCATTTTTGCAGTAACTTTTTTTTCCATCGCCACTTTTTTTTTGCATTGATAACTTCTGTTGTGGCTTTTTTTTTTGATTATCTGCACCATTTCTTTTTTTATTTGCAACAGTCTTTGGTTTCTTTTTTTTTTGCATTGGTAACTTTCGTTGTGACTTCTTTTTTTAGTTTTTAGCAGTGGCGGTTCTCGGCCACCGTATATATTAACAGGGAAGGAGGGCGTTTTTGATCTTTGACCTCCAGCTGTATTAAACCCTGTAATCATTCTCATTAGAGTAGAATAACTACTAACTAATAATTTATATGGGAGCTTAACATGGACAAACACCCAGGCGTTGTATTTGTTTGCTGTATTTTCCAGCTGTTTGCTTAATTGTTTTCTTATCTCTGGATGGAAATTCTGTTTTTTTAATTATAATGGATCAATTTGTCTCATTATCTCATGATAACAAAGCTGATTTTCTTATAAAGAGATCTTATTATTACAAGAAAACAAATCTTGTGTTATCAAGATTATGGGATAATTTAGGCAAAACAATCAGCCAGTCACTGGGGGTACAAATAATAATCATGTGACACTGAGTCAAGATTTGAAGAAAACTTGCAGTGTGAATAAAATTACTTTAAACAGAAAAAAACGCTTTATGCAAAATTGTTAAACAATTCATGAGAAACACATATGAAGATCATAAATATTTCACAAAATTAAAAAGTTCACAAACAGGAAACATAATGAATATTTTGTTCTGACTTGTTTAATTGTTTTATGAGGTAGATTTATGAGATTTTGTAGATAGTTTTTTGCATGGTATGAGACATTTTTTTCACTGAAATTTTTTTCACTAAATTACTTTTTTTGTACTGATTGGAATTATTTTTGCATTTGGTTTAAATTTTTTGGCCGTAAAAATTCTTTTTGTGGGCCACCGCAGGTTTTATAGTTATGCTCTTTGATGTTAAACAAATGTCCATGAACAACAATATATGCGATTAAACTTTAAACTCAAACTACTGAAGATCTTGGGACAATAAAGTGATGATCTAGAGTCCTTTTTTTTGTTAAAATAAGTGTGTCTATTTTAGTCAGATTCAACTTTCACATTAGAAAGTCAGACAAAGTTAGTGGAAGTTTGGAAAAAGACAATAGCTTTATTTTAACAAGCATCTCAATAGATAATACAGATGTTTATTTGACTGGAACGTCTCATCAGGCTCCCCGAAATCTGAAGCTTGGCCTAGTCAAACCATTACTCAAAACATTTCCCTACACATCCATTACTATATAAAAATGTATAAAATCAAATAACTTTTCAATGATAACAGAAAAACAAACAACCATCCAGCCTCGTTCCCTAACAGGGTGTAGCACTCGTAAAATGATCGCCAGTCCCCAAAGAGTTCACTTGAAGAATAGATTTGTTGGACACTGAACAAGCCTCGCCCAACGACATTTGCTCAGTACTGTCGGTTTTATTAAGTATCCCCCTCCATCATCATTCCTCTCTGTCTGCAACCTTTGGAAAAATGAACAACCTACAAATTGGCAAGGACTGTCCTTAACATTTACAACAACTGAGCATGAGAACAGAAAACCCGGATGATTTCGATGTCGGTTTATGTACAAAACCAAAAAAAAAAGAAGGGCGAGAATGAAACTATTATACAGCAGTTATGTGGAGCAGAGATATGAAAACGTCTGCGTTCAAACTCTGTGGAGACATCAGGACGAGTTGTAAAGAAGCAGCTGCAGAGGTACTGACTGGGAAGGTTTGCAGTGTGAAGAAGGAAAACTGTGATGCGTGTGGTCGATTAAATCAGGCCTCCCGTCTGTTGCTGAAACACGTCGATCGTATCTTCATCTTCCATTTCCAACTGTGGAGGGAAAAGACAGTTATTTAAAGCGCATGAGTTTCACATGAGTCTGCGTATTTGTTAAAAAAAAAAGTTGATGAAGTTAGGTGCTGTTCTGAGCATTATTTGTGGCTAGAGAGGTCGGCAAAATTCATCTCTGGAGGGGGTGTCTAACTCAGTGTTGTGGTGTGTTTGACCCTAACATAATTTTACGCCGGATTATCCCTTTAAGTTGCTTCATGCAAAGCTCAATAGACTGCAGACCTGTTAGGCTGTATCTACAACGTGAAATCAGCCGCCTTGTCTGAAAGTGACCCCCCATGTTGTTGCGTCAAAAATGACAATAGAGGAATTGTCCACTTTGTTCCTGGTAGTCTTGTTCCCTTTCGTATATCATAAACAGGCATCACTATTAATTTCAGTCTATTTCACAATCACTTAAAAACTCCACAAATGCATCTGACTGTGGTCCTCATTAGAAAAAGCCAATTTCTGTTTAAAGCTCACATGTCTCTCATTAACTTCAGGTTCTTTTGTATTTGCTGTGAACTTTTGTTTCTTCCCTTTTCTGATTTCTAGTTTCCTGTTCCTGAAATGAATCAGGACCTTTCACTGACTTAAATATCTTGTTTTAAAAGGCCCTCAGACTTTCATTTTCTTTTATTTCTTTCAGATGTTTCATCTTTGTATCTTTAAAAAATTTTTGCTTGTTCTGGTCAGAGTCTCTCACAAAAGTGGCCTCAGCAGGGACTGACATATGGGATGCTTTTCTGGGCTCAGCTCTGCAGTTTTTCAGGGTTTTGGAACAGAGAGAGTCTCAGATACTGGATTAAAGGTACTTAAAAAAAAAAGGCCCCACTTTTGAATCTGAGTATCTGCATAAATCTCCTCTAAACTATCATTCAACTTCCATCCTGCAAAGTTTTACATAAAAACTACAACGTTCAGTCCTCAGACTCATGTCATCCTGGACTTTTCTGCTCACTGTGGGCTGCTCTTCTCTCTTTTCAGTTTGGTCATTGTTTAGTCTGCAAGCTCTTCTCCGCCCTACAATTGCACGTATCAAGACTTGTCCAAAGACTGGGGGGATTTCAAACCGTGAGCAGACTGTAATCATGTTTGTAAGATTGAAGGACAGAGAGAGAAAATCCCAAACATAAACACACCAAGAGGAGCTTCTCCAGGTGAGGGCATTCAAGGAATGCATGGAGTATGCATTCCTCACAGGCAGATGAAGATTAAGGCTAAAACCCCCCAGAGTGAGCGATGATGATTCATGTGCAAACACATGAAGTATGACTGAGCCGTTTCTATAGCCCAGGTGCAGGAGGGCATGACAGTTTATACTTTTAACTCCTTGATTCAGCAGCTCTGTACTCACCTGTGCAGGTGTGTCTGTCTCATTTATCGGCTGTCCGTCAAATCTGAACCTGATTTGCCTCATTGCAAGTCCCTGGAGAGACAAAAACACAAGACCTCAGGTTAATATCCGGTATGTTTAGAGATTTGTATACCTCTACAAATCCTGTAGATTTGCAACCGTTGAATGGTGCTCTCAATTATTGACTGTTTATTTCATTTATTTAAACCCCTTTCTTTCAACTAATGGAAAGATTTGATTTGTGACGTATTGTGATGACGTTTTTCGCCATCCTTTTCCTCCATGTTCGGCGCTGTTTAGGTTCACAACGCGTAGCCGCTGTAACAGGCTGCTCTGCCAACAGCAACACTCTAAGTTAGAGTCCAAATGTTGCTGTTGAAAACATGAGACTTTGGGAGTAAACACATTTGGTTTTGTTTTCGTCGCAGGAAACTAAAAACTTTTCAAACCTGTAATCGATTGTTTATATCTCCAAAGATGATCACGAATACTAAGATTTGCTTTCCTTATCTTGCTCTTTTCCCATTTCTGCAGATCGGTTTAGTCACGTCTTTGTTTCTTGTGTTTTAATGTGTTGTAATAATGCTTTTATTACCCACTGATTCACTGATCTGGTTTTCTCAAAGTCTGAAATGTGCTGTAAAGACAAAAGCTGTAATTCTCTTAATATGCTGCGGACAGGCCGATAGCTTTTAAGTATGGAGTCTGCAGCTCGAGGGTCAGAGAAGAATAATAAGGTGTACAGTCTTCTGTGAGAGGAATAAAGGGATAATGAAAAACATCTGCTTCTCCCTGTAGTTTTCAAAATGAGCTGCATGACAAACATGTCTGCTTTGGCCTCCTCGACTCCGCTCTGAGTTTCCTTTCTTCCAGAGAGTTGAAGCTCATTTGACTTTCAGATCGAGAGGAAAGTCCGAAGTTTTATTTCTGTAAATATTCGAACTTTAGACATAGATTCTCCAGAGTGCAGCAGATGTTGTCAAACAGCAGGACTGTTTAGAGAGTGAAGCTTTAAGGAGTGAGCTGGCACTCGTCCGACCGTCTGCTCATTAGAATAAGTCAGCATTCCTGCATCTTATTCGAGGAAGGAAGGACGACTTCAGAAGTGATTCAGATCTTAACTGCTGATGGAAAAGATGATGTTTGTGATGATTATGTGGAATCACAGAGGAGTGGTGCGGCATTAGGTTTGAGGTGACAGGAATGACGTAAGCTGATGGGAGATTTACATCTAAACTACGGCTTTAAATACGCGGGAACAGGAGAAGAAGGAGAGCGATAGAGCGGAGCTGGAGCACAGCCAGTAACGAATGAACAACGAGTCTTTCAGGGAAAAGAAAATGACTGACAATGTGACCGTCATGATTTACTCCGTAATGAGAATCAGCTGGCTTTTATTTAACGTTTGAACTCTTGACTGTCTGTACGAGTGTAAACGGCTTGTATGTGATGTGTGTAGGACATGTTTTTGACCTAGGCCTGCCAATACCCTCATTATTTGGATAATAGTGTTCATTCCAGCACACTATATCTGCTGCAAACGTTCATCTTCAACAACGAAGAGAAAAAAACTTTTCTGCTGCAAAATACAAACAGAAGGTTTATTTTTCAGTTCCAAACATAAACTACCATAAAATTTGATGTATAAGATAAACTTTTGATACTTTGTGGTCACCTAAAAAGTGAGATGCATACTACGCTGCAGTGCAAACAATATTCTAAGCCTGTTGAATACACGAGGAAGTGGACTATTTTGGCATTTTTTGTAATTTTTTTCTATTATTAGGTTTCAGTTATGGGTTTATGGTTGTGAGGCAGACGCTGCTCCCCCGTGTCGTTCACGAGCCCAAACAAAGTTAGCGTGCTACAATATCGGACAGTAGAAACCAACCAGAAAGTTCGGAAAATTGTCTGAATCCTCCTTTAGCCACAACTGCCGACACAAGCAAGAAAACAAAGTAAATACCGAAGACTCTTGAGGAATAACGGACACTAAAAAAGGAGGTAGACCGGACAAGAGCTAAAAAGCCGGGTCAACAAAGAAGGGGGATGTTTCTGGATCTTGGTGACCCTGTAACCTTTCTGCTGGACAGGTAAACCGCTTTAACAAAGTAAGACAAGTGTCTGTAACAGAAGTGTTTCTTGTCAAACGGACCTGCTGTAGCGTGTTGTAGCGCCATCGCTAAACTGTCCTCCCTCGGGTCCTGGACTATGTCACTTTATCCTCGTTGTAGAAGTCCTGCAAACATTGTGTTTGCTGGTAGTCTGTTGGCATCTACAGTAGCACCAATGCTTTTGACTTTCACCTTGACTGGGCCCCATTTGTAATGATCTGAAGTATTTATCTGCATTATGTCTGAATTTAATTGGAACGAGCAGGTGTGTCTGTTTGTGGGAGCAAAGAGGGAGGGGAGAGTAGGAGCTGAGGGGAAAACTGGTTGGGAGGGGTAGAGTTTACATTCATTATTAGAAACACTAATTACCATATTAACTTGGAATGCTAATTTACGTAAGAAAACTCAAACCTGTGGAGGTTGATTGCACTATAAAGAGCTACACATTTGCATAAAAACTGAACGTTGCTGAACAAAATTATAAATTTCACACAGGAACAAAGTTTTAACCTTTTACCCCTTGAGTGGCCCCTAAAATGGACTGTATTTTACATACATGTCTAGCTTATACTCTGGATTTTCTGGTACTTGTTTGCTTGAATTTGCATTAGGTTATCTAGGGAGAAACTCAGATTTTATCTCTTACTAAGGTGAGGTTTTATGACTTGTCAGGGGTGAAAATTACTCTCATCACAGCCTTTTTGTGCTCCCTCAAGTACAAACATGTGCTGGCTTCAAAACTGTTGCCTCAAAGCATCAAGTAATTACAATCATTATGAAAATTATAATAATGAAGAGTCACCGTATATCAAATTTCTTAAAAGCCTAAAACCATATCATCTTTAAAGCTGGAAAATCTGAGAATAGTGGCGAATATCTGGTTCAGTTCTGTCTCTACTCAGGGAAAATATTCTACTTTTTTGAAAGAGGCTTCAATCGCTGACATTTTGACATGTTTCTGCAGGAAAAACTTGGCTGTGACTCATTTCTTTCACAATGGCTGCATTACAATTGCAGAGGTGTGTCTGGTCAAGTGTTGAGCATGCAGGACAATCAAAAGGGACTTTTTCCACAGTCGGTGTGGATGTCAAAGTAAACCTGATTTAGTCAAATGAAGTTATAACAATATAACAAACAATAGTGCTGGTGATTCCTACATGTACCAGGATGCATTGTGCATGAGCTTCAGTGGCTCAGCTCTGCTTCACTGCATTTCTACAATCTAAAACTCTGGCTGTTATAAATAAAACTGCAGATCCGGTGAGCCAGAACTCAGTAAAACGTTTCCTCTGCACTCATATTTTTGGATGCAGCTCTGGATGTTTGTGACACAGTTTTGAAGCTGGTTTGTAAGAAAAAAAAAAGGCAGAAACTGGAAGTCTCTGCCAAAGAAAAGCCCACAGTTCTTCAAGGCCAGTAAGTACTGAAACGATGGTTCTGGTACGCAGAAGGACAACAGATTTTGCAGATGTGTTGTGCCGTGCCCCAGAGACACAGAGATGCATATGCAACTTTAGCAGAAGTTTTTCAAACTGCATTCCTAAAGATACAGCGTTGAAACGAACAACTATTCAAGCTTGTATTAGTATATCCATGAGGGCCTGACAAAACGCAGGAAGTGTGTTGATTTTTTAGGACCATACACCCCTCATATTGTGATTAAACAGAGTAAACAAGCAAAAAAAGTAGGTCCTACATGAGCAGATGAGAAAGCATCATGTCTTCTTGAAACTACAGCTCTATTAAAAGCAAATTACACATTTTTATACTTATTTTAAATCGAAGTTCTGGCTCCTTTACTTGTTATTTCACATATGAGGATGTAGCAGACAACCTGCAGTAATCAGCTCTGACGCCCTGGACTTTAGGGACCGCTTGTTAAGGAATAAACCTGTCAGGTCTCCCAGATTTCCCCGCATTTGTAAGCGAAGCCTTAAGTGTGCAGATACGATGCTACACCCACCTGTCTGTCGCAGTAGGCTTTCATGAGTTTGATGAGCGGCGTGTGTCTTTTGATCTTGAACTGCACCACAGATCCATCCTGACCCGCTACCTTCAGGTTTATGTGTTCGTTGTTTTCCGTCTTCACTCCCTCCTGTGAGATGAAGTCAAGAGGAAAAAAAAAGACAGTGAGTCTGGGGAAACTTTAGAAACTTCATAGAGGGTTAATTACACCTCCAACTCATCATTCAGAGAGGTTGACAGGACAATAACTTAGACAGGGGAATAAAACAGAGTTAATGTACTCAGGTGCATGTATAGATGTCTTTTAGTACCTTCTGTAGATTTATATGCATTTGCAAAACATGATTTGATTAGTACAAATATATTGATTCTGGTTTGGAGTTAATAGCAAATCCTTTACATCCTTCTTGGGGAGCATCCAGCATCCGTCTCATGTTTCAAGAGTGTTTTTTCACTTAATAACCACAGGCCATTGGGCTCCTTAGGAAAGAAAATAGTCAGCACAGCATTTGGATTTTGCTTTAGCTACTAATCAGCAGCACCTATTAGTTATCTTATCAGCTTGGGTCGGCTGAATGAAAAAGTCGTTTAAAAGTTTAATCTGTCCTCATTTGTCTTTGAATCTTGTAGAAAGTTGTGCAGACTAAAACACTACTGCACATTATAACAGTCCTTCAAGCCTTCAAACAACATCTTTTAGTACTAATTCAATAAAACAGTGTAAAGCAACTCTTAATTTAAACAGAGTTTTATTTGGAAAAATTCACTGCTTCAAAGCCTCTTTGGCTGCTTTACAATAACAAACCCAGTACAAAGAATTCTTTCGTACTTACATAGCTCTAAAAAATCTATGTATTTGGTGAAGGCATTAAAACTGCCTTATCACAGGTTAATTTGATGCATTAGTTGTTTAAAAGAAAAGTAGAACAGAAAAATCTTCAATTAATTAATGTATTTCCAAACATAAATAAGGTTTTATTCACCTCCCTTTTGTTGTTTTCTCACCATGGGCTAAAAAACATGTTTTACTTCAAACTTGCTGATATTAAACTGAGTCCATATCACATAAATATCAGCTACAAGAGACAGTAAATGTAACATTAATTGGTGAGGGTGGATATCAGTCAGCAGGACTATTTATGCCAAATATGATGTATGATTGTGTGGCTAATGCAAGCTTGCACGAATCAATAAAGATCAAAATATTGACTATTTGGCTGGATGATAAAACCCAGATGTGGTTCTAATTGGAGAGCAGGCTCTGATAGTTAAACTGAACCAAATGATCTGTGTGAACACCAGTTCCCGTGTTTGTTTTTTGGGTTCTCTGACAGATTTCTTTAATTTTACAGCCTCTCTCGGGCACATTTCCACTTTGTTTACACTCGGTTTCAGTGTCCACAAGTTGACCACAGCCAGATGTAAACAAAGATGTATTGAAAATGTGTAAATTCAGTGGCCTGTACTGATTTTCACTGGTGTTAACCACTGAGGAGTGCACAAACTTTCTCTCCTTCACAGACACAGACTAACATCACTCCCTTTGCTGCCTTTTAACTTCATTTATAACCATGAGCAACTAAACCCTAACGAAGTCAATCAGTTTTAATCTAGGGTGTTCCTTTTAAGATATCGAACTGTGCATATTCAATAACAAACCAACAATAAAGCGATTTAATATAGTGTGATATCTTAACTTGAAGTTGCACGCACAGACAAAATCAGAGCAATATTAAGATGTTAAAAATAGAAATCAAGTCAATGACTGATTTCTATACCACTATACTAGAAACAGTAAATGTCACATTAATTGGTAAAGGGTGGATATCGGACAGCAAATATGACGTTTGATTATGTGGCTAATGCAAGCTTGCACTAATCAATAGAAGATCAAAATATCGACTATTTGGCTGCATAATAAAATCCAGATGTGGTTCTAATTGTAGAGCAGACTCTGATAGTTAAACTGAACCAAATGATCTGTGTGAACACCAGCTAGGGTATTTATTTGGGGGTTTCCTTTAATTTTACAGCCTCTCTCGGGCACATTTCCCCTTTGTTTACACTCGGTTACAGTGTCCACAAGTTGACCACAGCCGGATGTAAACAGAGATATACTGAAAATCCTGTAAATTCAGTGGCCTGTACAGATTTTCACTAGTGTTAACCATTGAGGAGTGCACAAACTTTCTCTCCTTCACAGACACAGACTCATACACTCGCTATTTCCAGCTCAGGGCTCTCAAACTCTCCTCACAGACGCTGATAAGCTGCAGCATGCTCCGAGGATGACACCAGCTGTGTGCCATCAAGCAGAAAGCGATCTGCGCGCCTGTGGATGCGCGTTCACGAACCTTCCGGTCTATCAAAGTAGGTATAGGCAGTAGTTAAATTGAGCTCTGAACTTTAACATTTTAAAAACAGACCGCTGGAAATAACTCCGTTTTTTCTCTGTGCAAATGTCTTAAAAAGCAGGTAAATAAAGAGTTTGACTGCAGCAGAGCGGAAACACTCACCTTTGGTTTTTCATCAGCCATGGTCACTCTTTTGGCGCTTCTCTACGCTGCCACACAAAGAATACGTGTGCGCGCACGTACTCGTTCCCGGTTAAATTATTCGAACGAAACGTGCGCGGTCACGAGCCTGTGCGCGTCCACAGTGCTTTGTTGTGAATGGCTACGGGCGGTCGCGTGATGAAAGCGCGGTCTGGGGATGGGCGGGAGAGTTTCGATGCGCGCGAAAGAGGCATCCAGAAACACATGCACGCGCACAACGACGTCTCCCCTTTTGTTTCCATGTTTATCGATAGATAATCGTTTAATATCGACCTCATTAACATCCTTTTGACCTCTCATGAGGGTTTAATGTCGAAAACATCCTTATAAAACAACTGTGTGCGACAAAACAGTGATTTAACTCCCTTTCTCATTTTTTAACCCCACAAATACCGGTGGCCATCTTGTTTTACTGTCTGGTGATGATGATGCACTAGAAACTGAAAATTCAAAACTTGTACACCTCATAATTGTGTATAATATCATATTTTAAAGAAAAATCACCGCTGCTTGACTCATACGTCAAAATTTTGTAGGAATAGTTAAAACTAATACAGGAACTTTTCTTCCTCCTTCACATAGACACGCCTCTTCAAGCTTTAAGAGTTACCTGTATCTGTGTACAAAGTTAGCGAGTATTCACCAAAATTCATCCGTATTCGGGACACGAATCGTTCAAAACAATCGAGGGAAAACACGGCGGATGGAAAAACAGGCAGAGAGAAGGGCAGCCCTTAGTCGACGTCATCACGTATGCGTCCTTAGGTCTTAAATCAGCGAGGCGCGTAACCTGTAGTCCATGGCGTGTAGTCTTTGTAGCTGAATAGATTGTTAATTATTATTATTTCATAGTAGTCAGAGTTATTATTCGTAATGGAGGAGTTAGACGTGGAGCCTGCAGTCACAGTAAGTAACCGCTGAGTTTTGGTTTTTGCTCCTTTTTCAATTAAACGTAGAAATGCTAACAGGCTAACAGCGTCGGAAGAATCCAGCATGAGATTAAAACAGAGTTTAGTATCTGAGTTTAATCATCTAAAGAGGGCAGACAGTCCTCAATACATGAGCTGTCTAAGTGTTTGAATTTATTTATGACTAATATGGGAATATATGTGTTTTTATTGCATGTTAAAACTGTCAAAGCAGCAGGAGTATCGGGAACTTTAGTGTCTCCTCTGGTGTTTACATTTGACACGGAGAGAAGAGGTGAAATAATCTCGATAATTTCAGTTTTAATGACCCTGTTTCTCTTCTGTAAATGCAGAATATCCCTGCAGCCTGTGATGGAAAGCATTTGGGATTTGCATGGGGTCCTGGTGATATCCTGATCTACGAGACTATCTTCAAAACATCAGGTATATGATAATATCGGGGCTGGGCGATAAGACGATAACGATATCGGATATTAGTTTCCCCATATCAATACAGACCATAGTTCTTTTCAATAGTCGGCATTCGGCCATGTTTTGGTAGACTATGGTGGTCTATACATGAGTACGAATTTGTAAGACACTGGTAAAATAAACTATCGATTTGGGGCCTGTTCACTATGATTGTTATAGTAGATATTCACGTGGTTTTCGTCTGTATTTTCAGGAGCCGGTGGATCAGACAACCCCTTCATCCACGAGGTCAGGAAAGACGAGGATATTTATTCCCCCATTTTACGGAAGCTCTTCAACGAGTCTCATCACATCTTCGTTGGTCTGCAGACGATTAAAGATGACCTCCCGAGCAAGAACAAGAAACCACAGTAAGACCCCCTGACTGATACCTGTTACCTGTCATTTGCTCACAAAATAATCATACTGAGAGAATTTTCTCTTTCTTGCCTCTTAGGTTTGTCAGCATCAGTAAAAACTACAGATCAGTGATTCGAGCCTGCATGGAGGAGCTTCAGCAGGAAGCAGGTGATAGTTTGGTGGATCATTTTGGTGTTTGATTCTGCTGCTGGATTATTCTGAATCAATCAGATTGACCTGTTTCTCTCATGTGCAGTTTCCACAAAAGCTCCAGATGTGGCGACACAATATGGAAATCAGGTATGTGCATTTTTTAACGCATGATATTGGGAATATTTCACCTAAAAAGGAACTAGTTTTAGTTAGGCTACAAAAGTATTAGAGGATATACTTAATTTTGATCCCGTTGCGTTTGTTTTGTGTGTCAGGTGTCCATTCTAATGGCCATAGAGCTGATCTGGAATCTGTGTGAAGTGCTTTTCATCGATGCTGCTCCAGGTTGGAGCTTTTTGTAGTTTCCTGCAACAATTTTAACCTGTAAAAGTAGCCGAATAATAAAAGTAAAAGATGTGTGTCTGTATCCTCAGCGGGGACCCTGTTGCTCCACCTCCTGGACTGGGTGAGGTTACACAAAGCTGATGTGGACGAGAAAGCCCGAGAGGTGCTGCAGAGTGAGAGTCCAACTGAGCATCACGACTACTGGGATGTGGTAGGTGCTGAACACAAACACATGCAAAGGTGTTTTCAGCTCTTGATCACTCTGTCTGACGTGTTCTGTGTCTCTGTCTCTCAGGTGGTGAGTTATGTGCTGCAGGGCAGGTTGGAAGAAGCCAGGCACATGCTGGTGAAGCAGGCCACTCTGCAGCCTGCAGCCAGGAAGATGTACAAGCTGATGGACACTTTACTCAGCAAGATGCCCTTCTATAATGTAAGATGATCTCTTTCTTGCTGTGGAGCTTCAGTAATCCGTTAACTTTTTACTTGATTTGATCTGAACGGAAGCTAAAGGGAAACTTTTATTTCCCTTTAACATCTATTTAATTGAGCTTTTAACAGTTTGGGAGCCGGGTAGAGCTCTGAGGTCGTCAAATCAACTTCTGCTGGAGGTGCTCAGGTTAAAACACAAGCACTGGAGTGACCGAGCCTTTTCAGTTGCTGGTCCGTGGTTCTAGAATAAGCTCTCCACCGAAATGAGACTTATTTCCCACCTGAGCCTTTTCAAATCCCGATTGAAAACGTACTTATTTATGCTGGCTTTTAGTACCCAGTAGCGTGGTGACACTTTATTTTATTGCATTGTATTTTTTTTAATTGTTTTTATTTATTCATTTTTATTTTCTTCGTATTGTAAAGCACTTTGGTTCACTGAAAGGGTTGTTGTAAAGGGCTGCATAATTAAAGACCATTTACATTTACATTTACGTTTACATAGGGGACCGAATTTGTTTTATAAAATGACCCAAATGCAACATGTGGTCATGCTACCAAAAATGATCTCGGTAAACTTACTAAATGAAGCTTCATCCTTCAGCCTGGAGGCACTCAGACGCTCACAGAGTTCGATGTGAAGTGGAGACACTGGCATGAGGAGGTGGACCGCTGCCTGCAGGACAACTCCTTCGCCAGCAACCAACACCTGGAGGTCATCTGCAAGGTTGGTGACTGTTTGGTTGACTAATATTCATAATTAGTTTATATTTAACTGTCAGTGGCTTTGTGTACCCTTCCTTTCAGTATTTACCACTTTTTATCCAACACTTTGGCTTACCTGTTTTCTCTTCTAATCGTAGATCCTAGCCGGGGATGAAGACACTTTGCTGGAGCATAAGGGACTCCTGAGCACCTGGTACCACTTCCTGGTCACAAGACTTCTCTTCGGCTTCCCTACAGTCAAACCCACAGAGTTACACTATTATGCACAGGTATGCTAAATTTATTTCTGCAACAACACTCAAACTTCACGGCAGTCCTGTTTTTGTGATTGAATATTTGCTCTCGCCGCAGTCATGCCTGACCTTGTTTCTGGACTCGCCGCGTGTCCCAGAACCCCTTGACAGCATCTTACTCGCTGCTTTTGAGTTCGACCTCCATCAGGTCATCAAAGACTGCAGGTAACATCTATAATTTCATACATTTCTGTGACCACAGTCTGCGAAAATCTTCCAGTACTTACCTCCTTCTCTGTCCACCACGTGTGTCCTCAGCATTGCCCTCAACAACTGGTGGTTTGTGGCCCATTTGACAGATCTGTTGGACCACTGCAAACTCCTCCAGTCTCATAATCTGCAGTAAGGACTTCATTCAGCTTTTAATCTGAAGATGACGAGAATACGCTCCTTCTAAAGCTGGAATTCACCATGTCTCTGTGATTGATTTCAGTTTTGGCTCCAACTTGAGAGAGTTCCTCCTCTTAGAATACGCGTCCGGTCTCTTCACTCATCACAGGTATGATCTCTTCAGCCTCAGCTTTATGTAGACAATCGGTATGTTTGGCTATCCTAAATAACTCCTTATCTCGTTGGATGTTTTTGTGTTAAAAGCCTGTGGCAGTTGGCTGTGGACTACTTTGACCACTGCCCAGAGTTCGGCCGTGTCTACCTGGAGCTGCACATCGAACGTGTTCCTCTAGAAACGGAGCGTAAAGCTCTGAAGGTGCTCAGAATCTGTGAGAAGAGGCAGATGTCAGAGCAAGGTGGGACTCTCTTAGTCACAGTTTTCAGCTTCACTAGACAAACACAGATGAGCTTTAAACTTTCCTAATTTCTTATCCGTGTGCAGTGCGGAGCATCTGTAAGATCATGGGGATGCGCTCTCTGAGGAACAACAGACTGGGCTCGGCTCTCTCCTGGAGCATCAGGGCCAAAGACGCCGCGTTTGCCACGCTCATTTCAGAGAGGTCAGTTCCTTTTAACTTGACGCTTATTCTGCAAAAGTAACCAGACTCAGCGTGGTCTAAAATAGACATGCATGATATCAGTATCAGCAGATGATTGCTGAAAAAGTGAGTAACTGCTATCGACAGATATGAAAAGTTCTGCGGCCAAATTGGTGATGCATCAGTCATGAGCACATGATGATAGCTTACACGTGTTTGCTGCATAGATATTTTTAGAGGGTTGGAAACAGACGGCAGATTCATTACTGAATGTCTACATACATTTTTATGTATATGTAGATGTCGGTATTGATATTTGTGTCACCCAGAATGAGTGTGAACACCATCCGGATATTGGACATCAGCCACAATCCAGAGTCTAAACCCAGCTCATGTTCCCTAATCGTAACCCTCTGGAACAGGAAGAGCTGACACTGCAGGATTAAAGGTTAAGGTCGACATTCGACTGTTTGAATCTGAAAGAAAGAAATTCAAATCCTTAAAGCGAGAGAAACTTTTTAAGAGTTTACACCCTGTCAGAGAGCAGTTTTTATTTTTCCACTGTGGACTCAGTTGAAAAACACATTTTCATAGATTCTGTGATTTAAAACAAAGATGCTCTTGTGTCCTCTTCAGTTTTAGTAAAACAAAAAAATAAAAGTGAGATTTTTACACACCAGAAAAAGAGGTGTGAAGAAAAAGCTCTGGGTGAAAACAATGAAACAAGCTGTGCACTGGAGTTGATTTGAGCTTTTAAGTAAATGGTGTCTTTGTAAGGAATATTTTCCAACTGTGTTTGTGTGTCTGTGTGTGTTTTAGGTTTTTAGAGGATTACTGTGCCAGAGGGACCTTCTCAGACTTGGACCTGTTGGATAACTTGGGGCCTGCGATGCTGCTCAGCGACAGGCTCACTTTCCTCGGTACGAACAGAACACGTCATCCACATGTCTCTGCTAAACTTGTGACTCTCTCAAACTGGATCCGCTCATGAAGTGAGGGATCACGGAGTCGGGGGCGAACCGTCTGCTGAATTTTGACCCTCAAACTCTCGATTAGACCGTCACATGAGACTCAGACACAGACGTGTGTGTGTGTGTGTGTGCGCTCTGAGATATAAATAAAGTTGTGTACTGCTTAATGCAGCAGCATGTGACGGCGTGTTTTTCATTGAAAGTGAAACCCTTTTACATTCGCTCTCAAGTTCAGCATATTTATAGAAGCTGGTTTCATATTTCATAGATTCGTGCATCTTTATTGTAATTCAGAATTTGTACATGTCTGATCTAAAGGTCTGTTATTATCATGGATGTCGCCGTTTTAAATCTGATCTTGTCTTGTTTCTATTTCTAGGGAAGTATCGAGAGTTTCACAAGCTGTACGGAGAGAAACGCTTCAGCGAGGCGGCGAAGCTGCTCCTCTCGCTCATGACGGCAAAGATCGCCCCCCGCAGCTTCTGGATGACTCTGCTGACTGACGCTCTGCCGCTGCTCGAGCAGGAAGGGGTGAGTCACCCAAAAGTGCTGAATTCATTCAAGACGTCCAACAGAGACATCGATCAGTGAAGTTTCATTGACAAACAACATAAACATCAACTGATTTAAGTGAAAAAAGACGTTTTAAACGAGTTTGATTTTGATTCTTGCGGACTGAAACGGCTATAAACTGTTTTAATGAATGTTTTTTATTTTTTTCAGGTGATCTTCTCCGCAGACCAAACCTATGAGCTCATGTTTTGTTTAGAGGAGCTCACCTCCTCCCTGAACACCCCAGCTGGCGGCACAGACAAACCCACGCAGGTATGCATCACATCGGGAGAATGTGTGACTCAGGAGATAACTGCTTTGTTAGAGAACAATCTGCATTCCCTGCCCTGGAACTGCTGAAGAATTAATGTTTCGATTCAGATGAGACGTGAGAACAGATGTGGAAATGATGCACTTCATTATTTTTTAATATTTTAATATTTAGACAGTGTGTGAGACATGGTGCCAGTGGTTTTCTTTCACCGTATTCGTGCAAAGTGTGATCCCAAGACCTAAAATTAACGAGTTGAACTCACCAAAACGGTTTCTTCGTTTCAGGATGAAGACATCGAGGTGACAAAGGTGGAGCTCCTCAGACTCGCTCTGGCCAGAAATCTGGCGAGGGCGATCATCAGAGAAGGAACTGTGAAGTCCTGAACGAAAGAGAACGAAGCTCTTCTTTTGCATTTTTTGTACTGTGTGTATATAAGATTCAGTAATCGAGATGTGCTCTTTGATAATAAAACCTTTTTGTCTTGTTTCAAATTTCCGCTTTATTCTGTTTTTGAACGAGTAAAATCAGACATCCAATGAAAGAGCGGTTTATTTTTCATGCAGCAAACACATGACACATCATACAATATGTACACTCTCCCCAAATCTACACATCACAAGTTCACGTAACTTGTCTCACAACAAATACACTTTATACTATTTACATTTAACACACACGTCTGTACATCTGATTTCACCACGAGTCGAGGACAAGCAGAGATGGGATTGAACGGAGGTTAAGGTGGACTGACTAATGGAAATTTCCTCACAGTTCCACTTCATCCCATCGCTGCACGCTGTCGAGTTACACGGACTTCCCTTTCGAACGATTTTAAATTCAGATTTCTCTGTTGGCTCAGTGATGCACTGAAATACTGACAGAAAATAAATAAAGCACAAATACTGACACTGGTGGATGAGCGGAGGTCTTCAAATACAGATTAGACAAAGACAGCAACAGCTAGAACGATTTAAATCCTGTAATTTCCTTTAAAATAACGATAAATTTAACTATCGTATGAAATAAAACCTGCTGAACTTTGTTGAATAAAACATCCTCAGTGCAGTTGGTTTGCCTTAAAATAATTCAACTTTGCAAATGAACTAATCTAGTCAAAATAATAAATACAAGTGAAAAAATAATGTAAAGCTTCCAGCGCAATATTTCTTACACATAACTGATAACTTTTCCCACATTAGCCTCATTCTGAAATTATCACCTGATTGCTTTCCAAACTGTCTAAATACATTTAAAATATGTGAAGTTAGCTTTCTTTAGGAGTTCACCTGAGACTCCCATAGAGGTTAATCTGGTAAAATGGTATTTGGCTTGGATTCAGAACTCAGGAGGCTGCGGTTGTTTTTTGGGTCTGTACAAGCCGAAGGAAGTACTTTAAGACAAACAATCTCATCCTGCTTTCATTTGACATTCAAATTTACCCCTAATTATGAGTCTTTATTGTTGTACATGTACATAAGGGCCGTTTCTTTCAAGTGCACCTGATTGCACAGAAAGTGTGGCTCCTCCGTGAGCGCATGCGCAGTTAGGAATCGGACCGTCTGGATCTCAGCGGTAATTGAGAGCCATGCACTCAACCAAAACGCCACTCTATAGCCACAAATAATGCTCAGAACAGCACCTAATTCATAAAATTAATTTAGGGTCACAGACATAGTACTAGACACCAAACATCTTTTTAACTTTGACCAATTTCTTTTAGCAAAGAGACTAAACACAACTCACCTACTCTCTTCCAGCAGCCACCCGTCATTACGGACTACAGCGGGGTGTCGCAGCTCAAGGAAGAACATTTATGATCATTTCTTTATCATTTCCTTGAAGTAATAATCACCATATTAATAACTTTTCACTACAGACGCAGTAGTTCTTCTTCCTTAGCGTCTCGGTCTGATTGTATTTCCATGAAGAAATGATCATAAATGTTCTTCTTTGAGCTGCGTCACCCCGCTGTAGTCCGTAATGGATTGGCCTGAGGTCTCTCTACAAACAAGCAGCTGCTGGAAGAGAGTAGGTGAGTTGTGCTTAGTCTCTATGTGTACTGTTGATAAAGTTAGGTGCTGTTCTGAGCATTATTTGTGGCTATAGAGTGGTGTTTTGGTTGTTTGTTTATGGCTCCTCAGACCGCTGTGTATTGCTAGTGTGCGGTTGTTACTAAAGTTGGTATAACTAGAGAAGCAAGCGGTCGGCAACATTCATCTCTCGAGGGGGTGTCTAACTCGGTGTAACTTAATTTCACGCCAGAATATCCCTTTAAGGGAAAACCGTTATGAAATGAACCTTGTGCTAACCATAACAAAATAGCTTACACAAGCAAAGTCCATCTTTTTTTGTTAGTTGTGGGTCTGTAGTCAGGTCCTCCTTGTTTCTTCAGTATGCTGTCACAGCGGCTACAACCATTAAAACCAACAGTATTTAAATCCTAAACCTCTTATTAATATCAGTCTGTCTCATTATAAAAACTGATCACAGCAACTTTAAAGGAACTAAAGTCTTTTGGCTCGTAAGAGTTTGATTTCCTTTCATGACACAGAAAGTTTCTAATGCTCAAAAATCCAGTGACTACATTTAACCAGACTCTCATGTTTGATCATAATCCCTCTACAGCACAATATCCAGTGTTTGCAGTAGCGCCACCTGTCGGCACAAGCCAGAAAGCATTTTGACATATTTCAGTGGTTTACATACGATTCAAACTGTGTCCAAAACAGACGATTCAGCGCGTTAAAACTGTGTCTGATAAAGACACCAGCTAGTCAAGTAGGTTTTCCAGTGTTCAATAAATAAAGCAGAACAATTCTCTCTTTAACTCCAATAGTGATTTAAAGGTTAATTTCTTCAAAAAGACTCTTATATTTTTACTTATTTGTCTCATAAGACTCTAAGTTTGAGGTTAGTTTGTTTAAAAAGTCTGTTAAGCTGCTTGAATGTACTTTCTATCTGTTATAAACATCTTTGATCCATCTGTTAGATTATTCCTCTCAGCAGCTCAGACCAGCGAACATAAACGCTCGTCTGTCGTATGTCTTTAGTGTTTCTGCAGAGAAGTACACAAGCACTGAACAAATAAAACAAGCGTCTCACTGCCAGGAAAAGGAAGAGCAAAGAAACGACATCTATCAGGAATGTGAAGCTGTAAGGTCGAGTGCGGCTGAATTCTCCCACCTCCTCCTCCTCCTCTCTGGGGTGGTGGTAAACAAACGCACCCCTTCATGGAGAACCATCCTCTCCATCCCTGCTGTGCGTTATCAGGCCGGCACGCCGCTATAGATGACCCCACATCTCCTGCGGGGGGAACTGGTCCACTTCTCCCACCTCGTTGCAGAGCCGGTCTCCGAGCGTGAAGGCGAGCTTGTAACGCAGACGCACCTTTTCCTGTGAAGACACATGAACGCACCTTTAGCGACGCACTCAGTTTTACCTTTACAGTTTGGTCTTTTAATCACACTGAAACTCAAGATTATCGTTCTTTTGTTTCTCACTTTTGTCGGGTTGGCCAGTAACATGATCTGGGTGATGGCGGCCGGGGGGAGGACGGGGTTAAAAGCCGCCAGCTCTGTTCCTGATGGAGGCAGCAGCTTCACCTTCATCGACTTCAGAAGGATGAGAGAAATTACAAAACAGCAAACAAAACGACAAAAATCATGAATAACCTGAGCTGTAAATGTGTTCATATGTTTACCTTGGGGACAGCAGCTTGCAGTACCACATTGTGAACAGGCTGAGGCGCTGTATTTAACATGGACACCACCATCACCAGCACGTCAGGCCTGCCGGGGGGGCAGTCGGAGGCGAAGTTGAGGAGCATTCGAACACCGTCCTTATCGTAGGCCGTCACAGGGAGCACTTTACCTGAGGGAAGAGTGGGAACAGCCAATCAGGAGGAGGCAGGGGCGTGACTTCAAAAGATATAATTCATCAGCTTTATGATTAAAACTGGCAAACATCAACAGTGGAGTACCACAGGGTTTGGATCTCGGTCCCCTTCAATAAGTTAAAACCATTTAAACCTGTTACACCATTAAATGAGTAACTACAGTATTTCACTCTTTCTAATCCTTACTTACTGGGTCTGATCGCCTCCAGAGGGACGTGGACGTTGCTCAGGGAGACGCTCGGGTCTGCCGCTCTGGCTGGGCTGCCCTGAAGAGGAGGGTGGCAGGGGCTCAGAGACCGGAACAGCGGGCTGCCCGGAGCTGAATCCAGGCTCTGAGCCTTAGTGTGGGACAGAGCAGGAGAGCCGGGCATCACACCGTGGAAAGGAGAGCCCTGAGCGGGTACGAGGGGGGGCACTGCTGCAGGTGATCCAAAGCTGCTTCCCCTCGCCATCATCTGGCTGGATAAACCAAAAAGAAAGAAATCGGTCAAATGCGATCGAAGTACTTTATGGTTTTATAGGATATAAAATGTGGGAAACAGCTGCAGGTGACCGTACCTCTTATGGTCTGGAAAGCCCCTCATGGCCAGGTCCTGCAGGTTCTGCAGACTGTGTGTCGCAGCAGTTTGTTCAGCGAGGGGCACCGACGGACCTGAACAAGGTACACTCCCAAAAATATCCACACTTGGAGCTGGAGCCTGCAGGAGAGGAGAGGAGAGGGGACGAAGTGATTTTATCTTCTGCTGTTAGACACTTAACAATCAAGCTGAGGTCCAAGAGGGTCCAAACTCAGAGATATTTACCTGCAGGGAAGTCCACTGAGTGGAGAGTTCGTGTAGTTTGGGTTTTGATTGGCTGCTGGTTGAGGTAGGGGCGTCGTTCAGTCCTGGAAAAAGAAGCAGGTATTTGTGGTTAGTGGATTTTAACAACAGTGTCAGAGAAACCCTTTGACTCTGTAATCGTACCCAGAGACAGCAGCTCGTCATCCAGCAGCGAGAACGCAGTGGAGGTCTTATCGAGGGCGGGGTGACTCGGGCTGCTGCTTTGACTGCCACCGGACCCGAGCAGGTGCTTCGGAGGAGGAGGCAGCACAGGTATGGGGGAGGCTGTGGGATTGGCGAGGACGGCGTTGGTGAAGGAGGGAGGGGCTGCAGGTTGAGGAGGACTCGGGGAGTCGAGACCAGCGAGGTCGATGAGGGTATCTGTGGTGTCTGCTGCGCGACAAAGAGAAATCACGGCTCATAAAAGTCCCGACATATTTCATCTTGAACTTCTCAAACCTGCGTCATTCTCAAACTCGTCTCACCGCTCTCACTTTGACCTGCTGTCAACGGCGGCTCCTCATTGTCCCCATTCATGGTCAGCCCTTCCACGATCTTCTTATAGGAGTTGATGACCCTGGAGAGGTCGTCACTGGCCTGCAGGATGTCACCTAATGGGTCAAAGGTCAAAGTTATACAACTTAATCGCAAGAAAATATTCAAAATGTGAAGACAGAGATGAAAACAACACAAACCTAAGCTGGTGTCGTTGTCCTCCGACTCTGTGGCCATTTTGAAAGCAGCGCGCCTCAGCTTGTCACAGCGCTCGTACAGTTCCTGTACAAAGACGGTGTCTGAACTGGTTCATTTTTGTCGCCATGTGTGGATATCATCAAATTAAAACACCAGATCCACATCAAACTCCTTAAAAACGTATAAATTCTTAATTTTCAGGCAAATGCGAGACATAAAAACTGATCTTTTTTTACATATGAAGAGAGCGAACCACGAATGTTGGACTCAGATCTTACCTTCAGGGAGCAAAGACAAAGAAAACAAGCTTTTTATTCCTTTAAACATTAAACCTGATGGTCTGATTTGCATTTTTTCATGTGGTGATTCAAGTCAAATTTCAACCAATCAGACTTCAAACAACCACAAACTCGACTGAATTCACACAATTTATGAATGAAATGTGAACAGATGGTAAATATTCCACCACTTTTTCTTCCTCGTGGATTGAAGGGCTGGTTAAAGTCGATCATATTTGTGATTTGGAGTGTGTGTGTGAGTGTGTTACTATTCAGAGACACACCTTAATGATCTCCTTGTCTGAGTCTGTGGAGCTGTCTCTGTTATAGTGAGTCAGCATCTCCGCCAGCAGCTTCACGTTGATGTTCACCTCCTCCAGAGTGTTCATTCGCTTTGTGACTTTCTGCACTCGAGCCTCATCCTGACAACACAACAAGGATGAAAATACATATTCTCCTGTATTAAAAATACATCATATTAAATCTAGTTTTTAAGTCTCACAGTGTGGAAATGTCTCACCTCTTTCACCATGTTTTTGATCAGTCTGTTGGCCTCCTGCAGGTCTTCTGGGTTTTTACTTCGCAGAAGCTCAGCAAGCAGCTAAACACGCAGGCACACAAACAAAAAACCCCATCAGTTTGTATCTATGATAGTAGAAAAGCATAATTCAATAAAAAACAGAAGATGAAAAATTCTGAAACTCTGTTTTGTAATGTTAGTCTTCATTTTGTGGTAAATTTATACCTTTAAGAGCTAAAACTAAAAACTAGAGTTACTTCTGTTTGGTTTAATGATAGTAAGACAAATTAAGAAGCTATATTTCCAAATATTTTGATACCTGGTTAGTCATTTTCACTAAAAACCAAATCAACTCAATGGTGCTGGCTTTATATTCGAGGGCAAACTGACTTTTCTGTCCAATCTTCAATAAAAAAAAAATCACAGTTTTTCAATTCCGGACAGAAAGTTGGACAAAAAAATCAAATTCAGACATGACTTTGAGGTTTTAAGTAATCTGACAAGCCTGTTTTATCCGTTCATCCAGAAGACCTCAAACATGTTAGAATATAAGCAGATTAATGAGTAATGACTGTAACAGTTGCTGCCTCACCTTGCCCATGTCCTCGTTGTCAAACACCGGATGTTTTGGTCGAGTTGGAGGAGAAGGAATCAGCGTCCTGTCCAGCGGTATCTCCGGGTCAGAAGTCACGAGGCCTGAGGAGAAAGAGGACCACATTAATGAGTTTAATAAAAAATAAAAAATAAAACTCTCCTCATCACCTGCATTATTCCACTCATCTCAACACACCCTCTCTCCTCAGCGTCTGGTAAGCTTCGCTGATCTTGACCTCGCTTGGAAAAGCCACCGTCCAGCTGTAGAGCATCTCCACAATCTTCAGCCTCACCTTCTCAGGAGCAGTGTCACCCATGTACTGAGAACAAGAGGTGATTCATGAGAGATACAGCTGCAGGACATGTGATGAGACACATGAGTTATTCTGAGACTGCTCACCTTCGGAGAAACAACTTTAATCAGCTCATTTAAAAATCTGTATTTTCCAACTTCATTATGAAACCTTCTCCCGCAGTTCTTCATACACGCCTCCAACACCTGCACACAAAAGCATTATCATTAACCAAAAGTGTTTGAGAAAACAGGTTTAAGGTTACTCTAAAGATCTCTCACCGTCAGAGCCTGCAGAGCCTCCCATTCTTGAGGAGAGTGGATCTTATGGACGAGCAGAGATACAGCGATCTGAGGACTGCAAGAGGAAATCCCTGATGAGAGGCTTTTTCTCTGAGGGTGCCACATTTTCAGATGACTGTTTGTGTGCTTTTTGCAGACCTACCCTTCGAGCTCCTTGTTGATCTGATCACAGAAACCTATAATATACTCCCAGTCCTCCTGTCTGTTTGTCGGATGGGTGGCTTTATCTGCAAGAAACAAACATCGACTGGCTTTGAATCGATTTGGGGATTTTATTTTAAATCTCTTGCAAAAAACTATCACTTTGGTCTCGAAATATAGAATATAATGAAGTTATATAACTTTGTCTTGAATTAAAGGGATATTCCAGCGTAAAATTAATTAAAGGTCAAACACACCGTAACACAGAGTTTAGACACCCCCAAGAGAGATGAATGTTGCCGACCGCTTGCTTCTCTAGTTTTACCAACTTTAGTAACTACCGCAGGATAGCAATACACAGTGGTCAGAGGAGCCATAAACAAACCTCAACCGCAAAATTCATCTCTGGAGGGGGTGTTAAGGTGTGTTTGACCCTAAATTAATTTTACGCTGGAATATCCCTTTCAGAATTTAGGATGAGAAATGATTTATCTAGCTGCTGCTAGTCTTGTTTGCTTTTTAAGATCATGAAACAACATCAATATGAAATTCAGCCTATTTAATTAATGTTGAAAAACTCATTGCAGGAGCTTTAAGTACTTTTCACTTTTATTTAAACAGATTTTCAACCACGTTTACTTAGAGATAATATCATTTCAGTGTCAGAACTTTTAGTACAACGTCACAAAATCTCTTGCACTGTTTGGATGCAATTTGTCTGATGGTATTTCTTCTCTGTGCTCTCCATAAAAATACTCTCAAAGCAGTATTAGAGTCAAAAATACATGAAACATTAGCCTCAGTTTATGTAAAGGGACATTATAACTTAAATTACATGGATGGTTTTTGGAAAATTATCAGTCACACCCATAAAACGAGTTAATGAATGCACTAAATAAAACAGAGGGGTGAGGTTTAAGGTTCAAGGTCCAGATTGGTGCAATCTGAGTTTTTACTGTTGTCTTTTGTTACAGTTGGCTGTAACATCCACTGCAAACCCATCCTGTAGAGAGTCCACATGAGTCTCAACAGTGCAGTGATTGTTTCCATCCTCCCTCAGAGTCAAACTGCTGCAGATCTCACAGACAGTCACAGTCAACATTCAATAATAAATTGAAATAAACTCCACAGAGAGACAACAAAGAGCACAGCTTCAACATTCAGAGCTGTAAATGTGGTAAATATTGTCCTCTCTGTGTGGGTTTTAAGCTCTCTCCACCTTCCTGTAAATGATGCAGACCCTCAGCTCTCACCCAGGACCCTCTGTTGGATCTACATCCCTCTAAAAACGCCCCTGACAGCGCCTGCACTGATGGGATTTACCGCCCACCGCCCCGAGAAACCCATCAAATTAATTAACCATCTTATTTAATTCATAAAACGGGATTAATCACTCACTGAGCCAAGATTCAAGCGACTCCCCTTCCTGGTACGCCATAGCACATACAAAACATCGCGTGATGTCACCGGCAGCGTGAGCGCGAGAGTCAGAAATTATTGTCCGGAATAATTTTAAAAATAAAGAAAAACGATTAAATCACTCACAAATAAAACTCTTATTCTCTTGTGTTTGAATGAAAAGCAAATGATGAATTTCGCTGTTTTTGTAAAGGCATCTGTAGGAGGTACTAATCTGCGGTCCTAACTGACACTCACATTTTGAAGATGGCGGCCTCCATCTCAGGATTACTCAAACCTTGGACACCGAGGTAACATCAGTTTTTAACAATAAAGAAATATCTACTCAATACTTACCGATATGTTTATCTTTAATGTAATAATGGGACACTTTGCAGCAAATTTCACTTTAGATTAATGTCGTAAAATATGTTGTTACCTCATGAACTGAATCTGCGCTTGTGCTAAAATATCATAAATATTAATATAATATCGAGTTTTAAATTGATTTTTGGTTTTTATAGGCCTGGTTATTCATAGTTTTCTCTTATAATGTAATATTGTGAGGTAGTGTGAATTTTTTTCCATTTTGTGTTCGATTGTGAGAGATTCTAGTTGATCTTTTCTGCAGTTTTGTGTAGGGGAGACCGGGGCTTGTTGTCACATTGCAGTTATCTTTGCCACCAGAGGGCGCAACTAAAAAAGTGGAATACTAGTTTTCCTCCTTCACATGGTCAGGGGTTGTGTCCTGTCTGAGAAGAGAAGAGAACATTGGCCCTCATTTATCAATCTTGCGCAGATCTGAGCGCAGGATTCATCCTACGATAGGACACATGTGAGATTTATGAAAGGGTTTGTATCTGACTAATCCCAGTGTACGTATAATCAGGTCTTGATAAATGCGGCGGCTGAAATCGATTGTCATAAACATGTTTACACCCTTAAATATTCGTGGTTCAGGAGCCTCGCCCACTGAGGTCAAACATGAAAGAGGAGTAATCAGCTAGTAAATAGTTGTAAGATGTATTGATGCCAGTAAATATATGAGTGTAAAAAATGTGACAACAAGCCCCGGTCTCCACTATCTTAATGGTAAATAACATGTTATTAATTATCTGTATTTCTGTGTGTTTGCAGAGTGTTCCTGGTCAGATGGAGCAGGTATAACCCGTACTATCTGGAACCAGAGGTCAGGAAGGAGGAGTACAACAGGCCGGAGACGGACCTGAGTCCAGAGGAGATCGAGGAGCGGGAGCTGAAGATTCACAGACCCATCAAAGCAGCCGTCAACAGTGTCAGCAGCTCTGGCTATAATGATCCCGTCATCAGGTACAACAGCCACACAAACACTGCACTCAGTTTCTGTTGAGATCTCTGCTCTTCAGGCGCTCATTCTCCTCTTTTCTTCTCAGTAAATTCATCAACATGATGATGAAACATGGAAACAAAGTCCTGGCCAGAGAGATCATGACAGACGTAAGAAACAAAAGTCTCAAAAGAAAAGCTCCAGGATTAAAGATCACAGCATTAAAACTCTCTCGGTGTCTAATTCCAGACTCTGGAGAGCATCAAGAGGAAACAGGTGGAGAAATATCACAAAGCTCCAGAGGGGAAGAGGGAGGAGATCGAGTGTAACCCCTACGCCATTTTCCACCAGGCTATGGACAACTGTAAACCTATTGTTGGGATGGCCAGCATACAGAAAGGTGGAAAGTACTACCAGGTGGGTGAGAAGAGGCAGATCAGTGCTCTCTAAATTAAATTCTAATGGCCACAAACGTGAAACCACATCGCCTTCTGTGTTTCCCCAGGTGCCCATCCCGCTTTCGGAAAACAGGCGGCGCTTCCTGGCGATGAAGTGGATGATCACAGAGTGCAGAGAGAACAGACACAGACGCACACACATGTACGAGAAACTCTCCCAGGAGCTGCTGGCTGCCTCGGCCAAAGAGGGGAACGTTATCAAGAAGAAGTATGAGCTGCACAAGATGGCTGAGGCCAACAGAGCGTACGCTCACTTCCGCTGGTGGTAGAGGGAAACTCCCGGACTGAAGCGTGTCGCCGATCGCTTTTGTAAATAGTGAAGAAAGTGGAAATTCTCTGGTGAAAGGACTGTGCTGTAGAGCAGCAGGAGATCATGACGGGGGGGACTTGGATGGACTTTTTCTACTGATGAGAAACATAAACAGTCATGTATGGATGTATTATTCATTCACACACAGTCAACACAAAACACAGAGCTAAAGGAAAAACTTCCAAAATTTATTAGAACAAATAAATTTGCATTTAATGTACAACCCAGCCATAAAAAATGGAATAAAAATGTAACAGTTTGATAAAACATAGAAACAGATATTACAGTCAGTTCTGTCCCTGTTGGAGAGTATTTGTGTCTGGAGGATCCAAACTTCCCTCTGAGAGACCAGCACTCGAGAGCCTCGCCTCAGTTTGTCTTATTTTCAGTGTCAAATATCAAAGATTGTGTGAAAAGTCTCCAAACCTGACAAAATAAAGGATTTTAGGAGATAAATACATCATGACTTTGAGGTCTTAAATAATCTAATTCTGACACTCGCTGGGGTTTTTCTGCAGATCACTCACAGGATGATTTGTCTCACAATTTTTCTTTTGGCATGTTTACACATGACCGGTACGTCAGATGTATTAAGTCTGTCTAGTTCTGCGGCACAGCTCCAGCTGGCACAGAGGATCCACGCGCTCGCTCAGGTACACGACATGAGAGCTGGTGGAGCCTGAAATCTACAAAGAAACACTTCCAACAAGCATCATCCTCATATCTGAGAGGAGAAACATGGACAGCTGATTACAAAGATCCTGTTTTTCTCTTGATGGAGCTTGTTGAGCTTGCTTAACAATCCAAATCAGGGGAAAATTTGACTCGCTGATCAGTCAAATATCTGATTTTTAAAATTATCCCTAAAACAGGACAGACAGAACTTTAAAAACAGTAACTCAGGAGTGCTATCAGAAAAAAAAATGACTCCGAACAGCAGTTCAAACCTCTGAAAAATGTTTTCCTACACTAAAATATCCAAACACAAAAGTAAGGTAATGTTTTGGAATTAAATTATAGAATTGGTCACTCAACAATAAAAATAAAGCAAAGACCAAATCAGCTGGGAGCTGCCTGGAACGTCCGCTCTACGCCGTCTGGATTTAGTTAAAAACTTTGAAATGTTTTCTCCGAACAGGAATGCTTTTAGGATCATAAAAATCAACATAGAAACATCTTCAGCTTCTTCAGCTGTTAGTAAAACTGTAAAACGAAAATACCTGAATGTGGCTAAACCTCGTAAACAAAACTTCAGCTCCTTGTGATCTATTGCACATAAACACATCCAGGGCGCCACATCTCAGCGACTTTACCAAGCGGGAAGAAATCCAGCGGTCTGAAAATCAGTCTTATGTAGAAAACCCTTCACTGATTCTCTGGAGGATGTTTCTGTCTGTTAGAACTTTGCTGGTTTTATCATCGAATGAGGAGGAGGTACTCAAGGTGCTCCAGGGTCGGCTCAGCTAGTCGGCGATTTCGCTGTAGTAGTACTTGTGGGCGGTGCCGCTGAGCAGCCAGCCTCCGGCCCTGAACTCCAGGATCTCCAGCAGCAGCAGACGGGCCATGGAGGTGAGGCCCTCCTGGAGCAGGAAGCCGTCCCGCAGCAGGAAAAACAGCTCGTCCATGCGCTGGACGTTCATCTTCTCCAGCTGCTCTCCGATACGATGCAGCTGCAGCACCAAGCAGTCCACCTGCAGGAGAAACAAAACGTCAGAGCGGGTTCTCCTCCACTTTTTAATTTGTTTGTTACAGCAAAGACACGGCCTCAGACACCAGGCTGATAAAACCAAGAACATCCCTCACCTCTTCCTCATTCATCAGAGCGTCGGGTTGGGCCAGCCTCATCAGACAGTCAAAGACGGGATGTACCAGAGCTACCATCGGCATGTTGTTGACCTGAATGTAACGACATATAAGGGGAAAGTGTGATTAATACTGAAGTAATGTAGTTCTTCACCATCAAACAGCCCTGAGTGTTTGAGCAGAAGTATTGTAGGGAGTAACAGTGACTCACTTTGAGGTAGTCGAAGACGTTGCAGATGAACGTGACGTAGCAAACCCACTCCTGCAGCGAGCGCTCCCTCGTCTCCTCGCGGTCCTTGAATTCCTGCTGGAGCCGGTTCAGCAGGTTCCTCCTGAACGCGCTCCCGTTGCTCTGCTTGGCCTCGGCCTTCGCACACAGAGGCCGGCGCGGAGGAGGAAAAAGTCAGGAAACAAAGTTGAGCGGGTAAGCTGGCTTAAGCGCCTCCTGCGGCTCGAGTGTAAAAAAACCAGTTCGGCATTAATAAGTTAAGAGGATTAAGAATTTGGTTAAAGAGACTCAATCAGATATTTCGGGTCCTGCTCTGGTTTCTTAAATCCTTCTGTCCCGGTGATGCTCGGGGTATCGACCAAACAAACTAAAAAAAACTAAAGCAGAGTGAAGAGAGTGAACCTGAACGATGGTGTAGCAGATACGTCCGGCCTCTTTGCTGAACACCTGGTCCTTCAGAGACTGATCCATGATGATGTTGGACACCTTCTCCAGGTTGACGGAACTTGGATCTGGAAGAAAAAATGAAGTGTAACCAAAGTTTGAAATGGTGAGAGTCTTAAATGACTATTACAATGATATTTACAGCTAAATAAACTTCCAGAAACTTCAAAATAAGTTTGATGATCGGTCTAACTGTGCTCTTTATCTGATCTAGTTTCAAAGTTTCTTATCTAATCAATAAAGTGTCTCTAATTCAGATTTTCTCTGCTCTTTTTTTGACACAGACCTTGTACAGTTGAGAAATAATAACATCCTTGTCTGTGTGGTGAATGTCTAAAAATAAAGCATGTCCTGAGGAAGATTTTTTTAAGTTCAGGCTATTTTCAGCCGCTCTAAGCCCACATGTAACATGCTAACAGGCTTGATTCACGTCCTACAGCGTCTTAATGAGCTTCTCCAAATAGGCTGTGATGACTGCCAAACCAGCTCGTAATATGTAACTCATCTCAAAAGAGTAGAATATGTAAAAAAGTTTTTGTATTTTTCATCAGTTATTCCAGGAGGTGACGTTTACTATATCCAAGACTCATTACTAACAGCAGAAACTCAAATATTTCAAGTGTTTTTGATTTTAAGTTTGATTTTTACAACCTGCAGCTCAAAAAACGTTCAGATAAATTCCTCAAAATATTGAAATAGTCAATTCAAACAGTCCCACGTGTCTCTAATCTAGTTCAGTGCACACAAACACACTCATGGGGAAGACAGCTGACTCAAAAGATGGTCACACAAGTGGAGGATGCTGCTGCAGGGGTCACTGCTGAAAAGGGGGGCTGTTCACAGAGTGCTGTATGGAGCTAAAGCTGTCGCATTTTTAAAGTCAAGCCCCTCCTGAACCAAAGACAAAGTCATGTAGCACCATCCCAAGAGAAAAAGAACCAGGCAGTTGCTCAGTAGTCCAAAGTCCTCCTTTTCAGTTCAAGTAAGATTTTGCATTTCTTAGGGAAATAAAGGTCCTAGAGTCTGGAGAGGGGGTCGTCTGTGATGATTTGAGGTGCCATGTCATCTTCTGCCATGTTACACCAAGTCAAAAGAGAGTTTTGAGCACTTTCTGCTGCCATCTGCTGACAAGCTTTTGGTGTAGATGCTCATTTCCTTTCTCTGCAGGATTAAACACCTGCCCACGGCGCCAAAATTACCACCAAACAGTTTAGTAATCATGATATTAACTATGTGTGTCGTTTTTGAGATTCACAGAAATGTCCAAACTACTCCAATATAGTGATGGGCACTGCAGTTCTTTAGATGTACTGAATCACTAGAATCAGTCCACTACAAAGATTCATTCAAAAGATTCGTTCACCGAATCATTTAGCGGGAGAAGCCTGCGACTCCGACCTACTGAACTGATACACAGCTGAAGAGAGTGTTTGTCTGTATTACTTTGGCAAACAGGTTTGTAAAAATGAACTTATTTATAAGTCATTATGTTTTAAGTGTACTGTCCTATGGAATGCTATTTGGTCAGTGAGTGATTCGTTCACTTAACGTTTAGAAGAATTCAAACTGAACATGCACTGTTCCCTCGCAAACCGCTGCAATGATAGTATGCTGCGGGTTTTATGCACTACTTGTTACATGCTGTGTCCTATTGTATGCTAGTTGTTGTGGCGGCAATTTAGCAGAGAAAAAAAAGGTAGTTTTGTCCGACAAAAATGATACCAGAGATCGGAGTTCAATGCGCGATTCGTTCACCAAGTGATTCAGGCGTCGGTGCATTCTCACTTCGGCTCAACTGGAGTGAGAGACGAACGAATCCCTCAAGGAAGTGATTCGGTTCAGTACATTCACTTAAAAGATCTGGTTCTTTTGAACAAATCGTTCGCAAATGACACAACACTACTCCATTATACAAACCTTTCAGAGCAGTTTTCAGTAGGGTCTGTGTATCTTGGTCCAAAGCCTGGATCCTGTAGTCATCTGAGGAATTCTCCATGATAGATGATAGCACACTGATAATGCCTTTGAGCTGTCACACTGTAAGGATGAGAAAACACACATTAGTTATTCTGCTCAATGTGAAAATACAACTATAGTTTTGGAAAAGTAATGCAAGCTTTTCACGAGTCTGGTCGTGGACACAAACCACAGAGCGAGCAGAGACAATGAGCAGAAATCCTCCTGTGTTGTCCACAGACCGGCTTCTCTTTCACTGAGGGATTACAGCTCAACCAGGAGGTCACCCAGTTTCACAAATCATCACATTCAACCCACAAAAGCGCGATATTTTCACAGCAAGCGAGAAATAAAGACTAAACTTCACCCACACGCCCCTTTTCACCACGTTAACAGGTAACAGTTACCGTTAAAACGACCGTTAGCTTATCGTTAACTCCGGTATTGTCAACTTTTTTCTGTTTGTCGCCGATTAAAATCACAAAAATGTAACGAATTGCTCAATCGGATGTTAAAATGCTGATATATAACCATATTTCAGCGAAGTTGTCGATCTTCTTGGCCGTTAAAACCAAACATTAGCGGTTAAGATGAGACGACTTAACGTTAGCTCAAGTTAAACACCTCACCTGCATTTACTTTGCGCAAAATAAGTTACAATCGCCAAAAATGATTGACAAATATTCCAAAATGAGGATGTTACTCACATTACAAAATATCCGAGCGAGTTTTAGTCCAAAATGTGAGATTATTCTTTAAATTCGTATTATAACACCCGAGTAGAAGAAGTGAGGAGACGTTACTCTGTACAGAATCTCAAAGATTAACTGTCACATCAAGATAAGTCCCTGTACAGTAGGATTTAAGTGACAGTTACCCGTATGTTGTTAGCGGCGTGTTTTGTTGGTGCAGTGATTCATCTTGTGACAGTACATCACCTTTGGGAGGTGAGGTAACAATTCGTTCAAATGCTCCTTCCATGCTCGGAGATATTAAATCTACCATTGTTTAAGACTTATTGACGACTTTTATAAAACAAAATGTAAACAGTTGATCATATTTATCAAACTAAGCAGTCGTTAGAATATTTTTTTTATATTATAATGAATAATTGTGACTTACTTTTACGTTTGTTTGAGCTTTCTTTGTGGAAAGCTTATTTTTCCGATTATTCTGACATCAAGTAAATCCCGGGCTCTTTGAGACCCGGAAGCAGTTCGCAGTTATTTTGGGCGTGCACTGGAAAGCTGGTGTTGTCCTGTGAACGTTGAAATGTACATGTTGTTCAGCTCTGATACAGCAGCTGTATTTATGAAGGATTTACACTATAAGGTGAGTGTGTGTGCATGAGTACAGAGTGTAAAACTGCTCTGGTGTTTATTAGCTTTTAGCTTAGCTTCCTCCAAGGTCCCCCTGCATGTCCTCTACATGATGTCTCTGTTATAATCCTCATTTGTATGTACCATGTGTGTTCATATTGGTCTTGAAAATGTAATATTGAGGTATAGATTTGATAGTTATTTTTAACAGTGATATATTAGATTCAACAGAAGGTGATAAATGTATGTAAATATATGTTATTATAGCAGTTTAAGGTCATATTACTTAAAGGAGACTTCTAACTACTACAAGGGAGATCATAAATGCTGTTTCTGACTTAAAGACAGAATTAAATATACAATCTATCAGTGTTTTTAAAGCCATTTTCATGCTATTTATAGATTTTTTTTACTGTCCACTTTAGTTAAATCCCACTGTTCAAACAATAACATGGTTTATTTTGAGTTTCCCTGTCAATAGCCTGAGGGAGAAGAAAATCAGCTTTCAGTTACAAACTTTAAGACTCAAGCAAAAATGTGTCCCATGATCCAGAGCTGTACCTTCAATTCATGTATATCTTTTTTTTTTTTATCCCTAAATTCTTTAGACTTTTCCAGAAAACGAATTAAAGGGATATTCCGGCGTAAAATTAAGTTAGGGTCAAACACACCGTACTGACATTGATTCTCAGGGTTTCTTCTTGCAGCACTGACAGGACTCTAAGGCTGTGGAGATATGGTGGGCTATGACCCCAGGGCTCAGGGTGCTGCCCTCGCCCCAGAGGAGGCGGCCCTGGCTGGGTCGGCTGCTGGGATGGTGACTCGAGCCCTCATCAGCCCCTTTGACGTGCTGAAAATCAGATTCCAGGTAAAGATGTGGATTTGCAATCACTGTGCATTCGTGCAGATTTTGGAGGTGTCATCTGCTTTTGCTCTTGATATCGTTTTAGAAGTTGAAAATGCTGGTGACGGCGTTTGCTTCTTGTCCACTCATCATCATATCTCGTCCCTACAGCTGCAGATTGAGCGTGTATCATCGAAGAAGCCTGAGGGGAAGTACTGGGGGTTATTTCAGGCATCCCGCTGCATCCACTCAGAGGAGGGACTCTCTGCCTTCTGGAAAGGCCACATCCCTGCACAGCTGCTCTCCATCTGCTTCGGTGCTGTCCAGGTACCACCAACTTCACTGCACACTTAAAAGCACAGAACCTGCATAACCCTGACTGATCTAACCTTGTGGGTTTGCTCTGTAGTTTGCAAGTTTCGAGTTTCTGACTGAGGTGGTGCACAAGACAACGCCGTACGACAGCCAGACGGCAGGAGTTCACTTTGTGTGCGGTGGTCTGTCGGCCTGCTCAGCTACGGTGGTCTGCCAGCCTCTGGACACCCTGCGGACACGCTTTGCAGCCCAGGGAGAACCCAAGGTGAGACCTTCCAGCTCTGAAGCACCTACAGAAAAGATTTCCTCCAGGTTTCATGACTTAATTTCATCATAGAGGGTAGGGGTAGAGCTCTTATTGAAATAATGTTGGATTTTTGCAGCTTAAGGCACTTAGACTATTAATGCAAACAGCATGTATTAAAAGATAAGAAGCTCTTTATCTCATATAGACTAAAACTTTAACAGAGGAGTATTAGTAGTAGTAGGAACTATTTTCATTAAATACTGAGATTTTTATCTGCTTACCTCAGATATACAGAAACCTGCGCCACGCTGTGTCCACCATGTGTCGCTCAGAGGGCGTCTTGACGTTTTACCGCGGTCTGTCTCCCACTCTGTTGGCCGTGTTTCCTTACGCTGGGCTGCAGTTCTTCACCTACAACATCTTTAAAAACCTTTTAGCTCCGTCGTCAGAAGCCGGGAAGTCTGGAGGTCAGTGGAGATCAAACTCAGTGCAAATATGACACCACATATATATATATACAGGTTTAAGAGGTACAGCAGGTGAACTAAACTCACAGTAGCCTGTTTCATCAGCTGTTTAAAGTGCATCAGGAGTAAAGAGCAGTAAAACTGAATTCACACCATGAGATTAACTTCAGTTCGTTTACAGGTAGACTGATTGTGATGCTGCAGATATAAGATGTTTGAATTCTTGTGATGTTTTTGACTCTGCCGTCAGGGAATCTAAGGAGTCTGATTTGTGGCAGCGGAGCTGGAATCATCAGCAAAACAATCACTTACCCCTTTGACCTCTTCAAAAAGAGGCTGCAGGTGGGCGGCTTCGAGGCAGCCAGAGCTCACTTTGGACAGGTAAGCTCGTCTCCCGCTCCTGTCGTGTTTTCAGATCTCGTACTTTGTGTAAAATCGGTTCTCTTGGTTTCTCCCCTGCAGGTGCGGAAGTATCGGGGTCTGCTGGACTGCATGCTTCAGATCGCCAAAGAGGAGGGTCTCCGAGGTTTCTTCAAAGGCCTCTCGCCGAGCCTCGTGAAGGCCGCGCTGTCGACGGGCTTCACTTTTTTCTGGTATGAGTTTTTCCTCAACGCCATAAGCAACCTCAAAGAGCGACGGAAATCAACAGACTTCACGAAAGAGACGCAGGAGAGATAACAAAGAAGGAGGAACGGACGCTCCTCAGAAACAGACTTTATTTCTTACACACAAACATATCAACCAGGTCAATGTTGAGTGATGGTTTCTGTCTCGTTTACACACCATGATGGGAAAATATGACCTCATTTTTATCGTGTATGTGCTCTCTTTATATCACATGTTTTAAAAGTATTTAACGCTGAACTCTGGGTTTTAAGGTGTCGGTTTGTTTGCTTTTGAGGATTAAAGTTTTTATGTCCAAACTTAACTTTGCACATTTGAAGCTCAGATTTCCATTCATGAGTCGCAGTCGATAACGCACATTTCATCAAACAGCTAAACTTGCTTTAACCGTACAAATAAATGTCATATTTATTTTGTTATCGTCATTATCCAGGATTTTTTATTTTAAATAAAGTGTTTTTGTAAAGACTTGGACTTCTGTGCTCGTCTTTTGACCAGATAATGCATGTAAGATTGTGAACAACATTACTTCCTGTCTGCGTTACTTTATACTTTTTAATCTGGCAGAAGTGTATTATGACTTTTCAAGGACTCACTCTGAAGTGTAGAGAAAACTATTCAAAGACGACAACAAAGCTGTAAAAGAACCGTCTTCACATGGGATAGCACACTTTAAAGCTCCTGTAAGTAACTTCTTGTTTGTGTCAGTTATGGCGCCCCCCTCTGGACAAACCTTACAAATATTTTCAGTCCTGTTTGGATCGTTTTTTTTTTTTTAATTACTGCATAAAGAAAGAGGATTGTTCAACAGTAACTACCGGTCAAATTCTAGATTAAGAGTCTCCCTTGCTCACTCCTCCTTTTGGTGAAGCTACGGTGGCCTTCGAGGACAAAAAGCTCATGTGATGCATGATGAGTATGAGCCGCCACCTGTCAATGTTTTTACCATCACTGAAAACTCTGTGTGTTATATAAATAAAGACTGATTGATTGATTGATTGACAATTTAAAGAAAATACTCACACCTTTATATTTACAACAATATTTAATACAATTTCATTTACAGAATACAAAATCCATCAAGTAGAACAACTTAAATGAACACAGTTTGAACTCAATAAAGCGGCCACGTCAACTCATCACCACCTGCCGGAGAAATATGGGTTTAAACACAACATCAAAAAGGCAAAGATAAGAAAGAAAACAACTTTTTTTCCACAAATATTTAAGAAGCAGCCTCTGAGTTTAAGTCATGCAGTTACAGAAGTCATTCACAGACGGTGTGGCTGACAAAAATCACCACGATAAACACTCAAGATCAACACAGAAGGCGTTTCGATAGCAGCGTCATCACTGATTATGATATTCTCTTTTTTAAAGTCGACATTAATCTGATTTAATCATGTTCATACAGTATGTACAAGAAGACACAATCACCTTACACCTGACTGTGAAAACCTTAATACTCGACTGATACGGTGGCCCACAAGAATCCATCAAAAAGTCCCAACCACGGAAACAACTGCAGAAACAACAAGCTCAAGTTAACACGGCGAGAGGCTCGGAAGTCTGACGGAAAAGCAGAAGTGAAAATAAATTCTGTACATGATGTTTTTTTCTGTCCAGTGAATGGATCTTGCCGACACACCCTGAGCTCGACTGAAGGTAAGGTTGAACGCTTTTTATGGGAATGTCTGCTACGCTTGGATCTAATTGGATGTCTGGTCCTGGCCGTCTGTTTTTCTGAAGAGAGGAGAAGTTTGAGCCTCCGTCTGCTTTTATTTGGACTCTCGTTTGGACTTTACCGTTACCCTCGCAGAGTTTTGAGTTCAGGCTGCCCGTGTGCACCTGTTCAGGCAGTCTGAGAGCTTTGGCGGGTCGTCTTTGGAGGCTGGGGTCACCAGGACAGTGAAAAGTCTCCTTCACTTCGGCTGGTTGAGGGGGCATTGTGGGAGGTGCTGGGCAGGCATCCTCGACTGGAGGGGGAGTTCACCGGTGTCTGAACTTCAGCTCTCATTCGGGCTGCGGACTGGAGTTCCAGGAGAAGAAGCTCGGCAGTTTGAAGAGGGAATCTCTGCGGCCCGGGTCCGGCAGGGTCAGGGTCTCAGGGGCGGACTTCTTCCTGGGGCGCTCCTTTGGCACAGAGAGGAACTCGGGGGCCTCTGTGGAGAGGGGGGTGGACGGGGCGCTGTTGGGGCCGCTGCGGGCGCAGGATGCCAGCGGGGTCTCTGTGATGGAGATGGTCGGGGGGAACGTGCCGATTTTCAGGTTGGTGGCTTCTTGTGTGGCTCGCTCGTACTCTCTGACCTCCTCCATGGTCATGTCTGGAAGAAGACGGAGACGTTACACTTTCAGAACGACTCTCAGCGTCTCTGTTTGTTTCTTTTTGTTTAATTTGGTCTAGTGTTTAAAAAAACCCTGTCCAGTATCTCCTGATTTAGATAAGAGCAACCATCCATGTCTATTTCTGATATAAGAACATCGTTTAGAGTCACAAGTCCTTTCAGAACAGGATCAGGATTATAAGGAGACCTTTGGTAACTCGTGAATGACCTCCAGGCGGCACCGCACAACATCGACCTTGTTTCTGTTGGTTGCATAACTGTCTACAGTGTACAGCCTGCTGTAAATTAATGAAATGAGGAGCACATCTGCAACCGGTCTTAAAGGGATATTCTGTTGTCAAATTAAGTTATGGTCAAACACACCGTAACACAGAGTTAGACACCCCTTCAAGAGATTAATGTTGCCGACCGCTTGCTTCTCTAGTTATACCAGCTTTAGAACCGACCGTAGATCGCAATACACAGCGGTCTGAGGAGCCATTAGTACTAGCCACTAAACTTACTTTTAACTTCACCTGATTTCTTCAGCAAAGAGACTAAACACAACTTTCCCACTTCCTTCCAGCAGCCACTTTTTTGTAGCGAGACCTCAGGCCAATTCATTACGGACTACAGCGGGGTGCCGCAGCTCAAGGAAGAACATTTATGATCATTTCTTTATCATTTCCTTGAAGTAATAATCACCATATTAATCATTTTTCACTGCAGACGCTGTAGTTCTTCTGCCTTAGCGTCTCGGTCTGATTGTATTTCCATGAAGAAATGATCATAAATGTTCTTCCTTGAGCTGCTGCACCCCCCAGCAGTCCGTAATGGACTGTCCTGAGGTCTCGCTACAAACAAACGGCTGCTGGAAGAGAGTAGTTGTGGCTAAAGAGTGACTTTTTGGTTGAGCACGTGGCTCTGTGTCTTGCTATCCTGCGATCGTTACTGAAGTTGGTATTCATTCATCCCAACATTCATCTCTCAGGGGGTGTCTAACTCGGTGTTACAGTGTGTTTGACCCTAAGTTAATTTTACACCGGAATATCCCTTTAAGGACATTAATTCGTCTTTAAAGATCTCAAGAGAAAACTCATCCTGCCACCTTTACAAACTTACCGATCCACTCATCCACCCAGGCGAAGGCCTGCCTGTGGCCCAGAAGCAGGACGTCTCGAATCACCTAGGAAGAGTCGGATAAAAAGTGATAAGAAATGAGGCAAAGGAGGCAAGGTCACAGAGGAGGAGAGACAAAGAGCGTCAGGAAGGAAGCTCAAGGACAGAGGATGTGAATCAGAGTGGGTTAACTCTGACGACTGAGGAGAGTTTGAAAGGCTTTTAAAGTTGTAAATATTTCCGTTCACCCCCAGAGGGATGTGATTAATATGAGTCACTGTATGAGTAATGGCTCTGCCTGTGTGTGTGTGTGTGTGTGTGTGTGAGCCTCAGGCAAGGAGAGCACAGGGACAGTTCACACAAGGGACAGATGCTGCGCCGGGCGAGGTGAAGGGGATTTGGAAAATAGGAGATTTTGAAGTTTAAATTGTGCAGCAGAGGTGGAGGGAGGTGTTTTCTGTAGGGTTTGAGAAGAGCGGATATTGTAGAGGGCAATAATGAAACATCCGATTCGGTTCACGACCAAGTGGTCAAGTGTCAAATGTTATCAGAGCAGAAAATGAAATGCCTCTGCAGCTAATACTGAAGGGTCCAGAAGTCTGTCTAAGAAAAGGAATCTGCAGGTTTGCCCTCATGGAAATGACAGAGCTTTTTATTTCATCCTGACCTTGTGAACGAACTGCTCCACACGTGTTTGCAGCCCCCACACTTCAAACTTCACAGTGACAAGTTTGTAGGAGCACATGATGGGGTCCTGGGTGTCGATCCATCCCTCCTGCAGGATGCCTCGGCTGGTCTTCTTCGACTTGAAATACCGCAGGTCCTGCAAGGGTAAAGGAGACATCATTATTTTAAAGGTTTGCATCTTTTTACAGCCTCGCCTCTCATTACCATCTCTGAGCAGGATTCACCACTGGCCTCCTCTAGGGGGCAGTCTATCTGCACAGTGTGTGTCCCTCCTCATGAGCTCTCTGTGCATTAATCACTGCTCCCCACGGACTCATTACACTGTGGTCCTCATTCGTCATGGGGTCATGCATGGACTGTGAACGTGTGCAGGGAGGAACACTTGCAGAGGAGCAGGGAGAGGTCTGTTGTGTTTGTCTGCGCATAAAAATCTTTAATCATGTTTCACGGCAGTCAGAGAGCAGGACAGAAGAGAAATGCTAATGAGAGTAAAAATTAACTTTGGCATTTTAATTTATTATTTTTTACACAACGCCGTGTCACCTCCTCTACGACCTCACTTTGTGAACCATTGTCTCTTGAATTAATGTGTTTAAAGTGACATTTCGCTGAGATACCAGCTTTTAGAAATCACTCTATCTGCTGTAGCGCAGGATTAACTGCTGCATATATTAGTGTCAAATCTTACAAATACCAGAACTTTTCCCAACAACACGTGGACTCCTGATTTAAGTTATGCACGTACATTTGCTTGTTTGCAGTGAGAGGTTGGAGCCTTTTGTATTGTGGAAAAATGCCCCCCAAATGCATGACACACCATCTTCCAACAGGTGCAACCATAGACTGTATAAACTACGGACAACTTGGTTCCGCCTTCCGCCAGTATACGGATATGAAGCCGACAAGCTCTCGGTAACTTGTGAAACCAACATTGCGCAGTAGCGTTGTACACATTCGGCGGGAGAGTTGCTGAAAGTCGCTGTGTTGACGCTCGGCTCAAACAACGTATCCCCCAGGTGAGCTACGCAATCTTCGTACGCCCATAGGCTGTATCAAGTGTCAATCATAGAAAACAAAATGGAGCTGAACGGAAAAAAGAGGACTTGAGAACTACAAAGGTTGAAAAAAACTATATTCTGTGTATAAATTTCCAAAGTTTGTCCACAGCTCCATAATCTTTGCTGGCGAAGGTGGGATTTATGACCTATACTGCAGCCTGTCACCAGAGGGTGCTGTTCTCGGAGTGGTTACACCCAGCGAGGAGGCAGACGGCGTCCATTCGAGATACAGTCTATGGATGCAACTCATGAATTGTAGCATAAAAAGCAAAGAACTTAGTCGGGACGAAGGATCAACTCCCAGAGAAGAAAAATGAAGCCGATGCAGTTCCTTGAATGTCCACTTGAGGCAGACTGCAGAATCCAAATCATCCCTGTTAACACCTGTTTTATATGCATGCAGCCTGATTTACAATAAAAGTGGTACTGACTGCTTATTTTATGCAGATTAGAATTTAAATTACTCTGTTTTAATGATAACCAGGTGAATAGCTGTGCCTGTATTTGCATATTTAGGGGCGTGGTCAGGTATACTGAACCAAAGGAGGGAAGGTCAGGTAAATATGCTACAGGTGCTTTCCTTAAATGATGTATTTTCATTGAAACAGGATCAGCTGCAAATACAGTATTCATGAATGAGGAAGTTGTGCTTTTTCTCCTCTGCATGCTGCTGTCTGTTTATATTTCTGCTGCCCCGATCTGATTGGCCGTGGGCTCATACAGTCACCTCCAGAGGTGCTCTTTTGCACGCAACAGCTCACAGTCTGCAGATGTTTTTTAGTGGACGTTACTGAAACTGAATGTGAATGTTTTGCACACTGTCCGTTCAGCTCAGCAGATACAACTGAAGCAAATTCAATCAACTTGGTGTCAGATTTTGATACACCAGAGAGAGAGTCAGCACGTCTGTCGCCGCTGCTTCGTATTTGACCTGAAGTGCTCTCACTGTCGATACACACCTGCTGAAAGTGCCATCGTGTCGTGTTTGTTTAACCGCCTTAATGACTGTGATTCATTCATGTATAAATTAATTACCCAGGAGCCCTTGTGGTGCATCGACAGGTGTGACTTTCCAAGACCCATCTGTCTTTAAAATCAGACACGTGAGATCTAATTTTAGCTCTGACTGCGGCTCCGTGCTATTTTTAGCTCTGAGGGGAGACTATAAATCCTGGAGGGAGGTGTGTGTACTCACGTGTGTGTGTGTGTGTTTCTGTACTCTGAGCGTCAATAATAAAACACTGCGGTGACATTATGACCCCTTGTGATTATTAATAGCTGAGTTTTTGATCACATCACACCCTGAGAAACAGGCCCACGCACACGCATACAAATGTCAAATCACCAAGGCGATGTCCATTTCTCCTCGCTCTCTCTCTCTCACACACACACACACACACACACACACACACACACACACATACACACACACACATTTCTATCAGTCTGATGAAGCAGATGGTCAGCGGGTGGTCAAAAATGAGCCGAGAGAGATATCGCACTTTTTTGTTTATCTGCTCACGCCATCCTTCGTCTCCTCTCCTCTGTTTTGATTCTCTTCTGTCTCATTTTTCGAACATTTCCTCCACCTCCCTCTGTCTCTGCCACGTGCGCACAAATTCATCTCCCTCCGCTCCAAACTCTGCGACACTTTCTCCTAACAAAACTCCACCCTGCAGGTCAGCGCCTCTCCTCACCTCTGAGTCTTTGTAATGACGCTCGGGGATCTCGTCGTAGGCGATGTCCACCAAACACACCTCTGTTTCCTCCTCTCGGGGCTCGCTGCCGAAGATCTGAGGAAAAGGGGGACAGTTTGGAGGAAAAAAAAAAAAAAAATCAATGATGCACTTCAAAGGTTGACAAATGTTGTGGGATGATGTGTCAGAAAATGTTGAAATGTTACGCAGGAGAGTGGAGGTTCAAAGAGCCGAGGGGGTTTCAGAGTAGAGAGGGTAGATGACATTGTTAGCACCTTCCTTCCCTCTGGCTTCACCTTCACCACTACATAAAAACGAGGATAAACATGACTCACAGTCGGGGACGCGGCGTGTGGTCAGGGATTTGTTTCTTCGTCTGACTCACACAGGAGAAGCAAAGCAGTGTGAGCTTGTTAACGTCTCTATTCATGATAATAGAGAAACGTCATACTTCCTCCTTCAAACTTTTATTCAAGTTTTTAGGGATCTGTACCGTCCTCCAACACAAATCTGTACTTTTTACTCTTAGCTTTAACAGATTCAAGAGGAAGTATTTATTGTTATTTGCATCATTATGCACTGATTTTAACCTGAATATATGTAATAACATGAGCTTTTGGTGTTTCCGTCAGTGCAGACTCCATACAGAAAGATTTAATGAAGCTCATCGAGACAAAACAGACGAGGAGAGTGAGCTCAACGCTGCAGAAAGAGGCGTCTAATAAATGTAATATCTATGACTGACAGGTGCAATTTGAGATCGAGAGCGGTGGAGTGTTACTCATCCCAACAATTTGCATGAAAGATCAAAGTTAATGTGCATTTAATTAATTGAAATGAGCATCAAAATATGATTTAAGTGACGGATATTCATATCCTGTGTTTGAAAGAGAAACAGCTGTAAGAGAGGGACGTGTTTGAGTTTAACACTTCGATTATAGTCTGCAGTTTTACCTCTGTGACAAACTTTTTCACTCAGGTGTCTTCTTTCAGAGTTGTGTAGTGAAAGTGAAATCAAAAGTTAGGAAGCAAACACTCCTATCATCTCTTCTTCTTCTCTTAATCCCTAAACACGTTCACTTCTCGTCGCTCATTCTTAAAAGTGAATTTCTCACGTCTGTGAATCCGTCATTACAGGCTTTGCAACTCTAATTTCTCACCACTAGGGGGAGCTGCAGCCTTTTGTTTTCACTGACAGTCTGTACTGAAGCAGGATTGCATAACCTTCAGATTTGTGTTAAATGGTACAGAAAGAAAGGTGAGGAGCAGACGGAGAGTTTCTGCGTGAGATGAAAACAAAGAGAGGCGTCAAACATCGATCTGCGTTTGTTTCTCTCGTTCAAAAACGATTTTCTTCCTTTTTTATCTCTACAGGTATTACAGCTTTATGAAAGTGAGTCAGGGCTTTATCCTCATTTGACATTTTGCTCATTATCTTGGGATAACAAAGATTGTTATGTTGGCCAATGACACACCAGACAATGATGTGCTCTCTGCTGTAATTGCTGCACTAATGAGGAAAGTCGAGGCCGTTCAACTGTTAATCTAACTCAGCAGGAAGGTTTTATGTTTCTCATGTGACGTCAAATCGAGATTTGGAGGGAACAGCTGGATACTGATGATCGTGACTGATGTTTATTATTGAGTCGTGCACGTATACTCAACCCAGGGGGCTCACAAGACACCATTATTTACACAACTAGACAGAAAAAGAGACGTGTAAATTACAAAAAAAACTATTCTGACGTTTCCCTCAGGCTTTGAGAAGAAAAAACTCAAACTTGTTAGAGTTGTGAGAAAAAAAGCTGTTCCAACTTTTTGTTATTAGTGCGCCAAACATGTCCCGACTTATAACATAGGACTTATTCATCAGAGGAGGTCCTAACTTAACGGGATTGACTTGGTGTCATGGTGAAATAGAGTCAGTAACATGTATGGATGCACGTTTGTCAGATTTTTATCACTTTTTGTCTTTTAACAGTAAATTACTGTTAAATAAAAGATATAGAGGTCACACCAGTGTGTAAGATAGGGTCTGTTTTTGGGGAAATGTGTTCCCCGACGACCTCTGTGAGGATTTCGAGTGGATTCAGCAATGTGCAGTTTTCGTGCAGCCGTGTAGCTCTTTCTTTCTGTTTCACTATGTGGAGTTTGCAGTCCTGCTAGCTGACAGTGCGGTGGTTGAGATAACAGCTACAATAGCATTTCGAGGTACGGATAAACCCACGTACTTCATCCAATTCAAAGAGACTTGCCCTCTCTATGTCGTCCTCAGACGAGCCTTCCATCGTCGCTTCCAGTCTTTCTGATTCTCCATACATCTCGCCAGTTCGTTGGTACTCTTAGCTCCTGCGTCCTTCTTGAGTATGTCCACGTATGTTAGTGTAGGACGTCCTCTTGACCGATGCACATGTGTTGGTTCCCACAGCACCAATTTGCTGACTGGCAGTTCCCGATGTCTTTGGCAGTGTCCTGCTAGTCTCATTCTCCTTACAGCAGTCTTCTCGCTCACCCTTGGTATTCCCTCGTACAGTGTTCTGTTGGTGTAGCACCCACCTAGGGATTTCTCCAGGGTTGGCTTCAGGGTCCAGCATTCACTGCCATAGAGGAGAACAGACTCTACCGTCGTATAGAAGAAGCTGAGTTTGATTTGGCGGCGGAGGTTGGAGTTCCATACACCGGTCATGCCGTTCATGGCTCTCTATGCAAGTGCCTTCCTCACTTTTAGATCTTGTTCAGTTGAGCTGACCCATGAGCTCAGGTATTTGAAGTCCTCGACTTCTTTCAGCACAGCGCCTCCTGCTGTAGTCAGAGGTTGATGTTCTGGTGGAACGTTGTAGGTGATGACCTCAGTTTTCTTGGCATTTAGCCTAAGGCCAACCTTGGCGCACTCTAGCTCTACCCTGTTCAGCAGTTCTTGTGCTTGTTCCACGTTGTCGGAGAGCAGACTTATGTCATCCACATAGTCGAGGTCTGTGAGGACCACTGCAGGGTGTCGCCTCGACCTCCTTGGTGTTAGCGTGAAGCCAAGTTCCTGCTCTCGCCCACTGATTGCCTTCCTGAGCGCGTATTGCCTTCCTGCTCCTCTGACAGGTGATCATTTAGTCTTAAATTGAGGAGTCTTTTCAACATTCAACACCTGCTTTCATTATCATGACCTGAAATTGGTCAACTTAGACTGGAATCAAGTATGCTGTAAATTAACAGTATACCTTTCTCTGTGTTTGTTTTTTTATACTATATTGGTCACGGCTCCACTATCGGATGACAAAAATGTAAATTAAAAGTGCGTCTCATCCTCAAACACTGTTTTTCATTTAAATTAATTTCCTGAACGAGGAAAAACAGTAAAATTGTTGCCTTAACTACAAACTGAGCACATATCCCAGATACCCTGCGCTTTCTAGTAAATTATTAAACCATGAGATGAATCTTTGAATTAACTGATGCCACGGTGATGCAATCCTGCCTGAACACGAGAGTTCACCCACCTCTGCTGGTTTTCAGGTTTTCCAGTGGATTGAGAATCATATAGGAGGATAAAAATGAGGCAATAAAACAGACAGGTGTGCAACATGGAGCAGGTAAAAGTACATGAAAGAAAGAAAAACGAGGAAAAGAGACGTGACGTTACACTCACATTATCGTTGCACCCTTTGTTGTCCTCGTACTTGGTCTCGATGTGGATGGAAAACTTGGGAAGGAAGGAACACTAAAACGAAAAGAAGAGAAACGATTTTCTGTAAACATATAAATCTTCCGACTGCACATTTATCTCATATATCTAACACCTAAACAAAACCGCGGTTCACTGATCTTTACTGTCTGGATTGGTGAGGCAGTAAAATGGATCAACACGGTCGTTGTTTAGTCAGATGATAATTAGTCGTGAGAAGCTGAAAGATTTCCGTCGCCTGATTCGTGGCGGCAGAAGCGTGACAAAGTGTGCGTCTGTGTTTTATAGCCCAAACCAGATTAGGAGTAATGATTATTCTCTCACTGTGTAAATTTACAACAGCGCCGCACATTTCCCCTTTTTCTGCCAAATCACTACACCCACACACACACTAATACACGCGCAGACACATTTGGCCACACCTCGATGCTTTTAGATGCATTAATCACTGCTTATCAGCTCTTAAACATCACAGTTTCAGGTTTCAGAAGCTGTTGTTTAATAAACCAGGAGTGAGTGTATTCACGTGTCCGAAGGGGGGGACTCTGAAACTGTTCTTCTTTGATATTTGTGTCCTTCAAACTGATTTTTAGACACAACCATCACTTGCTGAAACGCCGAAGGAGACTGATTGAAACGGGAAAAACTCTATTTCCTCACATACAGATTTATGGAGGCCCTGTGCAGCACCGGATACTTTATCCACTCGATTTTGCCGAAGGGCGGCTCTGGCTCAGCGGTAGAGTCGGTCGTCCTTTCCGTCATGAAGTCGGGAGTTTGATCCGAGACTCTTTCCTCAAGCTGAAAATCCCTTTTTTAATCTGTGCAGTCACTTCATACCATGATACTAACCTTTTGCACCATTTTCAACACAGTCTCTAGATACTAAAGTTACAGATGCACCTCTGTCTGCCCCTCTAAAGATCAGATTTACAGGTTAAAACCGAACGCCTGTGCACTCTTGAGTTTGTGAAAAAGTTGCTCATTCCCTCGTCTCTCTCAGCCCTCATGACCTCCCTCCAACATACAGATGTTCCTGTGTCTGTTCCCTCTCGGGGGAAGAGTTGGGCCTGCTGCTGCTGCTGCTGCTGATTTTATTTCTGCCTCATTGATGTTTCCTCTCTGCAGCAGACATAAGGTGAGCGGGCCGATGTTCCTCTGACTCCCCAGAGCAAATCATTAGTGCTCTTTTTCAGCGACAGTCGATTCAGCAGCTGCAGGGTTTTCTTAATGACTTCGAAGGGAAATTTGCTTGATTAGTAGGTATCGACTGGCTCGATTGGCGCAGCAGGGGTTCAGGTGAAGTATCAGACAATGGGTGAATAGAGATCAGGGCTTGAAGGTGACGAGTCATTTTCACGTTTCAACCTGTGCATGCCAAGTAGAAAAATGAAAAAAAATCGGACTCGGGATGATGAGACTCCCTCATGAGGTGTCTGTGTGATCCCTGAGGGACATGAGGAGGATGTGCAGCTCAGAGGAGAACTGCTGCTTTATTTGGTCGTGATTCAGACCACAAATGTTAATCTCACCAATCAGACCTTCATGCATTTGTTAACACACACTTGTTTATGTTATTTTGTGCACCAAAAACACCAAATCAACATGTTCCCTGCGTGACTCTAATCCCAACGGATCCTGACATTTGCAGCCTGACCCTCGCTCCGAGCAAAATAAATTAATCAACAGCTGTAGATTTTGATTATCTGAATAAAAACAAACATCCACGACAGATTTAAAAGCAGAATAAATCTTAAAACACCAGATTTGGGTTTAATCACAGAGTCCGATCACAGCGTGCGTCTGACCGATGGCTGAAGTTAAATGTCACTGAGGAGAAAATGAAAAATCTCAGACAAGATGTAATTTATGAGCGGATTAGATTAATGTCGCTGTGAGCACAATCTGATCAATGAAGGTCAGAATAACAAAATCAAAATGTCAGAAAGCACATACGCTCCCTACTTCTCCCCTCTCCAAATTTAGAGATTAAAGCTCGAGATCATCACACCTTCTCTCATGAGCTGTTTTAACACGGTGTCGGCCATGGCAGTGATGACGCAGGGGAATGTTTGCTACATCCCGTAACTTCAGAGAAAAACATCCATACATACGGTTATAAAATCTGAATTCATCACAGCAGATAAGAAAAAAAAGTTGCATTTCTATCCCCCCCGAATGTCGAACTTCTACAGCTTGAACGAAGGCTGGTGATGCTTTCACACTCATCGGAACCACAGAAGAAGAAGCCCAAATTTGAGAGCGACCATCTGATCAGTTGGTGCCAATTTAGCGGTGGAGAAAAAACTGCGACTTGGATTCATTTTGGACTGTGAGGGGACATGCTGCAAACACAGACACTGTTTATAAAAAACAGCAAATACACACAAAAAACCTGCCGATCAAAACTAATATGCACGTCAGATCAGAGCTATGTTTGTACATGATGGTAGATTAGGGCTGGGTGATAAACCGAAAATCTACCAATAATTACATTTACGACAATAACCAACAGCTAAAGTAGACGACGTTAATGTGGGAGGGGGTGAGCAGCCTGTGGAGTAGTTATCGTCCATTTATCGTTATCAAGGTGAACTGCTCAATATATCGGGATATTGATTTAAGACCATATCGCCCAGCCCTATTGCTACAGCTATTCTCTTTGTACTAGAAGCCTTAGATACAGTTTACAGGGCTGTAAAGTTGAAATGATAGATGGGCTTCATAAAAGTCCTGATGTAGGTAGGGCTGGGTGACAATCCGAAAATTTACCGATACCGAAATTTACGACAATAATCAATGTCATTTTGCCCATATCGGTATATTCGGTGTCCAAAGAAATCATAAATCAAAGTTGGTTTTGGATGTGTGTAGGTAGGCTATGGTCTCATGTCCCTTTAAGACGCTGTCCTACGTCAGAGACGTGACTCCACCCCATCCAGTCCGTAACAAAGAGGGAAAGACAGGTGAGGAGATGGAGGATGGGTCAAAAGTTGTAGCGGCTGAAGTAGACAAAGTTAATGTGGGAGGGGGTGAGCAGCTTGTGAAGTAGTTATCATCCATTTATGGTTATCGAGGTGAACTGATCAATATATTGTGATATTGATTTGAGACCATATCACCCAGCCCTACGGTAGATGCATCTGTTTGTTGGAAGGTGAGGGTGATGCTTTATCCGTACAATCACGGGTTCAATTACCATATTTTTCGCACTATAAGACGCATTTAAAATCTTTTTGGCTTGTCTGGGCACTGCAGCTACCGTAACCTTGCGGAGTTATTGACTGAGTTGAATAAAGTTTGACTTATCTGACTGTTTTGTTTGGCTTGATGTGCTTTATGATCCGGTGCGCCTTATGTATGAAAATAGACACGAATAGACACGTTCATTGATGGCGCGCCTTATAATCAGGTGCACCTTATTAGTGCAAAAAATACGGTACTAGTTTTTCTAGTCTCTGTTCAAGACACCAGAGGAACTGTCTGTGGTCGGGGTTGATGTTGACAGACAGGTTTGCAGCTTCAGTCATCAATATGTGGACGTTAGCATGTCGCTGAAGCAGGTTCAGGCGGGAGAAGAGAAAGCTGCACAAATGCACTTTTTTTTACCGAACAGCATAAACATGACCTCCATCGTTTCAAGGACAACAAAGACAGAGATACAGAAGTGTGACGGATAATGCATGTTTCATTTTTGTATGTCCATGTGAGTTCCTGCTAAACCTGCAGTCCATCAGAAAAGACGCGTCCATTCACCTACAACAAAGTACGTCCACTTTGACTCTGCCCCCCGCGACATTTTGCATCAATGCGGTTCATGTGTTTTAGTGTGTAATGTGCGAGTACTCACCGTGTACTCTGATTGTATTCCCAGCAGACAGAAGCAGCCGGTCGGTTGAATGGGAGGTGGGTGATGGAGGTGGAATCATGAAGTAAAGAGAGAGACAAACAAACGGAGGAGAAATAATTCAGTTAGAAAGAAAGAAAGAAAGAAAGAAGTGCCAAACAAAAATTTCAAAGTCGTCATATTCAGATAAAATATCCTTACATAGGTGGGCTCTTAAAACAAACATACAGTGTGTATTTCAAGTCTCAGTTCGGTTAGTTTTATTGGTTTTTCCAATATGAAGCTGAACCCTCTGAACTTCAATCCAGAGAACTTCACCTTTTGGTTGTTGGTATTAAAAAAACACCAAATTTCAATTTAACATATTTGTGATGATTGAAAACCTCAAATCAGATAAACCGCTATCCGGCAAAACCGCAATTTTGGTGTCAAGTTTGTTGTGGACCCTTCAAACCTGAGAGATATTACACCGCGGATGATAAAAAACACCACTTAAAGGTGCACTCAGTGCGCCGCAATAACACATAAAACACTGCCAATTACTGCTGTTGTGCAACACATCACACAAAGATTTGACACTGAGATTGGTGTTGCCAGTGCTAATGAGAAACTGTGATTTTCTTTGTGAAGGGTACTTTGGTACCTGCCAGCCCGCTCCGATAGAAAATGTTTCCTTTAGATGTATTAGAGCTATGAAACATCTAAGGGAGTTATGGATCAGAGAAATGAAAACGTAAAACGAAACAGCCAATCCTGAGGGTGTTTTGGACTCTTGGGAGGACTACATCGAGGTATAATTGCAGCCTTACCTGTGATGGTATATGGGTAGTAGTTCCAAGCCTTCTCTGTGACGTAGAAGATTTTAGGGACCACAGCTCGGGCCCAGCTGGGCAGCTTGCTGAAACACAGAAAGAGTGAGAGAGGATAAAAAACACGGAGGAGTGGGTTCCCTTTCTCTTCTTCAGCCGGATCATCTTGAGAAATAATCGAGCTGTATGGAGCCAGAATGGAGGCGATCCAAGCAGCCATGATGGCCCCTATGGGAGCTCATAACCGTTATCAAACCTCTGTACCCTACGCTGGAGTTCGCACCCTGATATAGAGACAAAGAAGGTTGGGGAAGTTAATAGAGCGACGGTTACTCAGCAGAAATCGATTCAGAAAAAAAAAAGTTGCACAAAAGTAAAAGTGAGAATCTTGTTGAGACGTCCAATCAAAATGCAAATGATGTCAGTGTAACAGGAGACCTCAGCCAGCTGGAGGTAAATTACTCAGGAACAGATTTGAGCGATTAGTGCAACAAATATTCAGTCATGGAACTTCAGCGTTTCATGCATCTGCTCTGTGTTTAAGGCCGCACGGTGGTGCTGATTCCCGATCAAAAGGTTGCTGGTTCAAATCCCACTGAGAGTCTCATTGTGTGCACACTAGCTGTGTTTGCATGGACACAGATAATTGGAATAAAGGCCCGATCGGAATAAAAATGCGCCATGTAAACGTGTCGATCAGAAGATTCTGATTCAATCGGAAAGAAATTGTATTGCAATCATTATTCTGAAACACGTCCATGATCTTAACTCTTTATTTATTGAGGTCAGTACAGGAGGTTTCATTATGAACTCATCTTCTTCTGCAGATGTTTTAGTTTTAAATCAGACAACTCTGCACATGTCCAAATACTTCTAATCTGAATAAAGCTTGGTGCACATCGTTTTTTGGATTTTGCGCCCAAATAAACAGTGGACTCAGATTATCTGATCCCTCAAATCTTTTATCAGATCAATAATTTTTGCACATGTAAACCTGACTAATGCATGTTCTCCCTGTGTTCTCTCTTGTTCTCTCTAAGTGCTCGAATTTCACCCAAATTTCGTCTGTCTTTATGTTGGCTCTGTGATTGGCGGGCCTGTCCAAAGTCACTCTTTTCAAAAATTCAGCCCCTGCAGAAAGTTCGGCCTAGACTTCTGAAACTTGATATGCATATATGTTTCCTCAATACCTACAAAAAAAATCTCTTGAACCCACACCCTAAAATCAACAGGAAGACTCCCATTTTGGTTTTAGCTCGAGAAAACAAACCAGGCTATATTTAGTCATTTCCAGGGGTCCTTCTGGGACTCAGATTGACAATCTGTTGATCCATAGCAGGACCCAAAGTGCTTAGTCTTTCAGCCAGGTGCATTTAAGTTAAAGCAGCAAGTCATCAAGCAGTATGACTGTTGATAAAGCAGGCAGAGCAACAGCAAACTAAAGCTCTGCTCAATGTTCGTGACATGTGACGATGTTCTGTTGAAATTGCAAAAAAAAAATCAGCAGGTAGAAATATCCTCTCGAGGGAAACTCACTCTTTCATACTGTGAGGACATTTCAGAGGCTGTAATTTTAGCTTTTACTTCAATAAACAAGATAAATAAGTGCTTTTCATTCTTGCTGCAGTCTTTTTTCCACCTCCGGACCTCTTTGAGACATCTTCTGAATGAAAAAGTAATAAAGAAGGAATACAAAGATAAAGTGAGCGCAGACCGGTTCATTTAAAAAGTCCTTTCACAGCAGATTACCGCCGTTCAAACCACATTTGATCCGAGCTGCTGCAAAGTGAATACAAGCCTATCACCAACAGCAAATAGCCCCGTAATTGGAGACCCATTCCTCATTAAGTTTTACCAAATTTCACTTTCGGGATAATTCTCGTTAAAGCAGTCATTGATTGTTTAACTCCCACTTTCCTTCTCCTTATTCAGTGATCAGCGGTCGTATTTTTGCCGATTAAACTCTGAGTCTAACGTGTGAGGAGCCTCGGATGGACTATCACAGCATCCGGAGAGCGAACCAGTGCAGCACACTTGTCACATGTCCTCACGCTGCCTTAAATACAGGCGCGACACACACAAACACACACACTCAGACGCACACACACACGAGCGAACTGTAGTTCTAACACGCTAGCAGGTGGTCAGTGGGTGGTGAGAGGCAGGCGCGGCGTCCAGCAGTGACTGCTCAAATTATCCATCATTTACACTGACTTGGTCCTGGTATCTGCCCACACACACACACACACACACACACACACACACACACACACACACACACACACACACACAGACAAAGGCACTAAACCCTCCTTGTCTCTGAGTTTGTGAATGACACTTCACATTTCCCAGAGGCCCTCTTCCTTGTCACTTCTGACCGCAGATCCCTCTCTCTCCCTCTCTCTCCCTCTCACCCTATTATCCTCCATGCTGCTGTCCTCCTCTCTTTCTCCGTCTTATTGTCGTTCTTCTGGGAGTTTGTGGCCTAGTTGTCAGTGGCAGTATTTGATTCTTCCTCTGTTGGTTTCATCCTTTCAGTTACCCACTTTTTACGCCCGAGGGACGCGGCATATGAATAAAACTCTGCCAAAACACCGGGAGCGAGTGTCCATCAGAGTACGAGCAGATGTATATAAGTGACACTCAGACATGGACTGAACTGCTCTGATAAAAACAAATTTTGTCTCCTAAATAGACGGATATAATGACCTGTAAATGTTTTACTTTAATCACCGTTCTGCCTAAAAACTGCAGTACCAAGATTGGCCACTTGAGGCTCGTCCAAAAAGTGAGTCATCCCCAAATGGTTCCATATTAAAATACAGAACTTCACAGCAGAATTTCCCAATGTATAAACTGTAATAAAACATTTATTTGTCTCTCTAGCTAAGCCTTTTGTTTGTCTCCTAAATCCTGTTCATTTCTTTTTTGGGGAGAAGTTTGAAAGTCCTGGAAAGTGCTGGAACCAATGCGGCAAATCAAAGTCTTTTTCCGACATTTTTTATGGTCTGTCTAAAGAGTCCAATTTCGTTATGTCCGCATTGGTTCCAGGACTTTCCAGGACTTTCAAGCTTCTCCTCAAAAGAGAAGTGAACAGGATTCAGGAGACGGACAAAAAGCTTAGCTAGAGAGACAAAGAAATGTTTTATTATAGTTTGTTTAACATGTTAAATTCTGCTGTAAAGTTCTGAATTTTAATATGGAACCATTTGGGGATGACTCACTTTTCGGACGAGCCTCAAGTGGCCAATCTTGGTACTGCAGTTTTCAGGCAGAACGATGATTAAAATAAAACATTAACAGGTCATTATATCCGTCTATTTCAGGAGACAACTTTTGATTTTATCAGAGCAGTTCAGTCCGTGTCTGAGCGTCGCTTTTTTATGTCTGCTTGTTTAGTTCAGAACAACGTACTCTGATGGACACTCGTTATGTCTTGTGTTTGAGAGTGAAGTTTGGAAGTGTGAAAAGTCCTGGAAAGTCCAGGAATAAATGTGGCATATCAAAGTCCATCTCCGATATTTTTTATGATCTGTTTATAAACATCTAAAGAGTCCAGTTTTATTATATTTTATATTTTTCCCTCTTCTTTTTCTGATGTTAAACTTCCAGGTCAAAGCACATCATGAGACCTCTGGAGCAAAGACATGATTATTTCTGCAGCATCCTCCAGAAAATCCAGGTTTCGTGCAGATACAGCTTCATAATTCTTCCTTTGCTCCCCTTTTCTGTTTTTCCAAACCTCATCCTTCAAACCGGTTCAACTTTATTAAGAACAGTCACCGAGGTGCCGAGTCTGCCTTTCACCTGGATTCACCTCATCAGTAAACTTAATGAAAAGTCAAAGTGCCAGTCCGTTATTTTAGAAAATTACCACATCTCTCTTCTTTGCAGTAATCATGAAAAGAACATTGCAGGTGCGTGAGGTGAGGTCCGAGATTCACAAACTGAATTTAGTGGACGACACTCCGGAGCGCACGTAATAGCAAACTCAATTGTAGTCTGAATAACAGAGAATCAAATACTCAATTTCACGCTTATCAAGTCTTACAAAGCAGAGGGCAGCTCGGAGTTAAAAAAACAGGATGAGAGGGGATAAAAAGTGACACCTCCACACGTTTTTTATCTCTGAAAAACAACACAAACACTTTCTGCAGCTTACATCTGAAATCCTGTGAATCGTGTGACTTTATCTTGTTACTGAAATAAGATCGCTAACAGGTGTTGACATGATTTGACAAACTGTTGATGATCCGAGTCGATCACAGCTGGCATGTTAAAAAACACGTCAAAGCTTCATGATCACTGCAGATACAAAGATCGTTAGTGTTAGATTAACGATAAAAGACTCTGAACTCTGAAGCAGAAAGAGAAAAAAAAGCTTTGCTGTATTTTTGGATAAAAAAAATCAAGGTCAGTTTCCTGCTTTTGGCATCAAAGGAGAACATGAAACAGTGGCGTGTGTGTGTGTGTGTGTGTGAGAGCCCGGTAAATAATTCAGCAAAAATCATGTTCGGCTCGCGCTGCGTGGCGGAGATAAGACACTCACTTGTTGAGGTAGATTCTCTTCTCTGTAAACTGGCCTGATCCGTGCTCGGGGTCATCGTACGGCTCGTTCTGGACCACCTCCACCCCCTCCCCGCGCTCGCTCTGCTCGTGACTGTGTTTGCTGATCATGTACAGCTGCCCGATCCGGTACTGAAAGACAAGACAGAGGGAGAAACAGACGGACAGACAGACGATCAGTTGTTAGTCCTGGATTCCTGCAGAGCGTCCTGACACTGTCATCGTATTTTAATGCAGACAAACTTTCATTCAGTAAACATGAAACAAAAAAGCTTCAATAGAGTAAAATAAATAAGAAAGGAGAGAATATTTCATGCTTAGTTTTGTGCATTAGAAAAATCAGTAATTCAAGAGGAATGACAGATTCTTCAAAATAAATCACATCTTTTTATTCAGGGCGTCGATAAACTTCTTTCCTGACATGCAGTTGGTCATTTTAAGTATCTGTGAAAGAGTGAGGGGTGTAACTTCTGCATTAATGTGACACGCTGCATGAAAACAGAGACAGGTGACTTTTCTAGACGTTTTTGCCTAATTTATGACAAAAGCATCCTCATTTTTTCTCGACTTTCTTTCAAGTTTGCTCCTTAAAGTCCTCCTCTCCATATTAACAAAGATTTATTCAACTATTTCCATCCTGCTGAGTTTGAGCTTCATATTATTTCTTTGTAAACTGTGATTTACACAGACAGCAGTCTTGTTCATGGTCCCATCCTTTTTTTCTTTAAAGAATGAAACTTTTATTGAACTTTAGTTTTTGTTGATTGTGTTTGCAGAGAGATGGTCTTCTGGATGAAATGAGATCAGTGCAACCATGAAGTAGCAATCATAGGATGTTGTAATTAAGTAAAAAACCCTTTTTCACCTGTTAAACACTCACATTAAGTGTAATTTAAAACTTTGAGTATTGAGGGAGTATTGCACTTCTGATGATGTTACTTTAAAGAGCAACAGTATGTTCCTGCCTGAGGTGCAGAATCACAAGATTTGCAAACAGATATAAACAAAGGAACTCAATTATTTTTGCAAAGTCCTAATTCAGGGTCTGGTCCTGCTCTGTTGCAGACCGCTCATGCTGAACTCCATGAGACGGTCTGGTCTGAAGAGGGTTTCCTGTTTGCATCACCCCCTGTGTCCTCCCTCATTTCGCACCGCTCCTGTTTTCTTTGCTGCACGTTTAAGGAGCCAGGAAAACTAGGTCACACTTGTTGTCAGCTATATTTGAAGGAGTCTTTGAGTTGTGATGGGGCAGCCTTTGACACCCCGCTGGGACACAACCGGACTTCAGATGTGCCCTCCAGAGAACGCAGCCTCGCCCCTCTTTCTATGTTATAATTCAGCCGTCATTAACCCTTCGAACTCCCTGCTATATTTTGTTATTTTTGGTTCGCCTGTTTTTTTTTTTTTCTGTAAAAATCTCTGTAGCAACTTGATCCTTTTAAGCGCAGCAAATATAGACACATCTTTTTTTTTTCAGGATAACCTCAGCTGTCAGTTTATGGAGCAAAAATGATGTCAAATGAATGTGACAGTAGATTCAGAACCATCAAAGTCAACCAAGAAACAAAAACAGAAATTGATCCCAACAGTACTTTGCTCAAAGAACACATCAATCTCTAGTGACCAAGCCTTTTCTCACCTGAACATCATTCTCTCAAGTCTTGGCTATCAGGAGAAGAAATATTGGGATTGGAACAAACACACAACTGAAACTATTGACATATTTACACTCATTCTTCCAGGTGTTTTTTTACTATTTACAGTTGTTTCTGCCACTCCTTGAATGAGACAGAGGACCACATCATACTGCTCAGAATCTCTTCGTTGCTTGTTTCCAAACATTGTTTCTTATTTTGCAGACAAGCAGGGAACTTTCTTGTCTCTTGTTGATCTTTGGTTGTCTCTTATTGGCCACTACCGTCAAGGGAACGATAGAAGAAGAAGAAGATGAGACGATGTAATTGGTCCAAAGTTTGACAGAAAAAGACGTCATCAAAAGAGATTGTCAAACCTGGAAGACATTTAGCGATAGCGATCTTTTTTTGTTATAACAAAATGATAAATATTCATGTTTTCACCGGTTTATTACCATCAAACATCTCTGATCAAACACCTATATTTGTGGCTGGATTGTAAACCTTGTGGCAGGTGTAGAAATGTCTGTAAACCCTTGATAGATCGCCAAAAGGGTAAACTTTTCAACACTTTTTTTCCCATAGAGATACGCGGAATAGTTCCTGAGAAACTAATGGTGTCACGTGGGATTGCCGGCGATCCAGCAGAGTTCTAAGTGTTGAACAGGACAAGAAGAGAGTGAGGGAACACGTGCAGTCAAAGGGTCACCATCGAGGGTCAGAACAGCAACCGCTGCGACGAGGACCACATCCCTTGTACATAGGCCGCACTTAGAGTACTTGGCCATCCGTGCCCGAGAATGTGGCCCCGAAATTTGGACACAAGAAGTGTCAAAAAGTTAATTACTGTCAAAAGAGTCACCAGAAGAAGTGTCCACCCTTCTGTGCAGAGAGAAAGTCTCTCCACAACAGAGTCTTGTGTGTTTATTTCCATCCACTTCTGCTTCAAACCCTGACAATGTGTCTGCCGACTGATCTAACCGTGAGCTGGAATAACAGCAGAGGTAAAAATAAACACAGAGAGGAAAATACCCGGGTCACTCACAGCTCTCACTGCACAGACTTGACACCTGGGGAAAGTCCTCATAGCGAAGGAAAGCCAGGGGGGCTTAGAGTCTGTCTGCGGCACGGTGCCTCATATCAGAGCGGGACCAGCGCAGCACAACAATAGTAACGGCGGCAGGAGCAGGAGCGAGCGAGGTGACTTTATCCCACGACCCCTCTGACCCATCCGTCAACACACACATCCTTCACTCATCGCTGACTGACCCACTTGGCCAAATGACAATGTCACTCTGGGTCTCTGTGACGGGCTGGACTGGACTGGACTGAGGGGCGTCACATGGAAACTATTTTCCATACATTTGGAAAACTACATTCGCTCCAGGACCGAGGGTTCGAGCTGCTCGTTGTCCTATTTGCGGGGCAGGGGGGAAATCGATCCCGCCCCGATGGTGACTTTTACCACCGTGCAGGAATGCCGAGTGTTCACACCGGACTCAAATGCAACACACAAACACACACCGCCAAGGATAGCTGTGTTAAGCTAACGGAAAAAGCCCTGCCTGAGAGTTATGGTTACTCTCGTTACCCCGCCTACGAAAAAGGAAAGAATGAAGAGGAGGAGTGTGAGGGTGTCACGGCAAAAAAGCACAAGAGTGCGACATCTTATATCACAATGGCAGGTTTTTCCGTGGTCAGAGAAAGGCGCTCAGACCGAGAATTCCCAGCAGGAATGTTGATGGCGGAGTGTTTCTGACCGAGCAGCTGCTGGAGTCTTGAATAATTTTCCGCTGCCATGACACAGTCATCACCAGGAATAATCCAAGAGGAACCAACATGTAGTGACAAACAAGCACATCAGAGGAACAATAACAGAGAGCGCACAGCAGCAGGTCCAAACTGGAGATAATGTGGAAATTTTCAAGGATTACAGATTAAATTTTCTCTTTTTCACGGCTCGTTTTTCTCTCGGGTGATAATTGTAAACATCATACATTGAATTAAAGTGTCAGTGTTGCACACTAAAAAGACACTACAGCCTCTCTCTTATCTGTCCCTTGGCTTTTCAGACACACACCTGCATGGGCGAAATTTTGATTTCAAGGGTGGGGAGGCACATGTGACTTAAGTACTGATGTGACACAAGGATTCAAACATCAATGTTCAGTTCTGATTTCTTTATTTATTCCAGAATTCAGTTCCTGCCTTTACATATAGACAGGTTTCTGTGCAAAGTCAGCGCAGGTATGTGTGCGCAGCCTTGGTGCAGAAAGCGGGACATTTCTTATTTGTTTACTTGCGGAGTCGACGGAGAAAGAAACTGACAAGGAGCTGTTGTGCTGTAAACTGCATGAATCATCAAAACAAACAATCGGCAAACATCACAACCCTGCTCCTGATATTATAAACATCTAAAACAACGTCACAACCTGGTAAATTGAGTGAAATTTATGGATATTTCAGCAAGTGTTTTTCTGATTTTGATGCAATGAAAGACAAAGTGATTTTTCAATGACATTCTATTGCAATTGTATCAGGAACAACTTGCAACCAGTTCTCGGCTTGTATCGGTTTGCTATGGCGTCAAGTAACATTGTTTTCAGACAGTTAAAACTGCAGTAGACCGAAGTAGACTCCTCTCCCTGCTCTCCTTACCTGCTGCTGCCTGATAGTTTAGGAGCCACTACTCCCTCGTGCATCCAAACTTTGTTTCACATTGATTTGAGCTGTTTATAATGAAGTGAAAGTGTGTGTTGTGCAAAATTCATGAGTTGGACAACAAAGATGAAGTAAAATAATGATTTTTGTACAGATAGTTTTTGAGGGTTTAAAGACTCCTGTCACCAATACAAGGGGTGAGCAAGGGAGCATTTCAGCCTATCTGATCAATAGATATTTTATTTCTGCACACTCTACCTTCAAACAATTAGGAAATTAGCCCCTTCAGAACACTTCCAGTACCGGCGGCGTTCACAACCTCAATATCAGAGCACCTCTCACCGTCGTGTGCTGTTGCTAGGTTACTGTATTGTTCCACATGTACTTATTCTCCCCTTGGTGATGACCTTTGAGTGTGTTTTAAATAGCTCTGTATGCTAACTATATGAGTTTATTTAATGGGATTTTACTCCGAAAATGTAGCTGATAGAAAACATTTTGTACCCGCGCCAGAAAGTTCCTATCAGAAGTCCCGCCTTGTCTTAAAGGTGGAACTACATTAGTTCTTGTTAGTGGACATAGGCCCTAATTTTCCAAACTTGTTGCTTTACCTTGAAATATCCTCGTTCTCCCCTCCCGATTGATTGACCTTCAGTTTCTGGCAAATCCAGAGGGTCGAATCAGAGCCAGATAGCAGTCGAGGACATTAGCATAGCAAACAAATTGATATTATTTGTTTTCCCTTTGTAATTAATTACAGCTCTGGACAGGAGCTATTTGCACAGAGTGATTCAGATTCATGGAGATCATGACATTCAAAGACAAAGAAAAAGGAGGTGTACGCAGTGATTGGACACACACACACACACACACAGATATCCGTGTGTTTGCAGAGATGAGGCAGCTGAACGGCATACATAAATCTCTCGGTTGGATGAAAAGCGTCGTGGCAGAGTACCCACTCGAGGGACCGGTGAGCGTCCCTCTGATCGCGCTGATGGCCGACAGCATTAATGTACCAACATTAAGCCTCATCCTTCCACTGACCCTCGGCTCACTCAGAGTTCACACACATTGTGTAAACACGCCAGCTGTTGTGGCGCTCTTCCTCCCCGCCTTTGTGCTCAGCCGGTCCGCCGTCTACCTGAGAGCTCAGTTTGATGAATGCGGGACTGTTTTCATTATCGTCTTTGTGAGTCCTGCTTTAATGACCACGAGGCAGAAGTGGCTCCAGCTCGGAGTAGAGTGGACGTGGCTGGATCTCCATGGCTGCTGTCGATCCACAGCTGTCATGCTTTTATCCTTTTCCGTGCTTCGGGTTTTCAGACTATTTTGAACCTCCTTTGAAACTGGCTCATGGCTTTTTAGACAATTCAGTGAGTAACCCAAAATTGTCTACTAGCAGAGAGTCATTACAATCGTTGAGCTCTTATGTTATCAGAGGTGTTTTAAGAGGCAGACTGACCCAGGAAACATAAAACAACCAAAGACAACTCGATACTTTCAGTCCTTTTATGAAAATCAAATTTTCACTTTACTGCCAGAGCACCAAACTTGGAAATTGAGCACAGCAAACCAATTACCCTCTACTTGGCAAATGGTCTAATTAGATGTCCTATTTAAACTGCTGCAGTCTGGCTTCCCCTTCTCCTTCAATTCATGCTGATTCATCAGTCGCTCACTAAGTTTGTATTACACTCGAGAAAAACGATTTATTGCCTTATTCCGATTAAGACCGGACAACAGAAGTGCATGTAAACACCTTAGTCTGACTATAATCAGAGTCGGAGAACTCTGATTAAGACACCCCGATAATGCCATTGGAATTTGATTTTCTTTACCATGTAACCAGCGTAGTCGGAGTATGATCGGACAATGCATGTGCGCCCCCGTAACAAAAACATCAGAGAAGAGGAGTGGCGGAGGAGTTTCCGGGAGGAGGACACGCTTACGTCAATAGTTCGATTTTCTCAGCTGCATGTATACGCAGACAAGGAGAGAATTATAAAACGGAATTATGAGCTTAGTCCGATTAAGCTGTGGATGTAAACGCACTGACTAATTCCTTTGCTGCTGCTCTCCCTGCCTTGGCATGTGAAAGTAGCGCGACTTGACTCTACTTGACTCGACTCCACTCACATTGGTTGTCATGACAAAGCAGCCTGAAACTCCTGTGTACGCAACACAAACAAACAAACAAACCATATGCACGGTTGCTATTATCAGGTTTTAAAAATGTCTCTAACGACTCACCCAGTGATTTCATTTTCTGGCCAATCAGAGGCCTGAGATCTGATGGTGTCACATTTTCAACTAGATTTGAACCCTGAATGAGTAAGTATGAAAAAAGTACCCGGTACCACCTCCGGGTAGGGAGCAACACATAAACAGGGTTCCTACTCAAGTACAGAAAGCATGGAAGTAGTTTGATCAATTTCCAGATCTTAAAAAGTATAAAAAATAAAAAATAAAGTGTGGAAAAGTATTTATGTTTTCAGACTATTACCACAATTCAAAAGTACTGTTTTCTATAATATAAAAGTAGGTATTTCCAAAAATCATTCTAAAAAGTAGGGCATGGAAAAGAATGGAAATTCCAACTGTGTAGGAACCTGCATAAAGTAAAACTTCTCTTTGACTAAAGTGGTCCAGACTGAAACTAACCCATGAACTTCATAAAAAGTTCCTTTAATAGCATTTATACTTTGAAACACCTTTAGCAAATCAGCAGCAGCGTGGCTCGTGCGATAAACCATGTATAAGTAAATGGTAAAATGTAAAATGTTCTGTATTTACAAAGCCGTTTCTCTGTTTCCTGACCACCCAAAGAGCTTTTGTACCACATTTCACATTGATATACAAGCAGGAGGCTCGCTTTTACCCCACAGATGAAAATCAACAAAATTGACGACAGTGTGGGTTAAATGTTAAATGGTTTTTAGTGGAGGATGAGAAAAAGATGGAGACTACTTTTATATCCTTGTGCAGCCAGATGGTTAATTTGGCACATGAAAAAGACTTGAAACAGACATAATGGTGTCAAGCTTCAGATGCTCTCTTCGCACATCTGATTTGGTTGATCTGCTGCATAATTGGAAAGAAAGACACACTGATACAACACCAAGCTAAGAGGAAGTTCTGCACATAATCCAAGATCAAATAGATATTTTAGCGCCCTAATTTTTCCACATTTGGCCAATAAATACAAAGTGACACCAAAAGGAGAAGTTGCAAAGTCTCCACGAAACACACACTGATGTAATACTTCCAATATGAAAGCATGAAGTCTGTCCTGTGATCAGACTCCGTGTCTCTTTCTTCTCTCTGTTCTCACACACCAGCAGGTGGTGCGGAGCTGTGCTCATTGTGCCGCAGCCAAGGAGTGTGTAAGTGTGAGTGTAAGATAAGAAATACTATCAGCACACACACACACACAGACACACACACACTTCATGAGACGATTCTGGGGCACAGTTCTAACATGTAATTAAAATTCAGCCACAGACAGAGTAATTGTTGCTCCGAGCGCTGTGCATTCTTGGATGAATGACTGAGCTCCTGTTGAGATAAGTAGCTGTTTTTGTTTTGGTGTCTATTGTAGGGGTTGTGTGTGTATTTGTGTGTGGGTGTGAGTGATATCTGTGTCTATCTGTGCAGGCAGATCATCCTTAATGTGACTCAGCACACAAGGGGAAAAACAAAGTCTCACATTTTTGAGGCGGTTATGAGCTCACTTTATTCTTCTTTCATCATCATGTTTCATGTCTGTTGTCTCAGTGTCTTCAGTGAGAGTGATGGAAGTGTGTATTTGATTTAGTTTCCTTTCTTACTGTGTCGCTAATCTTGAGATGATGTAGAACATACACTTGGACCTGCAGCTGCAAATTCATCTGCAACAAACGGACTTGGAAGCGAAAACAAAAACCTCGTTCTGCGGCATCGCACCGTGCCTTCGGGCGGAGTGAGCGAGAAACCCTCTATTTACTCCCTTCATCTCTCAGACCTGATGAAACCAACAGCACTGTGATAAACATGAACCCCCCAGAACATCATACATCACAGAACTCCATTAGAAACACAGCCAGGAGGCCTCTGTGGTCGTACGGGCTGGTGAACGACAAGGAGCCTCGGGCAGAGCTCTGTCACAGGTGTGGGAGTCTTACACAAGACCTGTGCTTCACAGAAATGTGCGAACAGCATGGATGCATAAGCTAAAGACAGCGGTGTATTGTAACCTAGGAGGGGAGCATTATCGTGACTTCTGCATTTGCGAAAATGATAAAAGAAAGTTGCAGAGAAGGAGAGATGGTCGATAAAAAATACATGGTTGAAAAGTGACTCATGTGTGCATCAGTGTTGAGGAGTAAAGATGAGTTACTGGAATATACAGAAAACTCACCTCTATTCATATGTGCAAACTCTGAGAAATAGGGCTGGGCGATAAACCGAAAATTTAGCAATACCGAAATTTCGGACAATAACCAATGTAATTTTGCCTATGTCGGTATATTTAGGGTAGGGCTGGGAAACACAGGAAAAAGTTTATCTCGACATATTTTTTTCATATCAGTCGATATCGATTTATATCACAGTATAAAAAAATCACAATGTTCCCTTTTACTCTTAAATCAAATTTAACAGTGCTTATTGGTAGCATGTCTACAAATAGAAATGCTGTTAAATTTTATTTTTTATATCATAATATATATAGATATGAACTGATATGAAAGAAATATACCGTGATAAAAATTTCCCATATCGCCCAGCCCTACCAAAAGCATACTGACCATGTTTCATATTGATATTGAGGGAAATTAATTTTCAAATATATCGTTTTATTGTCAAGCCCTAGTTTGGTGTCAAAAAATCTAATAAATAATAATTTGGTCTCATGCCCCTTTAAGACGCTGTCCTACGCCAGAGATGTGACTCCACTCTGTAGTCCAGTCCGTAACAAAGAGGGACAGACGGGTGAGGAGATGGAGGACAGTTCAAAAGTTGTAGCGGCTGAAGTAGATGAAGTTAATGTGGGAGGGGGTGAGCAGTTTATGGAGTAGTTATCGAGGTGAACTGCTCAATATATTGTGATATTGATTTGAGGACATATCGCCCAGCCCTCGTGAGAAACCAGCTGGAACTTTCTGGCTGGGTCTATGATGTCTGTGCAAACCCAGAAGAGGATTTGCACCAGTTGCAGGACGATCAAACCCTGCCTCCTGAGACTCACTCTTGTCCTGTAGGGGGGACTTTACTATGAGTGAATGAGCAAACTCAAAAGAGCATTGTGAAGAGTATTGGACTGGACAATAACAGTCAGACAAAGTCATGAAAAAGCAGTATCGGGCGTTTTGTGAAGTGCACAGAAGAAAAAGTCCTGGGGAGCTGTCTGCCTGACCCGCTGAACCCACTTCATTTGAGACCAGATATCAGAGAGATGAAGGAAAGGCTGCAGGGACAGTTGAAGCACAGAAGCCGAGAACAGACTGAGATCGGCATCAAATGATTTTCAGCTCAGTGTCAAGTGCTGTCTACAAGTATAAAGATACTTAAGATGAAAAAAATTAAGCTCTACTTCAAGAAAAAAAAAAGGCAATAAAATCCATTTCAACACTTGTGGACTCAGTGGCTGCAATGTCTCTGAAAATGGGGGCAACTTTACCAACATGGATAACCACGGGATCACAGAGTCTGTGAGCGGACGTCACCCGGTGCAACAAGACGCCATCTGTCACCTGTGTTTGTGTCCTTCACTCTGCTCACAGTGGCAAGATCCTAGTTGCATAACAACCTGCACACTTTACACAATCCTTCAACTAATGAACTGGTTGTGCACGATCGGTACAAAAAGCAGAATTAAAGGGATAATCTGGCGTAAAATTAAGTTAGGGTTATACACACCGTAGCACCGAGTTAGACACCCTGTTGAGAGATGAATGTTGACGACCGCTTGCTTCTCTAGTTATACCAGCTTTAATAACGACCACACGATAGCAATACAGAGAGCCACGCGCTCCACCAAAACGGCTCTCTATAGCCACAAATAATGCTCAGAACAGCACCTAACTTCATCAACAGGACATATAGGGTCACAGACATAGTACTAGACACCAAACATCTTTTTAACTTTGACTAATTTCTTTGGCAAAGAGACTAAACACAACTCACCTACTCTCTTCCAGCAGCCGCTTGTTTGTACAGAGACCTCCAGGTGACTCCATTGACTGCAGCGGGGTGACTCAGCTCAAGGAAGAACATTTATGATCATTTCTTTATCATTTCTTGAAGTAATAATCACCATATAAATAATTTTGCACTGCAGACATGGTAGTCTTTCTGCCTTATGATTTCCCGTCAGTTTTGGCTCAGAGGAAACAGAAGTTCTGAAAGCGTCTGCAGCAGAGAGCTGTAGAGGCTGTCCTCAAACATCATCGCTGCAGCGCTGACCTTCGCTGTTTGCATGTTTGACAAAAGATTTAAAAAAATGAGGAAGAAAATGTCCTTCTCAGGAATAATAGTCCGATCTGTTTCCTGGAGGTCATTTCTGATCAATGAAATTCTAATCAAAGATAATGAGGATGTGAAGAGGTCAGCTTTGATGTCTTTAAAGTGTATTTTAATTACTAGCCAACACCTCGTTAAGACCACCAGGTGGATTCAATCAGGGAAGGGAGTGAATCACAGAAGCTCACACACACGTTTTTGTATGTTACCACGCTTTCCAGGAACATCCCCTCCTCTCTCCTAACCTTCACGACTACACCTTTCAGCGCCGCTTTCTTCCAAACAGGCGCCGATTGTCACCTTAACCTGCCTCGGTTTGCAGAAACGCTTCCAGTTTCAGCTCGAAAAACGGTGACTTTCTTCCACAAGGACACACCGCACAGTGCTGCTTCAGCACAAACGCAGGCCTGCTGAGTGAACATGAATGACTGCTTTTTGCTCCTTTTGCTGAATCAGCACAATGTGAAGGTGGGTGTTAGCTCCCTGTAATGGTTTGATAAATTCATGTGCCGGAGCGGCGCTGTTCACACAAGCTCTGTGGGAGGGAGCCGAGGATGACAGCTGGCTTATGGGGGCAATATCTTATGGTTGCACAACACTGGTGTAAGCTGTGTGCCACACTAGTAGACTGCAGCCTTTCCTAATTTCATGGCCCCCTGATAGAGCAGCATCTCAGAGCAATGGAGCGAGGCAGGCCTGGAACAAGATAACCCAGAGCTGGAGCTGCTTTGCTCAGGGATAAAAGATGGTTCAGATTCCTCCACAGAGGCTCAGAGAAACCTCTGGCATTCAGAGTCGTGTTTGCTAGATCCATCAGTTAAACCTGGACTGGAAGGTATTTTCTATCAAGGCTCTCTGCACGTCACTTTCAAATCCAACAATGAAGAAAGAAGGAGGGAAGAAAATATATTCCTGAGTGCTTCAAACTATCACAGTGGAAAAGGTTTACACTGATGCAGCTTTGGCAGAAGTTTCACTGAGGGTGATAATGGAGAGGGAGCTGACTGAAAAAGACCTGTACTTACTTTTACAGGGGTATATCATAATGTAATCACTATCATGGGTTTAGCATCACATACCATATCATATCTTACAGTAAGGTTTCATATAATATTGTATTATGTCATATCCTATTGGATAATGTTATTGTTACACTGCACCACATATAGTATTGAAACATATCTTTTGAATTGCATTGTGATTAATTTGTATATTGTGTTGTATTGCATTTCATTGTTTTTTATTGTAGCCTATCAAACTGTATCTTGTTGTGTGGTATTACATTACATTTCCGGGAGTTTCTCCACTTCCTAAAACCACCACTTGCGCAGGAGTATTGTACGCATTTGGCGGGAGAGTCGCTGTGACGATGCTCTGCTTAAACAGCGACTTTTAGAGCAATCTATGTACGCCCATAGGCTGTATCAAGTGTCAATCATAGAAATCATGAACCCCCTAATAATAATGGAGCTGCACAGAAAAAAGAGGACTTGAGCACAAACCAGTCTGACAGTAACTACATGTCAACATCGCAAACAAGAGGGAGAAACATTTATATTCTGGGTGATAAATTTCTAAAGTTTGTCCACAGCTCCATAGGGATTGCTGGAGGAGGCGGGATTTATGACCTATACTGCAGCCCATCACCAGAGGGTGCTGTTCTCAGAGTGGCTTCACCCAGCGAGGAGGCAGACAGCGTCCTTTCTATATACAGTCTATGGTCATATTGTATCACGTTATACTGCATCACTTTGTACGCTATTGAATCATACTGTCTTACTGTATAGTATATTGCTTTATCAAAGCTTAATCTGCACCTACACTCCAAAATATCAGATTGGTCCAATTTGAATATATCAGAAAGGATTGAATATCTGTGCACTTTGGAGGTAGTAAAGGGATTTGTAAATAATATTAAATATAGAGAGCCAGTAAGCCACATTACATAAACTATGTCAAAGACATGCAGAGTGTTGTAACTTATTACTGCTGAGCACTGCAGGTGGGAGAGATCATCCCCTCTATCCTTCTCCTGCTCTCCAGCAGTCTTCTCATCCCGCTTCTCTGCAGCGTCTGAGGTCAACGAACTAGAGATTGCATAACACTAGGATCAGTCACTACGGCTCGCTTCACTCTGCATCTTCTTTACTCCCTGGGTGGCCGACTGTCGAGACGTGTTTGTATGCGCACTTGAAACCAGAGAGAGAGAGAAAAAGGAGGATAAGACGGGGAGCAAAAGGAAGCGTAATGTGGTGGATGATCATAGAGGGGCAGAGATTATGAGGGAGCAAAAAGGAGGAGGATCTGGGGGAGAAAGGTGCCGGGAAAGATGACAGGCTGCTGAGGCATTACATAAGAGGACTTGATTGAAGACTGCTGTCTTTTTTTGCCCTCCTTCCTGCTCCTTGTGCCATTTATTTGATCCGTGTCACTTTCTCTTCCAGCCTTTTTTTCCTGCTGACAGCCTAGTGCTCGTCTTCACCAACCCCTTCCCTCTTCTCACTGTCTCATTATCCTCGCCTCTCTCTCTCTCTCTCTCTCTCTCTCTCTCTCGTCTCCATGTGCAGGTTTCAGAACATCATTATGTCGGTTTTTCTCCTGATGCTGCAGTGACAGAAAAAAAAAAACACATCTCATTTCTCATAAAGACACACAAAGCCCTGTCTCATACCCCTACACTGACAATAACACACCAGACCTAGGCTGGCAGTAACACCACAACACCATCCTGTTGCTTCACTCTCACTGCCAACACAACCAGACAGGAAAATATTGTATAAGAGTGTGTATTTATTTCTGTGTTTGTGTGCAATTAAACTCAGTTCTGGTGATTTGCTTTCACACCTGCTCTTGTTGTACTCTCTCTCCCTGCAGGGAAGGTTGCACATGTTTAGGCCTGTCACGATAACAAATTTTGCTGGACGATAATTGTGCTACAAATTATCGCCGATAAACGATATTATTGACACCGTTTTTTAAATTATAGATAATGATATTATATGGCATAATAATGCGAGTACACCGTGTCAAAAGCAATAAACTTTAATTTCCACTGTCCGTCAGCGCGCACAATTTTGCGCTGTTTCGTTTATATTTGCTTTGCTTACAACACTGGTTGTTTTCGTTGACTAAAATATTTCCCCTTCTTCCACGACGAAGACGTAACGTTGACGAGCTAAACATAAGTCGGAGATGACTAAAATGTGACGAGACAAAAGTGCGTTTACGTTGATGGGACGAGACGAAAATGACAGTTGCAAAACTCAGTCAGTTAAACGCTAAACATATAGGAGCAGCTTCAGTTCGCTCTGACAGCTCTCATCAGCCTGCTGTGCTCCTCCAACACACAGACACACACGCGCGCGCACACACGTGGAGTTTCGTGGTTGACGAAAACAAAACTGGTTTAAGGCCGAAATATTCCCACACTTGGGCTGTTGCGTTCGGTTTAGACACTAAAGCTGTCGTGTTCATTCTGTTTGCTTGCTTTTCACTCACGACGCTCACTTGCAGCACTGTATCCAAAAGTCTGTGTCTGTGTGCCTGTGCGCGCCAGCCCCCTCCTGACAAAGACACTGAATGACTGACAGTAGGGTTCACTAACTGCGTTCATTCCGCTATAGAGCCAACGCCCCCAGGTGCCGAGAACAATGCGCAGAGTGAGACCTCTTCTCTCATCCAGCGTGTTTGGTAGCGAGAGAGGAGGAAAACAAACGCATGTTAACTATCGACGCTGGCAAAATGACCGACCTCGTTTTTATTTACCGAGCGATAAGGCGATTTATTGATTATCGCGACAGGCCTACACATGTTCATGCATTCATATGCATACAAAGAAAGAGGACAGATGACGCTATAAGAGTAAACAAGCTCTTTGTTAATGGATAATCAGGACTGTTATTTACCTTATAGTTCATAATAGTGGAACAGCTATTTAATAGAAATATGTGAAACTCTCTGCAGCTCGATTTGGATCATTTAACATCTTTATATGAGAAGTTATTAAGGTAAAATCACCTGAATATGAGGAAAGGGAATATCTCCAATCGTTCGTTTGATTACCAATATATAAGCCCATCTGTATTCAGCACAGACCTACTTAATAAGTGACATATCTCAGCATCTGTGGGGTGCAGCGGGAAATGTCGGTACAGAAACTCAACACATCTACTTGACTATTAAAAATACATTTAAACATGTTTGTATGACTGAAATGGCACTAGGTTAGGATGAGACGAAGGGACATCTACCAAAGTGAAGAAAACAAGCACAGAGCAACAACAATGTGCATCACAGTTTGGGCTTTCGCAGCGTTACAGGTCTGACTGAGTGAGACGAAAACGCCCAAAAGAAATGACACACATGTTGCTGATATTTTCTGCATCTATTGAGAATGCCAAAACAGAAAAAAACATGAATATTAAAGGGATATTCCGGCGTAAAATTAATTTAGGGTCACACCTAACACCGCTGTAATCCGTAATGGACTGGCCTGAGGTCTTGCTACGAACAAGCAGGTGCTGGAAGAGAGTAGGCTACTTGTGTTTTGTCCCTGTATGTCCTGTTGCTGAAGTTAGGTGCTGTTCTGAGCATTATTTGTGGCTATAGAGTGGCGTTTTGGTTGAGGTTTGTTTACGGCTCCTCAGACCGCTGTGTATTGCTATCATGCGGTTGTTACTGAAGTTGATAAAACTAGAGAAGCAAGCGGTCGGCAACATTCATCTCTGGAGGGGGTGTCTAAGTCGGTGTGTTTGACCCTAACTTAATTTTACGTCGAAATATCCCTTTAAGTCTTGATTGTGACTGACTATGTGAAGATTAATGGTCTGTAATTTGTAATCAGGGGAAATAAGTGGAAAATGTACAGTGAGTGGGTGGTTATGCAAAACAGAGTTGCCGTTATGGTGTAAAAGACCCTCTTCTACTCTGTGTAACCACATCTGCGACCATCATCATCTCACTTGACATCAGAAACACCACAGTGAGCTTGTTAGCATACTGATGATGACCTGCTGTGCCGTAAAAGCCAGTATAGTGCTTTCAATCTTTGGTCTAATGTCCACAACCTGTAATACTGGATTAATTAAGTGGTGTATGATCCAAACGCCACTAAAACAGATTCAGAGGTTAATCAGTGTGGAAAAAAAGAGACAACCAGAAATATAATCAAACATTTAGATTCATTTTATCGACTGAAAGCAGCCAAATGAATTTGGTTTCTACTCAAATTATGATGCCGAATCAAAACACTTCATTCATACTGTTCGACACCAGCTGCGACGTTCAGGTGACTGTAACAAGGTAAATATTCTGCGAATCAGCTCACATATGAAACAGTCCAATTAAATTAAGAACAGCTGTTCTCAGACTCTGCAGCTCCGCAAAAGCTTAAATCAAAGAGAGGAAAAAGCCGGAGCATGGAGACATCAATCAGCGCCTGAATGGGGAAGCCAAGCCCGCTGCTGGATGCTGGTGTGTGATTTACTTCGGCTGCAACGCTGATTTATGATCTGAGATTTGCATGAAATATAATTTGCATGCATTGGCACCACAGACTGTATAACATAAGTAGACCCGGCTATCATGACGTCAACCCCTGGTTTTGTGAGCTGCTGCACTTATTCAGAATCACTTCCTCACCTTGAGCGTTTCAAAGAAAGTCTGCCCTCATTAAAAAGAAAGTGACTCTTTCCTCGGCCCGGTCCAGTCGGTTGAAAAACCCAATTTCCTCCATGTCACATAAGCCTTATTTTCCTTTCTGCTGCACTCTAAAAATTTTGGGCCCCAACTTGAATTTCAGGTTCTTTGGGGAAAGCCATATCATTTATTATGCATAGGCTGAGTTTGAAAGAGAAAGCGAGAGAGAGAGCGGAGAAACTCGCATGAAAAGGGAGAAGGAACGAGAGGAGAAGTAATGACCACACGTGTTATCTTGGGTTTTGCGTGCAATATCAACCTCATAGTCAGCTTGTTAGAGAGCCCACTGTTAATCATGCCATTAAAACCACTCAAGGTTGGCTTATATGGAAAACATAAAGGGTTAGATTCGCTCATGTGTCAGGAAACAGCTCCGGTTCTTGGAAATTCAAACCCAGAATCCGACATAAAACCAGCAGCGGTGGAAGAAATAAGAGCGAGGAAGCCATTTACCCAGCAAAGAGCCGAATTAATGGTGTGAGGAAGAGGAAAGAGGAAGAAACGGGTTGAAGCATGAGCTGATTTCTGAGCTGAAATCTTCGGCTTTTTGCAGCCCACTTGAAAAAAATCAGAAACTTTTCAGGAGCTTTTTGCACGTGTGAATAGAAGGACTACTTCCTGATTATTACTCCTGCATCCTCACTCGCTTTCTTCATCAGAAAACTGTGTGAGGAACTGTTTGCAACACTAAAAACAATCTCCCTCCCCTTCAGCAGCACTGCAGCACCACGAGTAGTAGAGACAAGGTTCACACTTCATCCACCTCATTTGCTTGCTCAGAGGTGTTACACAGACTTTTACAGGCCACTCTGTGCTAGTTTCATTCCCAGGGCCTCCGCAGATAATCTGGAGAAGTGTTATTAAATGAAAGGATCTCCATTTATCACGGGGAGACTCGCTGTAAGGTGAAATATGGGAGGCGTAAATCCAAGAACTGTATGTACAGTAGTCAGACAGCTGCAGAAAGATTTTACAGCCCCCTCTAAACCACACACACACCCACACACACACACACACACACACACACCCACACACTCATACACTCAGTCACATGACCTTCTTGGGTGCCGGCCAGTGATATTTTACGACGGAGCGGTGTCCATGACCTCTGCGCCAACAATAGTCGTCACACACATGAAAAGGGTGCTCTTCCAGAGAATAGAGGAAGTCAATGAGAGGCATCCGAAAGTGACGCTTGTCTGTGTGTGCACAGTGAGACAGTGTGTGTGTGTGTGAACCACGCAACCTTGGCCGTCTTTGCGCTGAATGGTTTTGGACACGGTGTCACCGTGGGTTTTACGATAAGGTACAGAACGAGAACACGAAGCTACGCAACGTTCTGAAAAGGGAAAAAATACACAACTCAGAAAACTGGACTGAGAGCAGCTCATGAAATGGTCGCATAACCGCAATTAGATAGCAATTTGGAGAGCATAAAATAACAGATTAGTGGAGTCTTGTTGACAAAAGCAACAGATGCCACAAAGCGAGGGAGAGGAGGATTCATGCTGCCGGCCACCTGCACACATGGCACTCAGTGTCTGCCCAACGCTGAGTCATGGAAACAAAACTCCAACACAAAAACAGAAAAATGAAACTGAGAGAGAAAGTGTTTGTGGAAGATCAGACAGCATCAAGAATGAAAACCCTTCGACGCTCCAGAAGATGAGACGGTTTTTGAGTTCAGTTTGATCGGCTGTCTAAGAAAGAATCTCTCACACTCACACTTTTAACTCGCTCTCCGACTTCGATGTTCGGTACACAAGTTTTCCGACATGAGTGAAGTCTGAGACGCTCACCTTGGAACATATTCTCTGTATTATTCACATACAATACAGTCTTGGAACGTCTCTGTGTGGGTTACAATAACTGTTTCATGGAGAAATCAAGGATGCTTCTTCCTTTCATCATTAAACTACATGTGACTCCTGAAATACACGTCCAATAGGATGATGCATGCTCTGCAAAATATTGCAAATACTGAAAGGAAGATGAAAGTTTATTGAGATATTTCTTTAGATCAGAACAGAATCTAAAGTTGTCTCAGTCTTAGCTGCATGTCTGGTCAAAAGACTCAGAATCATGCTGTCTGTTGCACACCTGTTAATCCTGCATGTTTGGCTTAACTGTAAATATGGTATCGTAAACAATTGTCCCTGTTAAAGGTTTTCCAATATGCTGCAAGGAGTTTTTTTGTTCCTGCAAAAGTTGAAAATACTCAACAGAGGTTGGACTGAAGTGAGTTAGCTCGAGGTGCTGGGAAAGTATTCTTTTAAATATATTTAGAAATGCTTTTGTAAATTTAACTGAGCTTCATTAGGAAGAAAAAAAACAACCTTGTTATTCATTAAGTGTGCAAAATGCTGTTTTAAAAATAATCAGTATTACTGGAAAAATGATTTAGTTTCTATAATCCAGACCTAAACAGGTTTTCACTGGTGAACCATTGAGAACTCCAACTAGGACTGGGCGATAAACCGAAAATTTACCGATACTGAAATTTACGACAATAACCAACGCCATTTTGCCCATATCGGTATATCCGGTGTCAAAAAAATAAAAAAATAAAAGTTGGTTTTAGATGTGTGTAGGTAGGCCATAGTGTCATGTCCCTTTAAGACGCTGTCCTACGTCAGAGACGTGACTCCACCCCATCCAGTCCGTAACAAAGAGGGAAAGACAGGTGAGGAGATGGAGGACGGTTCAAAAGTTGGAGCGGCTGAAGTTGATGAAGTTAATGCGGGAGGGGGTGAACAGCTTGTAGAGTAGTTATCGTCCATTTATCGTTATCGAGGTGATATTGATTTGAGGCCATATCACCCAGCCCTACCTCCTACCCCAGTGCAAGACATGCAACAGACATCCTCATCGCTGGTGTGCAGCCTACTGCCTGCAAAAAAAGAGGCAGTTCAAGTACCTTCAATTAAATTATGAATAAAGGAAGTAAACACATTCCAGTTTTGAGGACAATGAGTGGACCTGCAGGACTTGAGTCAGCACATGGCTAATCACCTTGTTGTTTCCATAGTTCATCAACATCAGAACTGCACATCAGGAAGACAGCCTCTTTGGTTTCTTCACACACGTGCACACACACACAAACCCTGACGCCCCATGCCACAGGACGCACATCCAAAAGGCCACTTCACCATCGCAGGGATTTCTAATGATGCGCCAACTGCTGATGTTCCTGTAGCAACCAAGGACACGTGTACCTGTTAGTCCTGTGTGAGCGCCGTGTATCTGTGAATACTCCCACGTACCGACGGGTCTGAACATACATTATTCTAAATTAAACCCTCCACTCTGCAGGTTTTATACTTTAGTATTATTACACACAGTTAGTGCGCCGGAGCTCTCTCAAAGTTAATGGCGCATTCAGAGGGAGCTATATGTTTGGGATTGTAATATTGTTTTGGTGATGATGACCATGATGGGAGCTGATTGGGCATGCGCTAGCGGAGTATGGCGTGATCGTCTCCTAATTAGCCGTTTGAAGCAAACCCTTTCAGAGGATCAGACGATAATTATACAGCTCGTTGACTAAATCAGTTTAATCCACTGCTTTGATTTAAGGAGGGAAACATTTTGATTGGTGGTGAACGCACTTGTTCTCCATCCCTGTATAGAGTAAGAGCACTACAGTGATTAGAGTCTCCATCTGTGGAGCTTGAACACACTCCGCCGTCATTTAGACACTTCTGTGTGTTTGTTTCTTGTAGATATTTGAAATAAAGGGAACATCATCTATCACCTAAAGAGAAATGTCGAGTGATGATCATCAAAATAACACAAATTCAAAGTAAAGTCAACCTTTGACCTTTTGAAACACATCATCATCTAGATATTAAACACTCTCATTTTCAGATATGGTCATAAATATGTCTTGACCTTTAAAATCTTAGTATTTTATCTAGGGCTAGGCAATATGGGAAAAAGTTTATCACAATATATATTTTTTTCATATTAGTCGATATCGATATATATCACGATATAAATAATGAAATTTAACAGTGCTTATTGGTAGCATGTCTTTTGCAATACAATAAGCTAAGCGATAAGCGTCTCTTTGACGTTTTGTCGTAAGGCGTTGCGCTGTTAAAATGCTACGTGTGCGTGTAGCTGCAGTCTGCTACTACGCATTTGTTTGCTACTTGGTTCTAATTCAGCACATGATTGGTTCAGCGCAAAGTGAACCTGGAGAAACTCCCCTTTTCATCGGCTATTCATTAGGGGTGGGAGAAAAAAATCGATTCACACAAGTATTGCGATTTTTGTTTTACAATTATTAAATAGATTTTTATGTTTAAAAAGCTTTTTTTTCAAATTTAGTAATAAATCTTAGAAACTGACTTACATAAAATGTGTGTTTTTTGGGGAAATATGGTTCCTGGAATAAGTAGTAGACAATAATAATCATTCAACAGTTTCACTGGTGTTCAAAATGCAGACTAAAAATCAAGAAAATCAACAATATCGTAGAATTGCAATTTAAATCAAATCGGCATCCAAAAAAAGGGATCTACCAAAACATGGCAGAATGCAGACAATCGAGAAGCATATTGACCGTGTTTTATATTGATATTGAGGGAAATTAATTTTCGATATCGTAATTGTTTTATTGCCCAGCCCTAATTTCACCCCAAGGTCAATCTCTAAAGCCATCAACGATCATCTAAAGCTAATCTAGACGACAGTCTGGGAGCAGCGGTCAACTTTATTGGAAATTAATGGAAGCCAACATTCAGAACCGTTTTTTTGTCTTTTCTTTGTCTGTCATGGTTCTTGTTTTCTAGCACCATGTTTAGGTTACTCAGTTTCTGGGTCAAAGCCCGGCTTGCTAACTCTTTAGCAAGTGCAGAACTCTTTGGCCAATTTCAGTCCAACAGAAGAGTATGACATCAATCCCTAACTGCACTTTGTAGGTATGCATGCAGATATAAAGTCCGGTTTTAGTCGGATTAATGCCACAAATCGAAATGATCTTAAAGATTGTGCAGTTTTCATGTTCAATCGGCTCTGAGTCTCTTTAATCCACAAAAAAGTATTATGTCCATTCAGCAGAAGCATAATACTTCTTTAAGCTGCTAACTTCATAACATACAGTTGTGAGTGGACGACCTTTTTGGGGCGATAAGTAGGGGGTGTGTCCTTTTTGCTTCTGTAGAAGAGAAACGGTGTTGCCTCCAAAAAGACTCATTCATGTCACTCCCCATTATCATACAATGAGCGTGATCACAATTACAATCACTCATCAATCAGAGCAGACAATGCCTCCTGAAACACTGGGATCACATTATGGTGTGTAATGCCCAGCTGCTCCCCTTCTCATGCTGCATCTCCTCCAACACCTGCCCCATAACTCTACTGACACATTCACAGCGTGTCAGCGCGGCGGCTATTCTCAGCAGCCATTGTGTCCCCTTGTTTAGACAGGATGTTGACAGTAAGCGCGGTTTAGACGAACAGGAAGAGAGGGAGCAATAGAGGCCGTTAAGAGTTTCCTGCTCTGATAAGGTGAATGATGTTAGCTTTGTATTAAAGCGCCGCTCTGAGACATGCAGGTAGGCGTGTTTCAGAGCGGAGCTGTAGCTGCTGAGCATTAAATCTGGAGTTTAAGGAGCTTCTGTCAGTGGAATCCAACAAGGGAACTTAGCAGAAACAAATGGAAAAGTTTCAGAAATGCGCTTCCACAATTTAGGCTATTTGACAATGATACACAAAGTTTTCTTAATGCAACACCTAATAACATGCAAGTACATGTCTAACCAAAGATTTAAATGTTTGGAGGAGTCCAAGTATCTCTGGATCTTGTTCACGAGTGAGGGTAGGATGGAGCTGGAGATCGACAGGCGGATCGGAGCGGTGTCAGCGGTGATCCGGGCGCTTAACCGAAAAGTCGTGGAGAAGAAAGAGCTGAGCCGTAAGGCGAGACTCTCGAATTTACCAGTCTATCTACGTGCTGATCCTCACCTATGGTCATGAACTTTGGGTAATGACTGAAAGAATAAGATCGCGGATACAAGCGACCGAAATAGGTTTCCTTCACAGGGTGGCCGGAGGAGATGTTTGAAGTTCGACTCTACACTTGCAAACATCTGAGATGTCGGTAAAAGATTCCAGAAATTGCAAAACACAGTGAATATTCTGCATATGACTTTTCACTATCCTGTTTTTGTGGTTGTAATTTGTTCTCAAACTTCTCAAAGAGGGAAAACTTACTAAAAGAAACGTCCAAACTTTGCCAAAGTACCCAAGGAGTGAGCTGAGGTGAACTGAGTTTAAATATCCTCACTTTACCTCTGCTGAAAGAGAAATCTGCTGCTGCATATTTCACTTAATTTCGCAAACTAAATAAAGTATCAGGGAGGCTGCTACTTCCTGGAATTAGTGCAAATGCTATGCTCCGTGTAAGTGTCAGTCAAATTTGTATGCCTGTCTGTGATGAGTATGTTCATCAGAGAGACTATTATAAAAGTGTCACTGCCTCCTCTAACCCCGCAGGACCCCTTTTTGAAGCCCATCGCTGCCACGTGCAGAGTTTCAAGCAACTGCTCATTTCGAAAATTAATCTGAGGAAATGAAATGATGAAATTAGGGGGAATTGAAGATGCTGAACAGAGTTGCAGTAACACTTGATAAACAAGACAAAAGATAGGATCTATTTCAGAAACTACAGTTTTACTTTGTAAGAAAAAAACTATCTCATAAATACTGAAATGTTAGCGCTCCAGTGTAAAAAGCAGCCGTCGCTCTGCTTCGTTTCAATGTCAAAACCATAAACTCTCTCCTCTCCTGAGGATATAATCACTTCTCACCTGTTTGCAAGTCACCTCCATTCCCACAACCTCCAGTCACCTGACCGACTGTTTCTGCACGGCTGCTCTTAAATTAGTCCTCAGCCCTCGGTTATAAATAGAAATCGGTTGACCCTGGATGTTTACCACATCATTAAAGTTGTTGTTGTTGCACGAGGCAATTTGTGTCTGCTTGTATGTTTTAGTTAGTAACCTTGTCAGGCCTTCTCGGTAAATTGCCTCAAAAATATAACTCTGCCGCTCATCTACTCGAGCAACAGAGTATTTCTAAGCTGCCTCTCTAACACTGAAGGGAAATTCAGACTCAGAGCAGACTGAGTGTGATGCAGGAAAAGATTATGAGGAGTTTTCTAAACCTGAATGGAAGCAGGTGAGTGAGTTGCTGTTCATAGATCCTTTTGGGAAGGTAGAAGCAGACTTCATCACAGATAAACTGTAGGTCTGTGGAAAATGATAAGATTTGAACACGGATACAGCCTCTGATTGGTCAACATACCCTAACACAGTCAGCTTGAAATCACCCAATACCACTAAAAGTGACATAAATCATGATAGATTACCTTTGTTTTTGAGGATGCCACAGAAATACATTTTCCAGTTTGTTGCAAGAAAGCTGCCGGTCTAACGAAGTGAGTGGATTTTAAGAAGTTAGCATTCTATCAGAAATCTAAGGTCGGACAGAGATGCTAAAGCTAGCTGCAAGAAGAAAGGAGAGGGTCAGACTTTACTTGTTTACCAGAGATACTGTAACTCTTCACACATAAATATTAAGGAGAAGCTGTGTTGTCCAGATATTGAACTCTTGACCTTATGATGTTCCAAGGGAAAGTTCAATACTTGTATACAAGGCAACGGCTGAAGTTCCATGTGATGTTCTTCATGAAACTGTTGCTTGGATACGGACTCAACATAGTGACAAACTGGTGAAAAAAGCTGGCTTTGTGGTTGGAATCAAGTTGGACTCACTGGAGGATGTGGTGGAGAGATTCACACTGAGGAAGGTAGAAGCCACTCTAAAAAAACATAGATCATCTACTTCATAACACTTCGATGGACCAAAAAAAAACAACACTGGGGGACGGTTACTCTCTCTTTGCAAAGAGATTCAGAAGATCTTTGGATGAAATGAGTTGAGTTTCCAGATTTTGTATAGTTTTATCAGCTGATGCATTCCTGATGCAGTATCAGCCTACACTTTTTACAGTACTCATACCAACACTACACTCTGGCTGTATCACAATCCTACACCAACACATCTTTACCTTTTTAGACAGCTGGACCATCAGATCTTCTAGCTTTTATATGTGATATCTTTTCTACCAGAGAACAGACATCTGCTGTTTACTATTTCTGTGAGGTCTTACCACTTCCTTACTCCAAAACCCGCTCCCGCTTTCGCAAGTCCCTTGTCTATTCAGGGATCAATATAAACACAAGCAGTAGTGTACTGCATTAAAATGGTTACTTAGGAGCTTGAAGAAAACATGTTTTGCATTAACTGCTTTCAATTGCCCATTGTTCTTCACAAGATTCACTCTGCCGGCCACGACTTAATGAATTGATGAATTAACTGCAAATGACGCAGCCCGCTGAAATGCGTTTAAGAGACGGCAAAAACAGCAACCCTGAAATAAACAAGCCGCTCGGCAGGAGGAGCACAGAAATTCAGCTTGAAGAAAACAGCCATAATCTGAAACAACCTCTCTAAGTGCGAGCTCAAGAACATCACCAGGAGTCAGGATTTCAATTATCAGCATAGCAGGAGCTGCCCAATGAGCCAGCAGTCTGCAGCTGGAGAGCCGGAGAGGAGTGTCAAAGGGAAGCAGTTCAAGCAGTGGTGTGAGGACAAATAACCACACAGACTTGAGGTGGAAAACTGACTTCTGTTATCTGTAACAGCCAGTGGTGTTACATTATACAGTCCAATTCAAAAAACTGGGAGATCTATGTGAACAAAGTAGATATTTACTCTGCAAGTTTGTGATAAGAAATGTTCCTAAAAAAGCTCTCACATGGAAAGTTGCAGAAACATTCATCCAATGTGAAGAGAGTCAAACTACTGAGACTGAAATCAATCAATCAATCAATGGAAACATCCATCTAAACAAGCTGTGACGGACCAAACTGAACCAGCCTGCTCAGTGCAAACACACCTTAAGTGAGCTTTACTGTAGTGCTGGTATAAAAGTCTGCAAATGTTGGGAAGATTGAGGTTTAAAGCCGAGCTGGTGCATGAACATGATGAATAGCGGCGCCATCTGCGTTCAGAATACCAGTCAAGGTTTTAGGACATCATCATCATCTTCCTTCAGTCTCTGCATTCTCTCCTTCCTCTCTTGCTGACTTGTCCTCTTCTCTCTCTCCTTGGCTCATCTTTAACGTCTGGCACATCATCTGTGTAAGCATGACACCTTCCATCTGGTGCGTGTGAACAAGGTCGATGCTTGGCTGAGCATCGGGCTTCTCAGGACACGAGGAACAGAGCACCAAGTCTCCACCCTAGAGGCGTAAAAAAAAATTAACAACAAACATACGGAAACCCTGGAGACGGTCCGTACGACGACGACTGTCTGACTAGTCAAATAGGTGTCTGCCTCCTCCTCCTCTATAAGCCCAGATTGTTGCAGGATGAAGAATGGACAGGCCCAGACATTGTTCAGTCTGAGATTTCAAGGTATTCAGACTCTGTGACTCTGTGACTCATTTTGGTTTCAGTCCCGCTTTGTGTGAAATGGTTGTTCGTATCCATGTTTTGACGGGTGATATTTTGGCTGACTTTGATTTCTCTCTGCAGCTGAGAGATGACTGACATGATCACAAAAATGTCAGCATTTTGGGTGCGTGTGTAAAATCTCTGATAACATTTTGACGGATACATCCACCAGGTTCTCTCCGACTTATCAGAAAGCATTAAACGATTTGTGATGTCTATATGCTTGTGCAAACTCATACGATAACAATCAGCTTGAGCACAATGTACCGAGAGAGACAGTTAACAAATTTGAAGATAATGTACCAAAGCGAAGAATACAGAAGATATAATTAAATTGGGGTTACTCATGACCGTGCAAATGCAAACTCAAATATAGCAGAAAAAGCCACACCCTTATCTATATTCTACACAATGCAAGTACGTGAATGAGTAACTTTTTTCAATCTGCTTCAAACTAGGGATGCACCGATCTGATATTTGGATCGGATACTGGCTCCGATATTGACAAATTTATTGGATCGGATATCTGATGAATGACACCAATCCAGTCTTTTTTCCTTTTAATCAATATCAAACATGGCAACATAGGGATTCTGTTCGCTCTATATTCTATGTCTGTCTATCCTTCTGCACTAAATATTTACATGGAAGTCTTACTTCTTTTTGCTGTGTGCCAATGTGCCATTTGTTATTTGTCAACAAATAATATTAAGTAAAATTTTTACCTCTGTTAATTTGTTGGCTAATGTCAAGCCTGTTGCCTTCACTCACAGGGCGAGGTATACAGCTGATTCATTCAACAGTAGTATTGGATTGGTATTGGATATCGGCCGATACGCTCAGCCATGTATCGGTATCAGATTGGATCGGATAAAAATGGATAGGTGCATCTCTACTTCAAACATCAACTTGACACCAAAATATCCATAACAGAACAATCAGATTATTGTACTTTGCAGGAAAAATCCTGCAGATTCTCTTTCAATACTTTTTGCTGTAGTCAAGTGAATGGAGAATATCTGACAAGGAGAACACCACGACAAACTCTGAATTTGTTCTCCTGGAAGTCCTTCAACTTAATCATCGTTTGAACACGAGAGCCTCTTGGAGAGCCTGCTGGGGATTGTTGGGGATGAAACTGTTTAGCCGTGCAGTCGTGTCATCTTACATAGAAGCTGTCCACTTCACTAACACGCTCGTATTCATCTGGAGAGGAGCTTGTTACTCTCATGATGCAACTCCACTCAGGGAGATTTGGATTCGTGACTCTTTTGATGTGAGGTGTGAGTATTGTTTATGATATCCCCTGAACACTGAAACACTGAGTGAATCATTCCTCATCTCAAATTCAAGGGAAAGATGGTATACTGAGGTGACGGTGTGCTCATAACACATCCAATATGTAGTTTGCGCTGTTCAATTACGCTGGTTAAAGCTGCGCTGGAATAGGAAAGACGGTTAAATGGATTTCCTTTTACTTCCTTTTTATGTTTGCATTGAATAAAAGGTCTTCCACCTTCACACTGAAAAGGGTTTGAAAAGAAGTAGAAATTACAATCGGTCCTTTCAGCCTGGTGCTGTAGAGATGGTGCGTTCTGTTTGCAATGCTATAGTTCCCTTAACAGAAGCAACTCTAACCCATAACCTCAATGGCAAACAGAAGCTCAACAAGTTCAATGCAAGACAGTCGTCACAGAATAGTTGGATTTTTTGAATCCGCTGAATGAGATTCAAAGTCTTTTTTTTCACGAGTGTCTAAGATGAGACAAGAAACTGGAAAAGACATTTCTGTGAGCAGTTGGTGCATCAGAGGAGCTAAAAGAACAAACTACAGTAAGGTGCAAGATTCACACAGCAATATCACTTCACATCAAAAATGAAGCTCCAGTGTAAATTCAGTCAGGAGGACTATAATAGCCGTCACAACTGCATAAGTGTCTTTTCCACTCTCAGGCCTACTCACATTTCATGATGTCATCTTTCAGAGCAGTCATTGGTTAATCAACCACTTCACTGGTGTCTTTGCTTATCCAATAGCATGGTAGCACATGCTCACAGTCAGCCTATCCCCATTCTGCTCTCATTTTAAAAAGGAATTTCTTCTCTGCCTCTAGTTCTTTCTTTCCACTTCCCCATCTCCACCCGATCTCAGCAGAATCAACAGTGCCATCATTCATCATTCAGCCGCCACCACCACCACCAGCTTCAGGACTCCATTGGGAGATTTTCCTACCGCCGCTCAGATCAGGCATCCTACGATCCCACAAATCACCCCATTGAGTCTGAATGCCAAAGACTTTCTGTCAAGCGTCATTCCTAGCTCGGACAACTGACTTCCTAGGTAACACGAACACAGAAAAATTCTGTTTTGCGGTCCACCTCAAACCTTCAGAATTACATCTACTTGCACTTCACGTCAAAACTAAAGTATTGCTATGTTCCAGTTTTCTCGGAAGTCAGATGTCTGAGCTGGAAATGACGTCACACCCGATTACCAGCGTTCCGGTCAGCAAGTCGGCTACATCTTGGCTACATCTATGAAAGGGGATGCTAAAATAACCTAAAATAGCTGAATAACAAGCACTAAAATAACTTTTGTAGATGTAGCCATCTTGTTCCTGCCTCCGATTTTGTTTTTTTCCGACTTGGTAACTGAAACGCTGGTAATTTCAGGTGTGACGTCATTCCCAGCTCAGACATCTGACTCCCGATGTAACTCGAACGTCAAAAAATTCCGTTTTTCAGTCTACCTCAAACCTTCAGAATTACAGCTACTTGCATAACTCATATATATTGTCAATTATTACAAAAAGGATTCAAACTTATGTCTTCTGGATCAAAGTTTGGTCTTTTGATGAATGTCCTTGTCCACCCCTTAAAGCCTAAAGCCACTGCAATAACACTACAATGCTCTACTAACCCTACACAAACAAGGAGACAGCAGTGCTGCTAATCTATGATGTGTTATATTTTGTTATATTCCAGCAGCAGGATTTGATAACTGGAGGGAAAACACAGAACTAAACCAATTGCAACATTATCTGTTGTGTGTTTTGTTCTGAGGGGGTGTGTGTTTGTACGCTGCAGAAATTACCAGATTACAAATGTCCATTTGCCAAGTCAATGGCAGATCAATAGATTAGATAAGGCTTCATCATTATCGTTGCAGCGACAGATGTGATAGCTTTTAATCATCCACAGAAGGGGGAAAAAAACAGTGTCTTCCATCAGCGCTGGAGCGGAGCAAAGCAGAAGAGCCAATCAGCCTCAGGACAGAGCTGATAAAGCAGCATGCTGGTAATTATAAACATGAAACTGGTGGAAAGAAAAAGGTCCACAGCAGAACCATGGAGGGAGATAAAGATCAGTAGATTTCAGCGGAGGCTATTCAAGAAAGCTCTGTGTCTAAAAGTAGTGATGACTTCAGTTTCATCCTCAGCCAAACTAAGGACACAATGTGCCTTACTCGACTGCGGAGAAGGATTGTTTTCTCACAGACTGAATAAAATCAGCAGCGATTCTTAGAAACACTATTCTAACCCAGTGCACAGACTCTCTCTATGTGGCAGCTCATAAACCGGGTTAAATGGAGCATAAAAGCTGCATGACAGTTCAAGTCTATAAAACACTTCAGCTGGAACATCTGTCGTTCAAGATCAGGTAACAGTGGAATGAATCGTCTGATGACTATCTGCTTTTATACCGAGGGTTTAACTGAACACAGGGGCTAACAAAAGTGCTACACCTTCTTTAATGTCACTGAATAAAAAGGGGATGACAAAGACCCAGGAGGTCCACCCAAATCAAATAACCACAGTCACAACGCTCAAGAAATATTGCATCCTATCTGCAGCCCAGAATGTGAAAACACAGCAGCCTTACTGGGTCATGAAGCAGTTTCTGTGTCAGTGTGACCTGAGGGGAACTTCAGCCTGCAGACGCTTGTGTGTATCATCCTTTCTTTCAAGCACAATGTGTGTTACTGTGACTGCAAATGCCAGAAGATCAAATGTGCAAGTCAGATATGCGATTTAGTCCTTTAGCTTTGTGAAAGAGAGAAAAAGAAAACGTGCATAGGTGGCGTAGATTCAATCGTGTAAACAAAAACAAAGAAGGTAGCATCCTTGAGTCCTGATGATGTGTGACAAAGGGAGGAATAAATGCAGAGTGTTGATTACAAGGGGAGGAAGAGGAAAACAACAGTTTATATGAATCAATCTGGAAGTAAACAATGACAAGACTTGTCCTTCACGACCTATGATGACCACACTGCCCTCCTTTCTGCTTCTGCTTCACATAAATCTCCAAATTCACACGATTTGACTGTCAGCCTAAAGGGAGACGACAGCAGCTCCACCCAGCGGCTGCGGCTGCAAACCTCCACCTCTGTCATGGAGCTCACCGTGTCCTTTGTTGCAATAATAAGCGCATCGTTCAACTTCTCCAGAGTTAACCCAGCTGTACATCAAACATGAGCTGCTGCCGTGCAGACACGCAGCAGTAAGACGCGTTACTTTAATGCATGAGCGGGCATGGAGCAGACATTTACAGGGTGCAAAACATCACGAAAAGCGAGAAAACTTCACCTACCTCCTCCACTGTGAGAGGCATGCAGATGCGGTACTCCTTCATCAACATAGTCCCTGTACAACGGTGACAACAAAGAGAGCTGCAGGCTGTCCGGCTTCGGTCTTTCTGGCTGATCTCACACACACAAGTCAGTGAGGATTTGTCCGATGAATTGAGGACAGGGGGGGATGCAAAATGTTCACCAAATCCCCACACGCGTCTGCATCAGTAGCACCTCCTGCAGCGGTTCAGCTGTACGTCTGTCTACGTGAGCCTCCACACACAGCCAGGTCCGAAGTACAAGAGGGTCTCCTGGGCTACAAAAGCCCCGCAGCGAGACCAGCAGTTTCCAGTTACAAACTCCCCCGAGGATCAATTTGCCATCTTGATGAGGTCTGCAGAGGAGAAAGTGTCCAGAAAATCGCTTCAAACTCTAAAATAAGTCACTCCAACAAAAAACACCGCAGCTGCACGCGGCCGCGTCTTCAGCCGGACAAAGACAGCAGAGCGTCCGTCCGTCTTCCACCTCTGCTCTGGCTCTCTGAACAGTGATCACTTGATGCAGCAGTCCTCCAAAATCTAACCAGCGTGTCTCCCGCTCCTCTGAGGATTCCTGACAGCGATGCTGGAGATGCGCAGCCGTGTGGACTGAAGTGCGTCAAGTGAGAGAGAGAGAGAGAGAGATACAGAGAGAGAGAGGAAGAAGGAGAGCGAGAGAGAGAGAGAGAGAGAGAGAGAGAGAATTATTGTTAATAAAAAACGCCCAACTTTGGGTTAATTACACTAACATAGTAGTACGACCTCTTTGGTGTAAACGAGTATTTTGGTACATCAAGTCATATATAGTCTATTTTTGTCACTTTACCCATCATGCTCTCCTCCCAGCAATAGAGGAGAGTGGGGTAAGATGATCCATTTTTCATATTTCGGATCACTACATCAAGTCAATCATAGTTTTGTCTGTAATTAGTGTATCTGCAGATATTTCAGGATGTTGTTCATCCCTGCAAACCAAGAGAATGAGTGTAAACAGAACTGTCTTGATCATATAGCAGGCCAAAAAAAGTGGTCTCCTATGGTCAATTTACCCTGTGTATGTATGGGGTAAGTTGACCATAGGAGCGGGGTAAATTGAGCCGTATCCCTACTACCCTGACAGGGGGTGGCTCAACTTACCCTTTGGCTCAACTTACCCCACTCTCCCATACAGTGCTTCTACAGGGTTCTGTACAGTCTGGTACTGATCCTGAGGATTTCGTGTTGAGCTGACCTTGGTTCTGATGGGGAGCTGCCCATGGTTCTGAAATCCAGACAGGATTAAAGTTTGGAACTCCAGGAAATGTTTTCACCAAGTCTCACCATCAACCTGAGAAAACCAAGAGTACTGTTAACTTTTATTTCCTAAAGCTCATTGTAAATGGCCTAGCAGATGTAACCTACCAAATGGCTCAGTGGATGATAAGGACAGGAACAACTGGTTAAAAAAAACATTATCATATATCAATAACATAAAAGATTTATCACAGAAATCAATGTTTAAAACTGTTATGCAAGTTATGAAGCTCCTCTAAAGGTCAGAGATCAATCTCTCTGTTCATGCTGATCCTTTCATTTATCAAAGAGCCAAACAGAAAGAGCAAATGTCCCAGCCGAGGATTAAAACCCGTAAAACCCCAGGAGTCCTAGAGTTACTGCAACACTGAGGTAATCTCCTGATGTGCAAATTTAAATGCAACTGTTCAGGGTAAAGTTATGAAAACCAGGTTCTATAGTGGAGAAACACAGGCGTAGTGGGAGAAATACAGCCATGGTGATATATATTTACAGCCTACCTTTCAAGGTGCAGTGCAGAAATATTTACAAAAGTGCAAAAAAAAAAAAAAAAAAAAAAAGGTCAAATACCAGTTACAAAATGTACAAGGTAAAAAAGAAAACATCAACAAAGCAGGATACAATAGAGTATTGGGCCACATTAAGAAAAAAAAGCAAGATTTTGTAATTACTTTTGAGAATAAAGTCGTAGTAAATTCATTACAAGAATAAGGTTGTAGAAAAATCATTACTTACGAGAATAAAGTCGTAATGAAATCATTACTGACGAGAATTTTTTTTTCTAAATGTAGCCCTAACACTAGGGCTACGTATCTGGATTCTCACTCAAGAAAAAAAAAAAAAAAAAAACAGCAGCACTACCAAAGTCAGTTAGGCAGTCACCTTCCATGGAACAAACTCCAGACTTACAGAGAAGCTCAGGAAGCCTTCTTTTAAACCCCCCTAGCCCCTCCCTGTGGGCGTTATTAATTAAATGAGTTTGGGAGAAAAAAAAACCTCATTTATTCACATTTAAAACAGTTTTAACCTTCAGGGCTTTTTCTGTAAGTTTTTACCATTTTAACTGAGTTTTTACAGAAATCAATGGAGCATAATTTTTTTAGGGATTCATGGAAAACAGCAGGGGAATTAATTTTTCTTGCATCATGTGACCATTTTGACCCGACGTACCCACCTATTTCAGACCCGGAAATCATGCCCTCTGTTTCCTTATTTGGAAACTTGATCAGGCATGATGGCGTGAATGGACGCCCGGCAGGTAAGTGGAGGGATTAAAATCCATGTGAATGTATGTTTATGTCAGCCGGTAGGGCTCCAATTGTGCACCCTTGGTTACCCTGTGCAACAGAGAAGGAAAAGTAGAAATGTTTAGTGAGTAATTAGCGACGCTGGCAGGGAGGGAAATGTTTGGCGCGTATGAGGACGCTGCTCCGTCACACACCTTAAACGTTGAAACGGTGTTCTGCCGTAGTTTGCACCCCTGCAGTAGAATGCACCCCTGCCTTATCCCGTCCACTCGTTAGCTTCTTAAAATGGAGGGAAATGATCTCATATTTTAAAAGAAACACGAGTATTGGATCATGACAACAAGTCAAATGGAGCAGCAAACTTTTCTTCTGTTTTTATGTGTCTCAAAATAGAGGTGTACTTGGGTAAACTGTACAGTAAACTGAATCAGAAAGCTATTGTTTTTGGCTTATCTAGATAGCCTGAACGAAATCATTGAAGGCAGACGCTTTTGAATCCATCCAACGGTAAAGAAAACTTAGATTATTTCGCCTTGTTATGTACTTTCAACCGCGCTTCCGTCAGGGGTGCATTCTACGACACAACACCTGCTCTTTAAACTGTTCCTTTATGAGCCGAATCAAAAGCGTCGAATCTGACGCCAACTTCAGCTTCGTACCGTAGCTAGCTAACATTCAAATCTCCTTACAAAGGTGACGAACTAGCAAGTATGCTAATTAGCGTTAACTCTTAAAGAGTTCCTAACTCAGCTAGGGTGACTGCAGGGTCAGTAAAAAAAGGCTTTTTCCTCCTATTTTGTTTGTCTTCGGTTTATTATGTGTATTTTCTCTGGAGTTATGCATGTTCGTTACAGCCGTTGGCAGTTGAAGTAAACTTTTTCGGCATAATTTGTGCTGAACGAACTTCTTACAACTCCCAGTATCGTTGAAAATGTAACCTGTGAACACACACTTAATCCCGTGTATGTAAAAATGATAAAATATTCATGATAAAGTAGAAATTATGGTTGAAAACTCACTTCTGTTGTTTCAGGAGGGGTGAAGTCCCAACGGTCTCAAAAAGGACGAACAACCGTTGATCCAAACAACAACCATCCACTTTAAAAGGTAAAACTGAAACACACGTTATCTAATAAATCACTCCTTTCATCGTGGTTTTAGAAGTTAATGTTAATATTAAAAAAAATAAAGTTTATGTAATTTAAGTGCGTCAGAAAATAACATGTAGTACCGCTTTCAAACGGCAGGCGTCAGCAGATATCTTTATTTGGCGTATCAGAGCTGTAGGGAATAAACGTGTTTAAACTGTTTTATATGATTCAGGAAATCACAATTACCATGGATGATGGAGAGTTAATTTTCACTCATAATGTGTGAATTCATATTTTAATATCTTGAGCCTTGCTCTATAAAAAATCTGCATGCTAAAAGTGTTTTTTGTTTTTGTTCCCAGCTTTGTACAATGTTTTGATATTTTGATGAAATATGTTGTTTAGATTCAATCATATCAATTATATCAAATACAGAAACTGATTCATTAATTATATTGCTTTTTATTGGGGAAACAGGTCTTTAGAAGAGGAAGAATAAAACCTTGATGGTTGTCCCTGTCATGTTAGAACAACTGAAGTAACAGAGCCTTTAAATACCACTATTATATTGCCATATTTTTGAACTTTTAAATGGTAGTTTAAAGTTTTCAGGGTTTGCTAAAGTTAACTTTTGTTCAGAGTAAGAAAGGAGAGAATCAGAAGTTCATCCAGCCTTCCTCCAGAGGGCGCAATAAACTCACATGTGCACTATTTCACTTACACATTTCTGAGGCTGCCAGTATGTCCAGCTAATCAATGGGAAGATACTTGCAAATATGTTAAATTAGATCTATCTGAAGAGACTGAACACAACCACAAACATGAGGATCAGTTTGTGATGTAGTTTAACAAACCAGAAAATATCAAACTTCAGAAGGGATTTTTTTAGGACATTTTGAAGTTTAACTAAGCTGGAGTAACAAATCTGGTTTTTGTCTTGTGTTAATTCTGGGGAAACCTTTGATCAAAATTTCTTGTTTTTCTCCAGGATGAAGACTGCATTTCCTGTGAGCACCATCACCTATCTGACTCTTGCTAAAGAGAGCATTTATTGTCCGAATCTTCCAGTTCAGGTGGACCAGCTGGGGCACTGACACCTGCTGAAGGAGAATGAAGTAAGTGCACAAAGACACACATATGAATCACAATCATTCACCCTTTTACCTCCATGAGTTATCGCTACTGGTTCGACCATAGTGTGGCTTTTTCTTCCTCTGAATGTATCTGAGAGAAAGTGGTGATCTTTTTTACGCTTCTTTTATTGCAGAACAGTTTCAAAGTTTGATTATTGATGCAGAGTTACAGTGAGTATAGGATGCAATTACATTTATTTTTATGCCAACTCAAGGCAAAAAATAACATACAATCACACAGCAATAAACAAAAGCGATTTTTAGTC